ATGTATGTAATGGCTGTCTTGTAGTGCACTCAATTTCACATGTCAGTTCACAACATGTTTCGGCAACACCGTGCCATCCTTAGTTGCCTTATTTATGCTAAGCTATTGCATTGCTTGCCATCATGTGTCTTTCATAAAATTATTAAAATGTACATTCTTCATCAACTATAATAAAATCTGTATATACTAATTACACACTTAATTCAAACTTGGGTATTGTATGGTTCTTCCACTATGGGAGTCGTTTTTCATACATGTTTTGTATACTGTGTCTTGTGATGTGTCCTTCCTTTCTGGCTGTGAGCGATAATTTTATGAAAGACACATGATGGCAAGCAATGCAATAGCTTAGCGTAAATAAAGCACCTGAGGATGGCACGGTGTTGCTGAAACATGTAGTGAAGTGACATGTGAAATTGAGTGCACTACAAGACGGCCATTACATACATATCATGGATAATTGTACCAATTAACATATGCCTTAACATCTCCCCACCAACCCCAAAGCTGCAGTAGTTCCTATCCAATTTATATTTACAATTACCTCTGCAATCAGACAGCGACTTACATATCTTACACAAACATTCTGAGTACCATGTTTGATTTGATGTTTTCATGGCAATGTCTATAAGGAGTCCGGGATTCTGCGTTGTAACAATGTGTAGTTTCGAGATAGCCCAATGTTTAGGAGGAATATATCGCCTTAAAAACGTCAGGCTGCCTTCGAACTAGGCGCTGCTACAACTCAGAATGCTGTACTTTTCACTCCAATTACCAGCCGTAGCCTACTTACTGTCGCAAGGCAATTCAGAAGTATTGATAAGAGCAGAACACAAAACTGTCAGTTCTCAATTCCTACACCTAACTCCCATGTCAAATCAAAACCAACTGTTATCTACTCATGACTGTGTATTCCCTGTATGTGCAATTACAATGTATGCTCTCTAAGCGAACAAGTCTTTGGCTAAGATCTTCCATAGGAATATGGCTGTAACCACGAAGATTTCAGTCTTCTGGGATGTGACACCATGTAGTCTGGTAGAATGTTACCAATATTTCTGAGGAATGTGAGGCCTCCATCTTCAAGGTTTTATCACTTTACATGTTCCTCCAAAGTGGTGGTAACATTCTACCAGTCTACATGGCCTCACATCTAAGAAGACAACAGTTTTTCAAGTTACCTGGTATTTAGAAAAGCCCACTCTCAATTAATCCAAATTTTCACATGCTGATACTGTATGCAGATATGAGAGCCACCGTTTACAGGATGAGTTTTGGGAAAGAGATATCATTGGCTGTACTTTATTCGATAAAAACAAGCAAAAGAGAGGTAAGGTGCAAGCATACAGAGTCCACTTTACACATACACAAAAACTTTATCAAATGTTTGTAACTTATAACACTTCTGTAAGACATACATGAAAGTGATTTAGACCAAACAAAGTGGAAGCTGATATAATGCTTTAGACAGGCTTCATTATGGAACTCCCATATAACACTCCATCAAAATGTGTGTTGCCTGCGAAAACTTCAACATACAATGGGAATATAGACATAGTTCTGTCACAGAAAATGCTAAATTTNGCCTTAAAAACGTCAGGCTGCCTTCGAACTAGGCACTGCTACAACTCAGAATGCTGTACTTTTCACTCCAATTACCAGCCGTAGCCTACTTACTTACGCAAGGCAATTCAGAAGTATTGATTAAAGCAGAACACAAAACTGTCAGTTCTCAATTCCTACACCTAACTCCCATGTCAAATCAAAACCAACTGTTATCTACTCATGACTGTGTATTCCCTCTATGTGCAATTACAATGTATGCTCTCTAAGCGAACAAGTCTTCGGCTAAGATCTTCCATAGGAATATGGCTGTAACCACGAAGATTTCAGTCTTCTGGGATGTGACACCATGTAGTCTGGTAGAATGTTACCAATATTTCTGAGGAATGTGAGGCCTCCATCTTCAGGGTTTTATCACTTTACATGTTCCTCCAAAGTGGTGGTAACATTCTACCAGTCTACATGGCCTCACATCTAAGAAGACAACAGTTTTTCAAGTTACCTGGTATTTAGAAAAGCCCACTCTCAATTAATCCAAATTTTCACATGCTGATACTGTATGCAGATATGAGAGCCACCGTTTACAGGATGAGTTTTGGGAAAGAGATATCATTGGCTGTACTTTATTCGATAAAAACAAGCAAAAGAGAGGTAAGGTGCAAGCATACAGAGTCCACTTTACACATACACAAAAACTTTATCAAATGTTTGTAACTTATAACACTTCTGTAAGACATACATGAAAGTGATTTAGACCAAACAAAGTGGAAGCTGATATAATGCTTTAGACAGGTTTCATTATGGAACTCCCATATAACACTCCATCAAAATGTGTGTTGCCTGCGAAAACTTCAACATACAATGGGAATATAGACATAGTTCTGTCACAGAAAATGCTAAATTTTCTGAGCTATGAATATCAACTTTGTCATGCTATTATTACACGCACCAGCAATATTAATGACTTGGGTGTTTTCTTCGATTCAAAGCTACATTTTCACACACATGTTAATTACATATTTTCTGAATGCATAATGCTTTTAGACCTTATTTGCTCCATTACCTACAGANGGAATGTGAGGCCTCCATCTTCAGGGTTTTATCACTTTACATGTTCCTCCAAAGTGGTGGTAACATTCTACCAGTCTACATGGCCTCACATCTAAGAAGACAACAGTTTTTCAAGTTACCTGGTATTTAGAAAAGCCCACTCTCAATTAATCCAAATTTTCACATGCTGATACTGTATGCAGATATGAGAGCCACCGTTTACAGGATGAGTTTTGGGAAAGAGATATCATTGGCTGTACTTTATTCGATAAAAACAAGCAAAAGAGAGGTAAGGTGCAAGCATACAGAGTCCACTTTACACATACACAAAAACTTTATCAAATGTTTGTAACTTATAACACTTCTGTAAGACATACATGAAAGTGATTTAGACCAAACAAAGTGGAAGCTGATATAATGCTTTAGACAGGTTTCATTATGGAACTCCCATATAACACTCCATCAAAATGTGTGTTGCCTGCGAAAACTTCAACATACAATGGGAATATAGACATAGTTCTGTCACAGAAAATGCTAAATTTTCTGAGCTATGAATATCAACTTTGTCATGCTATTATTACAGGCACCAGCAATATTAATGACTTGGGTGTTTTCTTTGATTCAAAGCTACATTTTCACACACATGTTAATTACATATTTTCTGAATGCATAATGCTTTTAGACCTTATTTGCTCCATTACCTACAGATTTCCTCCCTGGAGTGTCTGTATGTACTATACTTTACTTTAGTCAGGTCAAAGTTGGAATATGCCTTGGTAGTGTGGAACTTCATCACCTCGACTGATGCAAATAAGCTTGAGCACATCCAGCAGTAGTTTTTCCCCTCATATTTCATATACTTATACTGATGCCTTAGAGAAATTAAGTCTACATTCTTTACATAAATGGAGACATCACCTTGATGCACTTTTTTTTTGTTCAGGTCTTTCATCTTAAATCCTGCGCTTCTCATTTAGAAAATGTTAGCCTTTGTGTTCTTCCCAGCAATCTTAGAGACTTCTCATTGTCTGGTGTTTGTCACTCTAATAAACACTGTCCTTCTGCTCGGTGCGCCTATGCTGCCAACGCGGTGGGTAAAGATCTCGACATATTTGCAATCGGAACAGTTTCTGTCAATCACATTGAACCTAAAATTGTTATTATTATTTGATAATACTCCTAATATTATGTGTGTGTATGTACGTAAAATTTAAATTAAATTTGCTTAGTCAGGGGTGGAGTCCAAGTGTGTCCACTCAGCACGGCGGCCACTGATTGGCCTATTGTAGCATGCCCTGGGTGATTATGATGATGGAGAATTTGGTAGAATGAAGACTGGCAGGGGAAACTGAAGTACTCAGAGAAAACCCGCTCCAGTACCACTTTGTCCACCACAAATCCCACTTGAACAGACCCTGGCTTGAACCTGGCCCTCTGTGTTGGGAAGCCAGCGACTAACAGCCTGAACTATGGTGCAGCCTGTGTATGTATGTATATATATTGGTCTTGTTTCATTTTTCTCTCTTGTTAACTTTAATTTTTCTTGGAATTATTATCAATTTATTGCCATTATATAGACTCTCAAATTTTGTATTTTGTTTTTTAATTATTTTTGTGTATTTCTATGTACTCATGCTAACATTTTAACTGGCCTCTGTGCTGTTAAGTCTGCACATAAATAAAAACGAATTGAATTATTATTAGGATGTTGAGGTGCCACGCAAATAAGCATTAATTGGGTTATTGTTATTGTTATTAACTTCTGTGTGTGTATGTATGGGTATTGTACTTTCTCGCCACATAATAGCATAACCATTCAAAAGTACTTACTTTATTTTTCTCACCTGTTAATGCTAACTTTAATTTTTCTTGGAATTATTATTAATTTATTGCCATTATATATGTAGACTGTCTTATTTTGTATTATGTTTACTAGTCATTTTGTGTATTTCTATGTACTCATGCCAACTTTGTAATTGGCCTCTGTGCTGTTAAGCTTGCACACAAGTAAACAAATTGAATTATTATTATTATTACACAAGATGGCATAACCATTGGGAATTTACATATTCAATTTTTTCTCCTGTCAATGCTAACTTTATAGTTTTTCTTGTAATTATTATTAACTTACTGCCCTTGTATACAGTGTCATATTTTGTTTTTTAATTATTTTTGTGTATTTCTTGGTACTCATGCTAACTTTGTAATTGGCCTCTGTGCTGTTAAGTTTGCACGTAAATAAACATGAACTGAACTGTATTAATTACATTAATTGCATTAATGTGTCTTTGTTCCAGTGCTTACATTTAATTAGTCCTTGACTTTATGTTGTGTTTGTCCATATGCAATTACTTTTATCTACACTGAGCAGTGTCTGTAATTGGCCTCTAAGAGAAATGAGTACCAGCAATCTTCATGGGGGGGAGGGGGGTAAAGGGTGGCTGGTGCATAAGGCTGACAACCTTCCCACCATTTGTGAGCTGAGTGCCTAAAGAAAATGTGGGAGCCTCGATGTCTGACAACACTTGGGGCCTCAATGGGCTGTTATAGGGATAGCTTTACCTTTCAAGTTCTTTCCTTTACAAGGAAACACAGAACTACTATGGTTTAGTGATTATTTCCTTACAGTATCCACCAGATTTGAAAATACAAACAATTTTACACAGTATCAGATTCTAATCTTTCACAACGGTGAAAAATCTTATTCTGGTCTCCTAAGTTATGACTCTGTGAGGCCTGGTAGATGGTTATCAGAGAACATACCGCCCCTGGCTTCAACAGACCAGCAGAAAACTTTGGTAACCATGTCATAAGCCAGAAGACCATGAATGAATTTTACACAATAATTGATATCAGGCATAATGTTACATTGCAGCATCCTGTTGCACTGCTTAGATCTGACTTTGAGTTTTGCTTTGATGCTGTCTGTGTGCAACGTCAGTTAACATTCTCTCACAGTTTTCTCTTTGTTGTCACTACATGTTTCGGCCTAATTTACCATCTTCAGGGATACAGGTTGTTGTGATAAAGGAACCTGCTGCTCACTGTAATGCTGTTCTGTTTCTCTTATGTAGAGGCCTCGCATTGCATCTGGATATGTGGGTTAACCATCCGCTTTTTGTTTAGGTGTCCTTGAGCTGGGCATATTTGTTGTGCTGTGGTTGGCCATCAACACAACAAATTCCTACCCCAGCAAAAACATTCAAGACAGCCACAGCCAAACTAAACCATGAAGCAAACACCAGCAGCTCAAGGACACCTAAACAAAAAACAGATGACTAACCCACATAACCAGATGCAACCCAAGGCCTCCACATAACAGAAACAAAACAGCATTACAGTGAGCAGCAGATTCTGCAATCACAACAACCTGTACACCTGAAGATGGCTGGTTGGGCCGAAACATGTAGTGTCAATAAAGAAAAGCAAGTGAATAGTAACTGACGTTGCACATAGACAGTATCAAAGCAAGACACAAAGTAGGATGATATCATGCATATGTGTTACCCTACTATATGCAAACACAGTAAAGCAAGAGAGGCATTTGTCGGACAAATGAGTATCAGTCTGACATGGCCACACGCATCAAACTGATATTTCTTCCTGTAAAGTGCAACAGTATCTTCCTGTCATGTTTTGGTCTTGACATGCATAGATTTTCACTTCAGTCTTGACATGCATAGATTTTCACTTCAGTCTTGACATGCATAGATTTTCACTTCAGTCCTGACTTGCACAGATTTTCACTTTAGTCTTGACATGCACAGATTTTCACTTCAGTCTTGACATGCACTGATTTTCACTTCAGTCTTGACATGCACAGATTCTGGTGGCAGAGCTGCAAGAGAAAAAGGCTATCTGAAAGAGCCATGCATGGATGCTAGGACAGCAACAACTCCTTCCTCTTATGGCAGATGAGTCACTTGAGGTCTCATGCTGGTGAGTCGCAGGCCTGAAACAATTACACGAATAGCATTAAAAAACAGATTCTGATTTGCATGCGAATATGTATGTACATTTTTGAACTTGATCCACTTTTAATTTCAACAAAATGTAAAACTTCTATGTGACTTGCAATGACACAAAAAATTTATGGTTACATAACATTCCTGCATGATAATACTTGGCACTTCCCCCCCCCCCACACACACACACACACACAAACATGTTTGCTGGTACTCTCAGGTTCAGTTTTTGCCTCAAGATTGAAAAATACAGTGCAATGGTAAATGTGTGAGACTTTTGACAAGCTTGTCAATACAGATCAAGTATTTGCTGGTATACATACTGGCCTAAAGAAAAGGTACTAATAATACCCATACACTAAGTCAATTTTGTTCAAAGATATCTCCATATTAGAATACTGTAAAAATATATAAAAGTAAAGACTTCAGCTCCTTAAAAATGGGAAATTAATTTCCATTCCCTTACAAATGCAAGCCATGCAATTATGCACTACTTATATATATAAAAAATTCCATGGAAGAAATTATGCTTATTTTCCATTTCCAAACTCCTGTCCAACCAAAATTTCCAGTCAATAATTATATAATTCTGTCCTCTACATTTCAGCTACTACAGGCAAAACACCATGATATCCATAGCCACATTTGTAATTTTCACTGTTTCACAAACTTTGATGTCAGTACAGCTTTTATAAAATGCAATTATCCAGATTAGCTTATTAGCAGGGACCAAATATTGGTTCTAGAAGAACCGGAAACAAAATGGAACAAGAATAATCAAGCACAATAACAAATGTCAAGGACAATCAGCTCATAAAATGAAAATGCTGATCTTCCCCAGAATTTGAGTTATGTATCAGTTCCATCATTACAAAAACAGTGTTAACATTCTGCTCAACAATAAAATAAGGCTACAAACCACTCAAAATTTGTATCTACTTTTAAACTCTCCTACAACGCCAAATTTCATGAGCCAAATACAAACTAATCTATACTGTGAAGTGCTGTTTCGTAAGTACTTGTACTAATATTAATCTTTTCTTCTAACAAATATCGAATCATATAAACCTGCATAACATTCCTAATAAGTTCTTCCCTCTCTCTCCAATATGATCCCATAATGGCATACTTCAAATTCTCAATTTCTAACACGAATATTAAGAGTAATCAGTAAGGCCGGGCCATAGCTCAAGCGGTTAGTCGCTGGCTTCCCACCACGGCGGCCAGGGCTCGATCACGGGTCTGGTCAAGTGGGATTTGTGGTGGACAAGGTGGCACTGGGGCAGATTTTCTCAGAGTACTTCGGTTTCCCCTGCCAATCTTCATTCCACCAATTGCTCCACAATCACCCTCGCCTATCATCTGGGGCTGGTACAATAGGCCAGAAGTGGCCGCAGTACAAGGGAATTAGTCCCACCCTACTAGCATTAAAAAAAAAAGGAGTAAAATTATTTTGCACATAAAATCAGCATCTATAACTTTGTCATCACATGACATACCTTTTTCATTCCACGGCATACTAACTGTGAGTTTGTTAATTCTTTCGGTCACTGTGATGGGCTTACATTTACGTTTACAACCACCTCAGAGCTGAAGCACAGACACGTTCAACTATAACCAAACTGTAGAAATGCAGCTGCACCTCTAATACGAGTTTATATGATTCAAATTTATATATTCACGAAGATGTACGATGAACAATATTTGTCAAGTACACTCGTCTTCTGCTTACTAAATAAATTTATATAAAGTCACAGCATACACAGAAAGCTTTTACATTATAAACATATCACACATGAAACGTTACACTACCTCAGCGTATGTAAATATTACCGAATATTACTAATTAATTAAAATCCTGTAACCTTAATTGAACTGAACATAACCAAACTCAACCCTGCCCCTCTCAAATGACCAACCTGTCAAACGAATCAAAACTAATTCTAACAACATACGTCTAGTAGCACGGGTAGCACTTAGGCACTTACCACGCTTACCACTACATCACACTTTTGCTGATCATTACCGATAATGAATAATCGTTTAAGCGTGCATATGGGTAAAAATTGTCCTTGTGCATTTCAGGTTGAACGAAAACGAAGTGTATGTATAAAATGCAGATAGAAAGTGAGGAAGACTGCTTACGACCCATGAACTGTCAGTTAAACGTTTTAAGCAGGTCAGATGGTTCTGCAATGTTTACGCAAGGTAGTATAATCCCATAATATGATTTGAATGTAACCGTAAAGGCGGACTCATTTGACGTTTATTTGGTTTTTGCTTTAGCACGTGTAGTGATTGGTAAGAAACATAGTGTAAGAAATTTTGATTATGGTTAACATGTATATTTACAGACATTTTTAAATATATTTTGAACAAGGACAAAACAAAGTTGTGACAGGTTAGGTGGAGTAGACAAGTGTATTAGATTTGGTGTGTTAAAGAATATGGAATGAACACTTGATTGGTACGTCTTCTGTTTAGTAGTAATGCCTATGAGGTTTTGTGTATACAGTCTCTCTCCAAATTAGCATTGTGGTCACAGGTTTTTGATATGAGACAAAGCATTTGAATTGACCTAATGTAATGCGTTACCACAGTGTAAAGTATTTTTGTCATTTATTTATAGTTCCAAAAAATCCATAGAGGCATCTGCCTCAGATATAGAACAAGTCAGTAATACAATATAACATATAAATATACATACATAATCAGACAGTCATCATCGTCAAAATTTAAATACTCAATACAACAAAACTGCTGTACAACAATACATTCCATATATCAAAATAACATTTAAAATTACATACATGATTAAAAGACCGTCAAGACTCTTAATATAGTAATATAAAATCTATTTTCTTAATATATGATACACCTATATTACAGCAGTGATAGCACCTTTTTCCTGAGTATTTTATACCATATTCTGTTGCATCCTAGCAATAGGCAACAGTGTTTACTAAATATACACGAGGTATCAATCTTTATTCCAGCAGTAGTATTCTTCAACAGTATAAAAAGAACTGGTGATAAGAAACTTCTTTAACAGCCACTTTAAATCCAGTATTACCATCATTTCTGCAGTACTGAGGCATGAATTAAAAAAGAAAACTTAGCGATACTTTAAAAACATTTGCAAATTATTTGTGCACTACATTTACTGGTATACATGCTATTCATTGGCATGGAACTGCAGTTGAACAATTGAAGTTACTCAAACTATAATTTTATATTTCCTGTAGAACACTGTCTCTTCAGACATATGGATACTAATAAATCTTTCAGTGGTTCAAAATGGGATCCATTAGGGAGAACATAAAAATGCCCCAAATTGTAAACACAGGCAAGCATGAGGGATGTTAGATCAACGATATTTGTTTCTTGACCAAAAATCACTTTACCAAAAGTGCTGGTGGATAGGTGCAATATTGTGATCCAAATCCACATGCCAAGTCAAAGCTTTAGTGCTTTTCAATAAACATATTTCCATAAGCATTCCAAGAGTTCGAAGGTACAGCAGCATGTTGATGTTCACTTCAGAGAAATCATTTATCTTGGATAATATCTTTGTTACTCTAAAACCTAAATCAGCATAACTTTGCCCTCTTATTTTCACATTTATGCTATTCACACTTAGGAGATGGTGGACTCGTCTTTTGAAGACTTAAAACATTTTGTTTCAGGGTGATTTTGAAGACCCAAGCCCATCATTAGTTATACTTCTTCCAAACAGATTTTTCCAATAATCTTGTTGAAGGATCTGCACAAATTTCTCTTCTCATTTATCCCAGCCACTGAAGTTTTTCAGCATCAGTCTGATATAAGATTTTTTCACATTCAGATCTTTAATCAGAATTAAGTTTACAATTTTCCTCTTCATGTTCCTCTGTTAGAACCATTCAGCGGGGAGGAGACTTCACAATGATGAACAAAAAGTAGCCATGAATGCAAGTGTGTAAGCAGGCTGTCTGGACCTCACTGTAGAAAAAATCGTAATCGTACTATTGTCTGTGATGTATAACCATCTTATAAAACTACCTTATAAGAATAATTGCAGAGCCGAACTGTTGAAGTCTTGGGGTAACTTTCAGGTTTTTGTTAGGGTTACAGAATGCTGCTTGGATCAAGAAAGAAACCCAGAACTATCATGGAGAGGGGGAAGTCACAAAAATCTGGATTCTTTGAATTCAGTTGGTAGTTCAGTCAGATAATGGACGTATTTAGTATCAAGTGACATGATTCATACCACTTTACTGTTTTATTGCAGGAGATACCGCAGTTGTGACTGCAGTATTTGGACCTGCTGAAGTGAAACCACAGCGCATATTAATAGATAAAGCAAGTGTTGAAGCACTTTATCGTCCTAAAACGGGCCTGCCACGTGAGTAAATAGCAATGTGAAGACAGACTTGCATCTCAGATGAAATAAATGGCTGTTCTACAGATCTACTGCATTAATTTTACAGATATTTCAAGTTCACATTCACACAGTAAAAGTAACATATTTCTTTCAAGTCAGACATAAGACAATGTTGGTTCAGTATGCCTACACATGTTAAGTTTACAGTGAAACTTCCGTTTAAGATTTCTTTGGGGAGCACTGGATTTTAATGCTAAACCAAGGAATATTTGAAATGGAGGTAATTTGACACTGAGAGTCTTGACTTTGGATCACTGGAATTTAACACTAAATTATGAAAAGCCTTAAACTGAAGAACATTAAAATGTGGGTTCCACTGTATTACACACCGAACATTGGTACAGACAGTCAGTTTAAAATCTGCACTTCATGTATTTTTTTTTGTTCCTTATGTCTAATTATTGCTCACCTCTGGCTAGTGCTGAAGTAAAGAAATTGTAGATCTATACATCCACTCCCCCATACACCTTCATGGTGTAGTGCTTAATTAGTTAAGCACAAGGACAACTTTACCTTGCCTTTACCTTATGTCTAATTATATTTGCAGCAAAGGGTTGATATAAGGTAGTGTAACCTGGACCTGAGATGAATGTGGGAAATTTAGGACATTACATAGTGAATTAGGACATTACATAGTCCATAGGGTTGAGAGATAGGGCACCTAATATTGTTATGACAGTGGCATCTAGGGAGCCACAATATTCTGGGCATGCAGCTAGGATTAGATGAGGTAGGTAAAGAGTTTTGATGAGGAAATCTCTTGGATGGCATTGGAGTGGCCACTTGGAAGCTCAAAAGGAAATGAAAATATTTCAGAATCTTGAGAAAACAATCGCATGGTATCACACTGGAATAGAGAGGAGCATGGTAGAGAGCCATTGGTCCAGTATATTAGGTTTGTGGTCATGACCCATGTAAACAATAATTGCAAGAAATATGTATATATCTATTTTGCTCTCACCAGGTGTGCATGACAAGATGCGGGAAACACTGATTCGAAATACATGTAGCACTGCTCTGCTCGTTACTCTTCATCCAAGAACATCGATATCAATCATAGTACAAGAGATGCAAGATTCAGGTGGAGTAAGTAGACTTTTCTATCTGTGATAGCTGTTAATAATTATTCAGTTATATAATGTTGTGGCTTCCAACATTTGTTTAGTTCAGTTCATCCTCTCAGCCAGTCAAAGTACAACTCCTATGTTTGCCTCCAAATCAGATATATGTAGCTTGAAATCTCTTTTACTCTATAATAACATGGGTGATAAGTGAAGAGAATTCTATAGCATTTGGTTGCCCCAAGAGCTTCAAGTTATGTACACTTTAGTTGCACAGTGATGAAATTGGATCAAATTAATTTATTAACTTTTTGTTGAAATTAGTTACAAGAGCAGTCTTCTGGGTTATGATATTGTGTGGTTTTGTAGATGGGTACTGTTTCATAGGAATCTACTACATACATTTTCAAGGTAGAGGATACACACTTCTACCCTGAACATGGAGGCAGCAGGTTCCTCCAACACATTGATACCAATTTATCAAATTATACAGAATCACATCCCAGATAAAAATAAATCCTGATACTTGCCAGTGTGAGAACTTCAAACCTCACTTAAGTTATAAGAGTTAAAGAGTTTGATCCACTTGAACTGTGAGCTTGTAAGGTCAGTTATATGTCTGAATATTTTGAAAGTATGTTTTCATATCCGAGCCAGGTCCTTGTTTCTACTGACCAAGATCTTTGCTTTCCCCAGTCTGTCCTAGTAAACACTGGGACATACCTTCAAATATGGTTTAACTGCTTCCTCTCCACTCTTTTGCTTGTACAGTTCACTGCACATAATCATTTCCTTGTCTTGTGTGATTTTGCATTATCTCTCAGTTGGTATGGCATTGTTAAATAATCTTGCTAATGGAGTGTTTTTTCTTTCTCTGAGTTATATTTTCTGTCATTTTGTTCCATTTTCTCTTTACCAAGGGAAACCAGAGAGATAACCCTCGAATGCCTTGGCTCCTGGCCCCACGTTCTCTCTAGTTGCCACTAGCAGTATTCTGAACTGAATTGCAGTAAGCATTTCCCAGCTCCATTCTGTTCTTCATTTCTTCGTGAATACAGCTTTTATTTGTTGCCTTCATTAGGTTGGAGACACTAAAACTTCAAAGAACTTGAAGTTGATTTTTTCTTTTTAAACTTTTGCTATTACATGGATGGTTCCACTGAGTTCACTTGCTTTCAGAAAAGTAATGGGATTTGTTCACTGTACACTCAGTACTTTTACCTACAGTCTTATTAATATGTTCAGGAGAAAACTGGAATTATCCTTAATAACACAGATATTGACAGACATGCACAGTTCTATGTTAACTGTCAGGTTTGAAGGCACAGCTGCATAAACATATGTATGTTAACTGTTAGGTCTAGAACAGAGCTATGTAAACTTGTTAGAATGTGGACCACATTGGGAATACAGGTGCAATTACAGACTGGACCATAAGAGATCCTTTCTGACATGAATAGAAAGTGTGTAAATATTCAAATGTGATTTTTTGGTAATTAATTGTTCTTACTTATTCAGATTGTTAGCCATAGTTGGTGACACTTTTCTAGTACATGACTGACTGTATTAGACTGGTTTATTTTCAGATGCAGTCAACACATAACATACTTGATAGTTCTGCATTTGAATCAGTACTTCTTTGTGCTTCTGAACACTGTAATACCAGAAACAGATATAGATAACCTACAAACATATTTCAGTTCCCACCTCTTGCCAACATCACCTAGTTCACTGGAGTGAGTAGAATGTTTTTGAACTGCTGCCTTATACCTATCCTGAATGAGCTAAATATTTTTTCTCTATCCTTTGAGAAGAAAATGCTGAAATAATGCCTTAAAATAGGCCTTAAGTTACCTCACCTTTCTTAAAATAAATTTAGTCTATCATTACCATGGTTTGTGTAATCTTAGTTATAATGGGTGGTTATTTATGAATTATGTGGTGGTCAGAGGACAGTTGGTCATGTGTGTACTCCATTAAATAGCCCCACTATTAAGTTTATTATCCCTAATGGAAATCAAGATTTCATTTCTGTTGCAGTGTAAGAGTTACCATAGCTTCATTTTAAATTTGGTATTCCTCACTTAGGGGAAAGTTATCGACTGCATAGACTTACTTACTTACTTACTTACTTACTTACTTACTCATGGAGCTGAGCCCTTCTGGAGGAGCCGCCAATTCTGCAGCTGGGAACAAAAATTGTTAAGAGTGGAATTATTTTGGATTGACACATTGTTACAGTTATTGGCATGTGCAGTCAATGCAGCTTGTCTTGCACTCATCAATTCTGGGATTGCAATGAAGTTCTTAGTTGCTGCTGTAAGCTGCATGATTGATCATGAAGACAATATTCTTATTGATCCAAACAGCAAACAGCTTAAGGTATGATATTTATTCAGCTTCTGCTATTTTACAGGAGATTCTATATTTACATACATTACAGCGTAATCTTGATATAGTGAGACTTTTCAGAATTCTGTACCTGTCCATAGCAAACAAAGGCCTGCTGTTTCCTGCAACACACAAAGTCAGTCTAACTTGTACATATGTACACTGTGTTACAGGCTAGTTAAAAAAAAAGTAAAGCTATCCCTGTACCAGGCCATGAAGGCCCATAGGGTTGAGAGACGTTGAGGGTCCCACACTATCTAGACAATTGGCTCAAAGATGGCGGTAAGGTTGTCAGCCTTACACACCGGCCGCGCTTTACTCCTCACGAAAATTATTTAATTAATTCCTGGTACTCATTTCTGTTAGAGGCTGAGTCAACCCCAGGGCCTAGTGTGGCTGGAAGGATTAGGTCAAGTGAAAAAAATCCAGTGACCTCATCGGGATTCGATCCCGCGACCTTCCAGCTTGTAGCATAGCCCCTCAACCAACTATGCTACCGCATAAATTGATAGTGACAGTGATTTCTGTTGCCATGATGGAGTTCTCATTATAAGCTGTGCCATACCCATCTTGGCATTGCTACACTGTGTGACCATATTTACCTTGGAAACATTGTGAGACAGTTATGGCACACCCATTTCAGGTCCTTAACGGCCAGAATTGAAGCTTAACTTCGCACACAGTTATCATGAGTGTTTTCTTGGAGTTACTCAGTTATTCCAGAATACAAATGCTTGGATAGTATCTTAACCCTTTGGGTGACAAGTCCTTCTAGAGAACTACCTACTAGAAATGCCAAGGCTGCGTGGCAGTAAATATCGCTCAGCAGAAAACCTACAAGACTTCCAATACTACCTTCAGTGGCCACAGATGCAGATAGAAATTCTTTTATAAGTGATTAACATTGAGCAGAATTCTTTGGCTATAACAATTTTGCTGCCGCCACCACCATGACGACGACGATGACGATGAAAATATTGAAACATTTTGAGCTGATATTTCTTTATCTTTGCAGGGCAGCAAGGCAAGTTTGACATTTGTATTTGATAGTATTAAGAAGAACATTATGGCCTGCCACACAACTGGAAGATTCACCCAGCTCCAATATGAAGAAAGTCTTTTGAAATGCAGAAATGGGAGTGATAAGATTTTCAGTTTCTATAGAGAGATAGTCAGGAAAGTGCATCAAGAACATGACAGGATGTCTCCAACATGCAGAACATGACGCACACAAAAGTGATGATCTTTGTTGTCATTTTTTTTTTCATTTATGTCTCATTTGATATGTACGGCCTTAAAAACTATTTCATGTTTAAAAACGATATAATGGTACATTATGATTCATTAAAATTACTTTGATTTATATTTGAAGGTATAATTATAACATTAAATTTCAGTCAGTCTGTGTGCAGTCTCATATCATGCATGAACAGAGTCACCATTTTTTTCACACTTAGCGAATATGTTTTTTCTCATATGTTCAGTAAATAATTTTATGGTGCCCCTGTTCTCCAAGGATGAGGCACTATCCTGTTGCACGTTCATTTACGACTGTCCATCTCTCATCCATTTTTTGGATGTGCACTTTCCAATTCTCTTTATCTTTGATATTTTGGTGAAGTAAACTCTCAGTTATTTCTTGATATCTTAAGTTCCTATTCTATTTTACTGCAACCCATTTCGGATTTCTAAAAATGTTGTATCAGCTGCTTTTATTGTCAACGAGGTCTTTAGTTTCCATGGTCCAGAATTCACTGCCATATTTTTGTTAAATTAAAACATCCGTATGATCCTACCATGATAAAACTGACTTGTCCAATTGTACATAATGTAACAGTTATGGATGTTAAATAAATAAATCAATCAATCAATAATATTCCATTGTAACAATGTCCTATTTTGAACTTTATCAATTTTAATTGGTAGGTCTTAGTATGTTCCATGGATGTTGCTTTGTGGTACTGAAACCTGTTTATCAAACATAGAGGAATACTCCTACAAGTCCATTGTTCTGTGAGTGACCTAACTTGAGCTTATAGATATAAAGGCAGCTAAACTTGGACATACATAGAATCAATGAAACATGCATATGTTTAGCTAAACATTCTGTAGTAAGCAATGAAGTGAAATTGCAGATGTACTTTGAATCTTAAATAAAGCATATAAAAAAAAAATCTGAAATTATGCTGTTGTTTCTTTTCCCAAAGTTGTCATTTTCTGATAACCCATGTTATTTTGATAATCTGTCATTGCCATTGCTTATCTGTGGTAGGTCTGAAGTGACAAAGAATGTTATTCATTCTGGCTCCAAATGACACAGTTTTCTTCACTCATGTATATGTTCGAAGTTATTTGTTAAAAGAGCACTAAGACTTTACAAAGACCGTTTATTTGTAAGCTACAGGAAGTTCATTACACCAATCATGACTGTGGTGGGACAGTGGATGTAGATAACACTATCTCTACTACAGTAATGATGCAGTTCTACAGGAAACTGCCATTATGTGAAGCTGATAGTGAATTGTATTCTTTCTTCTGATTATATCCCTACCCAAACCAAGGGCTAAGAGCCATTCAATTGAAGCTTATGTTGGATTCCGATGAATATTTTTATGGGGGATTTGCTCATAAATTTCATAATATAATAGCAATTTTGGCATTAGTGTTCATCTGTAACTGGTACGTAGTTGAAGATCCAAGAAAATTGTTCATTCTACCTTATTAAATAAACAGAATTTCAGGAAGTGTTTCAGAGTAAACAAAAAAAAAAGTCTGTGGGTTTAGTCTGCAAGTGATTTATACCGACAGAGCGACTGCCACTTGTTGACGAAGTTAGTGCCAACTATAGCAGATAAAGGGTGTCGTGTGGTCAGCACAATGAATCCCCATGGCCGTTAATTTCGGTTTTCTAGACCAGAGTGTTTCAGAGTAATAAATATAAACAAGACAGGTATTTTAAGTCTCTGCATATTTTTGTACTGAGAGGCCATGTTTGAAAAGAGTAATAAAATATGATTAGAAATTTTACATCTGTCCCTTCCTCCTTCCTTCTTCTCCTCTCCTCTTTAGGTTTATGAGATCGCCTTGGTGTATGTTTGCCCCCCCCCCAACTTTTGAATGCCTAAACCAATATTTATGAAACTTGGTATGAATATCATGACACCTGAACTCGTATCAACATAATACTTCATAAATCCTTCCTATCAGTAACACCAACATTACAGCCTTTTAGATTGCTAAGGTAAAACCTTAATATTGGTTGAACAACTATACCAATCTTCATGAAACTTCGTTATGTATATCATGCCAACACTGTAAGCCCTCAAACTTTTTGCTTAAGTGCCCAGACTGATTATCATGATACTTGGTATGTATATAATAAGATCCCTCTCATCAGTAGTACCAAAAATTCAGCCTAGCAGTTGTCATATGAAATGCTCAATTTGTAGTGAAAGGAAGGTAGGAGATTATTTCCCTGTTGTTCTATAAAATGGAATGATTAAATCTTTCCTCCAGTTCTGAGATATTATTTTCTTCCATACATTTCTCAGTACTCTGTAAAGCCACTGATATCCTACTGCCTTCCAGCTTTTGTCATTCCTTTTGATATGTCATCTTTTCCTCTTGCTTTTTGATGTGTCATTTTTCCCATTTACACTGCTAATTTCTTCATTATACTCTACTGACAAATCTTCTCCATTTTCTTGCTTTGTAACGCTGATCATGAGCCTCAAGAGGCATGATGCCAGTTGTAAAATAACTCTGACTTTGAGTTAGTTGCGAGACAGTCACCTGCCAGTAAGGACATAAGCAGAGGACATTGCTGGGATCTGTTACTAGGCAACTACTATTGTAGATATAGAAGACTTACCATGTGCTGTAGTGAGACGCAGAGTGTGTGAATTACTGACAGCGTAGAGGAAATACAGGCGTGGGTCATTCCAGATGTTACACAAGAGCAAACAGCTTCCATTTCAGCTGATAATCTGTTACAGAGAGTAAGGTAAGATAAAAGTTGTCCCTGTGATTAAGTAATTAAGCAATACATCATGAAGGTGTATTGGGGAGTGGATGTATAGATCCATAAAACTGTACAAATTGTATAAGGTTTGCCATAACTTTTACTACTAAAATTAACTTATTTACTATATTGTACATGTTTATCAGTATTTTATACAAATGTGCATGCTATTGGATGACAACTGTAATCCTTAGTTGTGACTGTAACAAGGACCATCTCCACATCCGCATGAGAATGTACTCTCGACAGGATTTATGGAAGGTGAATAAATTAAATGAAATGAAATAACTTCAGCACTAGTTGGAGCTCCACGCCCCGGCCGCTTTACCCCCTGTACCCATGGATAGGAGGCTGGGTGGACCCCAGAGCCGGTCTCAACGACATTGAGAAAAGAAAGTTCTTGACCCTTCCAGGACTTGAACTCCTCTCCTCTCAGTCATCCAGCCCAGTCGCTATACTGACTACACTAGCCCGGCTCTCTGTTACAGGGAGTAGTAGTCTCTAATACAGCAATAAAGAACAGGAGAGAGAGGGCATTCTCCAAGCAGGATGTCGGGATTTCCAGAATGATATAGCTTTCTCAGTTCCTCTGTAGCCTTCAGACTGTGTGTTTCAACTTGAGAAGTTCTGACTCATGTTATCTACACATGGTGCATAAAGGAAGCATAAAGATAAATAGCCCCTCCCAGCAAACACAGCTGCAGAACAATATCATGTTTCATGTGAGATGTACTATGCAGAGCTGTAAACATTAATGACAGGCTCAAGAACAGTTTGTGCTAATGTCAGAAGTGGATAGTCAAAAAACAAAAATGAGTATCTCTTCCTCAGAAAAACCACCATATAATGATTATGATGAGAGTTCTAGTTTTAATACTGAGTTAACATTGACATCCCCAGACATAACATCATCACATTACAATACTACAGACTTTTTGATTGCATCAGCATTAACAAGTTTTACAAATATGGTGGCTGCAAATACAGTTCCTACAGAAGATCCATCAGTGAACTACACAGGAGTGGCAGGAGCCAATATACAGTTTCAGCTCTATGATTATCTCATTCCCACTATTGGAGGAATTATATTGTTACTCAACTTGGCTGTGGTAATATCTTCAGGACTGATACTGAAAGGGCGAGCTCAGCCACGGACTACTTATCTGTTCCTTGGAAATGTGGCAATGGCAGATCTGGTGACCAGTGCAGCTATGCTGTTTGGACAACTGTATCCAAGAGAACTTAGAAATGAACTTCTGTGTATGTTACAGATAGGTATGTTATTCTTACTTTAAAGTACAGGGTTGTTTACAGGTAAGAACAAAAGTAATACAGTATATTCTAGCTGTTTAGAAAAACTTACTTTCTTATTATATATTTAGATACATAATTTTTAATGTATGCTTTGTAATTTAAATGTTGGTATTTAATCAACAATATTACATTTTCTATTTAAATACAGGTTCAGGTGTAGAACTACCAAAATTATGCCCTGATAATTATTCATGACTTTAAGTCAGGTAAAGTTACAATGGGTCATAGGTTCGAGTTCTGATGAGGTGAATTTTTTTCAACTTACCTAATCCTTCCAGCTGCACTATGGTCCTGGGGGTTGACTCAGCCTCTAACAGAAGTGGGTACCAGGAATCTTCCTGGGGGTAAAGAGCAGCTGGTGCGTAAGGCTGACAACTTTACCGCCATCTGTGAGCTGACTATATTTATCTGTAACTTGTATCTTCTGCACGGATTGTCAAGAAAAAATGGTAAACTGAAATCATATTTGTTCCTGAATAGTTTTAAGAAATAACTCATATTTCATTTAAAATTCAGGATCATCAAATCACACTTTATAAATCTCTTCTGGATTTCCTCCAATAAGCATTTACATGCAGTAAACTCTCCATTATCTGACATATACGGGGAATGGGCTGTGCCAGTTACAAGAGGAACTCTTGAAGAGCTCAATTTTCAAAATATTTACCATTTTCCAGTCACTGAACATTTTAATTTTGTTTCAAACCAACGTGTTTTCACTTCAGTTCTTGTGGGGGGGGATGTCTTCTTAGGGAATATACTAGATTAAAGATTTTGGATATAGTGTAATGCAATTACAAATTCAATTAATCTCTTATGTAATCACATATCACTACAACTGCAATGCCATCCTCATGAAGGTGGATGGCCAGTGCTGCTGGGAGAACAACCATGCAGCAGGTGAACATATTGGCATTGCAACGCAGTTTTGGAGTAAGGTTATAAAATGGTAAACTTTGTTTCAAATTTGTGCCAGTTACATGAGAATTCTGAATGCCTAGATACCAGATATTCAGGAATTTGCTATGTCTCACACAGCACGCTTCATTTTGTACCCATAAAGACACAGTGAAGAACGAAAGATACTGTGTAATAGGGCACTTTGTGATTTATATAATGTTCCCACTACTGTTTGGGAACTTAAGTCAAGGAGGAAGATGTATCTCTTACCAGTCAATTAGTTTCTCTGCTCCCCCCCCCCCAAATAGTAATTTTGGTAGCATTTCATATTTGGCTTTGGAGAGATGATGGCAAGCAAGACTCATGTTGATAAGGAATCAGAATTAATCCAGTAGAAGAAAGCTGGCATGTAAATAGAGCCTAACATTGCAAACATAGAAAACCTACTATTATAAAATGTACGTACCTGTAATTTTCAGGAAGCCAAGATAGATCAGTCATGGGCTGGATGGCCAAAGGGTCTCGGTTAGATTCCTGTTAAGGGGAAGGGGTTCTTCACTGTAACATTCAAACTGGCTCTAGGGCCCACCCAAGCCTCCTATACAATGGGTATAGAGGACTGTACCCTGGGAGTAAAACAGCAGGGGTGTGAAGCTGAACACTCATCTCTACCTAGTGGTGGAGCTATACTTTTCACTGCTTCATACATATTCTTGGCATGATGCTTAATTAATTAAGCCCACGGATATCATTACATTTATCTTTACTTGGAATTAACATGTCAATATCAACACAGCTTTGAGATATCTGACAACACACAGTGAAAAAACCTGCAAACACAAGTATATTTTATGTTAAAACTGTGGTGCACATTATGTGAATACAACTAGTTGTTTACTTCATTAGCAGAAGAGTTCATATGGTTTGTCCTATCCATCCACACAGCTGGATCTTAAACCACGTTAATTTATATTGTCATAATATTTTTACAACATGGGAACTGAGAAATGTATGAAAATTTTAGCCAGAAACCCTGAACGGAAGAGAAGAGTTGGGAGACTGAGGCATAGATGGATGGATAATAGTAAAATGGATTTTAATGAAGTAGGGCGTGGACTGGACTCATCTGGCTCATGATATAGACCAGTAGTGGACTCTTGTGAACATTGTTATGAGGTTTCAGTTTTCCATAGAATGTAGGGAATATCTTGACAAGTTAAGTAACTATCTGCTTCTCAAGAAGAACCCTGCTCCATGGAGGTAATTGTGACATTTCTGTATCTTCTTCCAGGTATGATAGTTTCCAGCACGTTGGCATCCATATGGAGTGTTCTTCTGATTGGCATTGACCGCTTTTTCTACATTGTGCATGCTCTGAAGTATCAGCAATTGCTGAATCCATGTCGAGCTCGATGGCTCATTCTTTGCACATGGATTCTTGGTTTAACCATTGGATTCATGCCTGCTATGGGGTGGAAAGGTTGGACCAATGGTGGGAAATACTGCTGGTTTATACGACTAGCACCACATGGCCTAGTACTTCTGACTGGAGCTTTAGGATGCCTTCCTATCATTATCATCACTGTTTTGTACATGATTATTCTGTACCAGGCCCTTCACAAAATAATGCAGTTACAGAAGTGTGACCATGAAGCTTCAATACGGCATATACCCAAAGATGACAATAATCCAAATACAATGCGAATTTTCAGGGGTGGTCAGAGCAGTAAAGAAAGTAAAGAAGATAACAGGAAACAACGCTCACCTAAAAAATCAAGAGCTATTATGGTGGTACTTCTCACAACTGGATCATTCATTGTGACATGGATACCATATTTTATAGCCTCAACAATGTATGTCTTCTGTGAGAAAAAAGCTACAAATGAAAATACATGCAAGTCTTTGCGTCTTGCTATTGCATCTCCATTGGCAATCCTGGGATTCTTGAACTCACTCTTAAATCCTTTAATTTATGCATGGTGGCACAAAGGATTCAGAACATTTGTATTCACTAAAATACTTTTCAGAAAGAGGTCACAGAATCACACAAATCTCAGAAAGAGATTAAATAGGAAAACAACCACATCATCAAATTCCAGCGCCAACACAACTGCGAGTTCTACTTGCACATCTACTCAGTCAAGGCCAACAAGTCGCAAGATAAGTTCAAGAATGAGTGAAGGTCCATACATTGTTGATAATGAAGACACCCGCCTTTAACAAGTCTCCTTCAAATTCTACAGAATTTCAATTTATGTCATTTCTACTATAAGATCAAGATATGACTAAAATTTTCACTAAATTTCAGGAACATAAACAACATACTTACATAATCCAGTGGCACCATGTGACTTTTTCAAAAGTATCAGCCAAATCCTGAGGCAGTGAAAGGTCATGAAAATGTTTGAAATTGAATATATACATTATACAAGACAACTATGCAAATTTGAGCTAAAAATTAATTAAGTTAAGGAATAAAAGACAAAGAAAGTGTAAACTATATAAAAAAGTGATTGGCAACTACTGAGTTTACCTTATTTTATTACACCATGGACTCCAGGTCCATGTGACTTGATGAATACTCCTCGTTATGTAGCTTCTGCACTGACAGCACAGAAAACAGTTGTGTGATAGCTACCACTCTTGCGTGATGTCGCGTTTAGTGATTGCCTAGCAACAGTCACTGCACGGGCTCCCCTACTGTATGACGCTGGGTCTGCAAAGGCGTTGGTGGGCAACGCTGTGTGGCAACCAGCGTGCTTTGGCTTGGCTCGGCACAGACAAACCCCGCTTTGCTTACTGTTGCATAACCTCGTTTCCACTGTTGCGTAACTTGGCAACCGACCATTTATCAAGGGTCTGTTTTTGTGGTAACTCGTTCCACCTCCCGTTGCCCAGCAATGGTTAGACATGTCACAATATGTATCAGAGTCACAGAAATTTGGGCTATTTTCTAAGCCTTGAGGAATTTTCTTCTCAGTTGTCATTCATGATAACTGAATGAGTCTCACTCTAGTCTGCATGCTGTCTAAATACATACAGACCCTCTTCAAAGCACAGAATGATCACACAACAGATACACTGCTCTGTCAGTATGCAAGCAACTGAAGTACTTTAACATTCCTCACTTGCCTAACATAATAGTTTGGAATTGGCTTGTACTCCCTCCTTTCGTCATGCCTGTAATGTATTGTATCTATTCTAACTGTGTATGCCCTCGTAAGTGACTAGCACAAGCCGGAAAGAACTAACTGACAGTGTCTGTGATGGGCTGGCTGGAGGTAGCAAATGATGTCTGTATCTCCTGCCAGTATATGGAGTACCATTGAACTACAAAACTAACATTTTAGTTTTATTTTTTTAAAGTGTTAGCATGGCTAACACAGTAAGAATGCTCTGCCACTTATATAATCCAGTTTCTCAGTTTTACTCTTCTTCTATATAGGTTAGTCATCAATGATGTGAATGTACTTCTGTTGTGTGTATTCCTCTTTCTCACATAACCAGTACCACTTCCCTTGCATAATCATTGAATATGGTTCATGTATCTGTATGTCCATTACATACATTTCAACACTCTCCAGCGCCTGAAGTCAGAGTCATAAAATGTATTCTGTAAAATGAATATACTGATCACTTCAAATATAAGATGCACATTTTACACTTTGTCTTCTGTTGAAAAATAGAGGTGAGTCTTAAATTCCAGGAATGTGCAAGTTTCTGTCTTTCTATTTTTCCCCATAAACTCACATTCAAAAATTGGAAACATCTTAAATTTGAGGACATCTTATATTTGAAGTAATTTGGTATTTGTTGAGCTGAATACTTCTTTATGAAAATTCAACTTCAGTGAAAATGTAATCTATGCAGTGTAAATAAATTATAATTATTATCACACAAAAAATTATGAAGAAACTGGTAATTATTTAATGTTCATTAATAATTGCAATGTGCATAAAAAACAGAAGCAGAAACAGTGAAAGAGAATATTTCAATAAATATCCCACTCTGACAAAAATGCTGTAAAATTTTGTACATGTTGCACATACTATGCATAACACATACTGTGTTATGCTCTATACCAGTGGGTGCTGGAGGAGGACTTATGTGGTGGGGATCACTTGACTCTGACTCTTCCAGTCTGACATACTAAGTAGATTCTAAAGCATGTCAAAATTATATTAATTAAAGCAATTATTTACCAGGCATGAATTTAATAAATTGCATACAAGTTCTGATAGTCATTTTAGTCATGTCATACAAAGTGAGAAATTTACAGGAGGCTAGCAGCCTTACATAGTTACAATTGTCAATGTACTAAAAGCATAAACTGAGTCTAGTTTTATAAAATGGCGATTAAAATACTTTTGTGCTTAAACATCAGAAATCATTCAACAACAAAAGCTGAGACTAGATTCATATTTCTGAAATAACCATCCCTTAGAAAAATTAATATAATAAAAGATACAAGACTAAAACAATAATTATATTTCTACTCCAAAAACAGAAAGACACTGAGTATTTCCTATAGTAGCATGGGCATGACTAGTTTACAAAATGATAATGCTGTATCTATATAATGGAAAACAGTGGCAGATACAGAAGTTGATCAATAGGTCAGTTGAAATCTCTTTTACTTTGTAAAATAAACAATGCTTCTAAAATACATTTAACATTTATACTTCAATACTTCTAAAATCTCAAGTCCGGTTATTTGTGTCTCAAGTATTACATTGTGTGTTAATCTGGTTTTGGTTCCCATGATGTGGTTCCATTTAAGTTGAACACTGACTTTAAGTTTTATTTCATTGTTACATTTTATTGGGAAAATTTGTGCCCGCATCTCTCATGTCTTTGCCCTTATTCTTATAGTGTTCATTTGCTCCTACTGTTCACAACAAGTAAATTTTCTAGATCACTTGACCTTGAATTTCTGTTCAAAATTTGATACTTTACACACATCCACTTCATTCATTATAAAGAGAAGAGCTGTAAAGTTTTGGCATACACAGTTTAAAATGTTTCACTGTGAAATGAACACACTCGCTAAAGAGACACAAATACCAGATCTTGCACAACCACTGAATCAACTTAGCAAGTCATGTGCACAAATCCCTCTGCCCCCCCTCCCTCCCAGGTGATTTGTTTACGTGTTCCATTACTATTTCAAAAAATTCTGGTAATGTCTGGGCCTCACTAAAAACATACCCTACCTTAGAGCAGTTGTGGTACAAAAATACTGCACAAATCTTCAGTGTCCTCTAACAGGTCCCATTCCTTCACATTCTCTTTAATTATATTAAATAACACAGATTAGAAAGACTGATGTTAGGCACACAGAAATACACATAGCTGAGCTGTCATTACCTGATCCTATTCCTTTTGAGGTTGAAACTGCTACTGCAAAGTTGAAAAGGTATAAATCGTCAGGTAGTGATCAAATTCTGGCAGAACTGATTCAAGCGGGAGGTTAAACATTACTGTCCGAGATCCATATATTCATTCATTCTGTTTTGAGTAAAAACTGCCAGATTGGTGGAATTTACAGTAAGGGTGATAAAACTGACTGTAATAATTACCAAGGAATATCACTGTTATCAATTTCATACACTATTTTATCGAATAAAGCACAGTGCTTTATTTTGTATTTCTTTATGGACTTGCAACATTCTGGGGGACATGGTAGTGTAGTGGGTTGAGGCACTATGTTACACGCTGGAAGGTTCGATTTCCGATGAAGTCATTGGATTTTTCTATTGACATAATCCTTCCAGCCGCACTATGGCCCTGGGGTCAACCCAACCTCTAATAGAAATGAGTATGAGAAATCTTCATGGGGTTAAAGGGGGGCTTGTGCATAAGGATGACAACCTCACCACCATCTGTGAGCCAACTGACTAGAAAATGTATGAGCCTCAATGGCCTGTTACAGATATATCTTCATATTTTTTTTACCTTGAAATGTTCCAGTTTTTTTACTGAGGATGGCTACAGCTACCAGAAGGAAGTGAGACAAGATTTATATACATTCTTTACAGAAAGATCATAAAATGGAAGCATAGTAAAGAAGTAAAGAAAATTTAATTTTAGTTCATGTCAATTAAATATACATTCTAGTTTACAAGATGGTGAAAATTAAATTTCTTCATTTTCTTAGAACTGAATCAAGCAAAAATCTTGTACATAACTTTAAGTATACAGATCATTAAAACCAACAACCCTATTTGAAGCACATTCTGATGTGGTTAATACTCGTATTTAACGAAAGAAGAAAAAATAACTTAAGGACATATGAATAGCTCTGCATCAGTATATTTGTATATACAACATAACTGATTAATGGCATTCACTAGTATTTTAATTATACTGTGTAAGTAAATATTATGTTAGGATATAGCAACCAAAAGAGGATTACTGAAGTAAAGGAACCCAGCCTATTTTGGAGGTGATTTAAATCAGTGAGATTACATTTGGGAAGTATGAGCAGACTAGGCCGCACAATAGCTCAATCGGTTATTCACTGGCTTCCCACTGCAGTGGTCCAGGTTCGAACCCGGGTCTGGTTGTGTAGGATTTGTGGTGGACAAAGTGGCACTGGGGCAGGTTTTCTCCAAGTACTTTGGTTTCCCCTGCCAATCTTCATTCCACCAACTGCTCCAAAATCACCATCACCTATCATCTGCAGTTGGTACAACAGGCCAGTAGTGGCTGCAGTACCAAGTCGATTCATAATAATAAAATAAAAAAATGAGCAGGTTGTCCCATAACTTGCAAGTTCACTTCATGGCCATGTTACCTAGAAAACTCACCATTAAATCTAGAGATATGAAATTTCCAACGAACATTAGTTAAGTATGTGACAAAAGATTTAAATTAAAATGACTGTATAAATGATTATTATTTCAATAAAATTAGATTATAATTACAGTACTAATTCTGTACTAATAGAAAAGAAGGGGAAGTTAAGTTGCATGCTTACACAGTCAACTTGGTGTTCTGCCAAAATGTTTAATTATTACCTCATAAAATGGGGATCAATTGGGGGCAGAGAAAGAGTAAATACTGGTAAACACATCTCAATATGATTCTTGGTCTGAAACATTCTTCAGTATGCTGTACTTAACAAGATTTGCTTAAAAACTAATTCAAACTTTCAGGCAGAGTGTTTCACACAGAGTATCACAAAAATCCAAACTGGTTTAAGAAATCTGAAGAAGCATCATATAGACAGATCCATAATGAATTTTTAATATACTTTTTGCATAAAGAGCTGCTAAAAAGGGCTGTCGTAAAACTGCTGCCATGTTAAACATGATAGATCACAATATTCTTTATGTACTTCTTAGTAATGTTACCTTAAATTCAAAATCATCTTTCTTTTTGAGTAAACAGATATATTTCTAATAATCTTTCCTCAAGATAATGATTAGCACTAAATTCACAATACTACACTACATACTACAGTTATTTTGTCAATGATATGCATGACAACAACAGAATAATACTCGTGTACAAAATGGTATGCTGCAGATGAAATGGGGGAACATATAGGCCACCTGTAGCAGTACATTTCTCCCAACACATCCCACATGGATGAAGATGAAACCAACCCAGCAACCATATGTGACCACTTCATTACTACAAACACAATGTGCAATTCTATTCCACTTCTATTATCTGGTAGGATCTACTAGTTATTTGTTACTATAACATAGTTCCAAGACATTTGCTGGCAGATCATGTATATACAACACAGTGCAACTGGGTGGTCTATATATTCTGTCTTAATTTTGTAGAGTGACCTTAAACACAATCAGGCATTTTATGAGTTAAAATGTCACTACAGGAAAGTACAAGTAATAAAATATTAATGAAAGTCAGAATGAATACTGTAACACAATAAGATGGGACTGCCAGTCTTCCATTAAATTAAAATAGTTACTTCTAGGAGAGTGAGAACAATTTATGGCATTATGATGTACATACTGGCTCCTGTGAACACCACCTGAGATCATACTACATGTTGTCAGCAGCGTACATTGTCTAGAATATCCTTACACATATCCACTATGTACTCAGTAACTGAAGGCCCAAGATCCCATTTGACCAATGCAACGCCCTGAAAGAAATTTTAGATACATGCAACATTAGAGATATTTCTTTCTGAACTTCAGAGTGCCCCCCTCCTAACTTTAAACCTGTTTCCCCTGTGGATACATTCTTATTCTAAACTAACAGTATGCCCGTATGACACATCAGGGAGGAGGTGTTTGTATATACATAAGTTCAGATATAAAATTTACTGCTGTAAATTTAGCACAGTTCTGTGATGAAAAAACAAAGAAATTTGTACACTTAAGATTTCTATAGCTAAAACCAACATATTTGTACTATGTATATATAGGTCACCTTGTGGGAATTTTGAGTACTTTGTAAATGAGTTGGATAAAGCACTCAAATTACTCTATAAACCAAAAATTTAATTTATAATATGTGATTTTAACGTAAATTTTTCAGAAGAGTCAACATGTAAAACACAGCTATTAGTGCTGCTGCAGTCATATAATATATTTCATACAGTACAGTTCAAAACTAGAATAACTGAGACCAAAAGCTCTGCAAGTGATAATATTTTTATACATAGGTCGTACCAAAAGTCATGAGCAACTTTTTTTTTTGCATGCAACCTGGGAACAGCAGATGAAAGAGAGTACTGTGGTAGGTGGAACCAGCTGTTATGTTAACCTTGAGTGTCCTGTGATGTCAATAGCTTGCATCACGTCACCAGTATCACTCCTAACAAAATGGCCGACATCCATATGTCGTTTCGCCCGCATGTTGTCATCGAATTTCTTGTGAAAGAGGAAATCCCTGCTGCAGAAATTCACCAGACTTTAGCATGCTTATGGAAGTGTGTGCATGGGTGCGAGCAGTGTTCGAAGATGGGTGAAACGTTTTAAAGATGGGAACACCAGCATCGAATATGAACCTTAGAGCAGTCATCCTCGAACAGCCTCATCTGAAGGCAACAAGGAAAGAGTGGATGAGATCATTCAAGATGACAGGCATGTAACTGTGGACACAATAGCCTGAAAACTTGGAATAGGGCACAGTGCAGTACACGAGATGATTGAAAGCTTGGGCTATAGGATAGTTTGTGCTTGTTGGGTCCCGCGGTTATTGACCGAAAACCACAAAGGTCAGCAAAAAGCCATCACCTCAGAACTGCTGCAGATATATTGACACGAAGGTGATGATTTTTTCCTCTGTATTGCGACAGGTGACGAAAGCTGGTTTCACCATTTTGAGCCTGAAACAAAATGGCAGAGTATGGAATGGCACCATTTGCATTCTCCATCAAAAAAGAGGGCAAAGACAGTGCCATCAGCTGCAAAGGTGATGGGCACAGTCTTCTGGGATGCAGAGGGGTTTATTCTGGTCAAATTCCTCGAACCTGGGCAAACCATCAATTCTGCTCGTTATGTCCAGATGCTGCACAAGCTCCATCGTGCATTGCGTGATAAACGTCCGGGACAAAACATCATCATCCTACATGACAATGCTTGGCCCCACGCTGCTCACCTCACATTGGAAGCAATTGCAAAGATGGGGTAGGAAGTTCTTCCACACCCCTCCTATAGCCCTGATCTGTCACCCTACGACTACCATCTTTTAGGATTTGTGAAGGATCAGCTGCGTGGACGTTTTGAGACAAGGGAGGAAATTCAGAAAGCAGTGCGTCAGTGTCTTCGGATGGCTGGAACGAAATTTTACAGAAGGGGAATTTTCAAACTCCCAGAATGCTGGGAGAAATGCATACAAAGAAGTGGTGATTATGTGGAAAAATAAAGAGAGGTCTGTAGACTGAGGTGGTGTATTTGGTTTGTCAATAATAAAGTGTGTTACTTTACAAAAAATTTTTGTTCATGACTTTCAGTACGACTCTCCTAGATAAGGCAAGGATAAAATCATATGAAGTGATCTCTTATTAGTAATGGACTATCAGATCACAATGCTCAGTGTCTAGTACTAAAAAATATCAATTTTCGTGGAGAAGAAAAAAGGGGAGGGAATGACAAGAAGATTAGTAAATGAAGACTCAATTGCTCAATTTCTTAATAAACTATCTAATGAAAAATGGGTATATATATATATAAACTTAATGATGTAAACGAAATATTCAACTCATTTTTAAGTAAGTATTTACTTGTCTATGAGCCATGTTTCCAAAGCAAAATGTAACAAATAAACTCAAGGATAATGGCTGGATAACAGCTGGTATACGTACCTCCTGTAGATGGAAGGAACCTTTGTTCATTCTCTGCAGNCATACAAAGAAGTGGCGATTATGTGGAAAAATAAAGAGAGGTCTGTAGATTGAGGTGGTGTATTTGGTTTGTCAATAATAAAGCATGTTACTTTACAAAAAATTGTTGCTCATGACTTTCAGTANGTACGACTCTCCTAGATAAGGCAAGGATAAAATCATATGAAGTGATCTCTTATTAGTAATGGACTATCAGATCACAATGCTCAGTGTCTAGTACTAAAAAATATCAATTTTCGTGGAGAAGAAAAAAGGGGAGGGAATGACAAGAAGATTAGTAAATGAAGACTCAATTGCTCAATTTCTTAATAAACTATCTAATGAAAAATGGGTATATATATATATAAACTTAATGATGTAAACGAAATATTCAACTCATTTTTAAGTAAGTATTTACTTGTCTATGAGCCATGTTTCCAAAGCAAAATGTAACAAATAAACTCAAGGATAATGGCTGGATAACAGCTGGTATACGTACCTCCTGTAGATGGAAGGAACCTTTGTTCATTCTCTGCAGAGACAATTACAACTATTTGTTTAAATCATACTATAAATCCTACTGCATGATATTAAGAAGAGGAATAATTGAAGCTAAAAGTAAATATTATAATCAGTTAATTACATCAGCCAAAAACAAATAAAAACTACCTGGACCATTATCAACATTGAAACAGGTAGGATTAACAATCAGAATAAAGAACGTCTACCTCAGACTTTTCAAAATAATAGTAAAAAAAATATATACTGAAGAAGCACCTCATAGTTTTAATAAATATTTCACATCAATAACAGAAAACTAATACTTGCATTCCCATTTCCCAAATGGTCTTCCAGATATGAATCTTAATTTAGTTGCAGAAGAGGAAATAATTAGTATAATTAGTAAATTAAAATCAAAAAACTCTNTATATATATATATAAACTTAATGATGTAAACGAAATATTCAACTCATTTTTAAGTAAGTATTTACTTGTCTATGAGCCATGTTTCCAAAGCAAAATGTAACAAATAAACTCAAGGATAATGGCTGGATAACAGCTGGTATACGTACCTCCTGTAGATGGAAGGAACCTTTGTTCATTCTCTGCAGAGACAATTACAACTATTTGTTTAAATCATACTATAAATCCTACTGCATGATATTAAGAAGAGGAATAATTGAAGCTAAAAGTAAATATTATAATCAGTTAATTACATCAGCCAAAAACAAATAAAAACTACCTGGACCATTATCAACATTGAAACAGGTAGGATTAACAATCAGAATAAAGAACGTCTACCTCAGACTTTTCAAAATAATAGTAAAAAAAATATATACTGAAGAAGCACCTCATAGTTTTAATAAATATTTCACATCAATAACAGAAAACTAATACTTGCATTCCCATTTCCCAAATGGTCTTCCAGATATGAATCTTAATTTAGTTGCAGAAGAGGAAATAATTAGTATAATTAGTAAATTAAAATCAAAAAACTCTTCAGGGTATGATGGTGTAACAAATAAAATTATAAAACCATGCAGACAACAAATTAGTAAACCTCTAACTTATGTAATTAATAAGTCATTAACCATGTGTCTATATCCAGAAAGAGTGAAATATGCAATTATTAAGCCAGTATACAAAAAAGGGGAAAAGTAACTACAGGCCAATATCTATAGTAACTGGGTTTGCAAAAGTTTTTGAAACAGCAATTTTTAGAAGACTCAATGATCATATTGTACAACATAAAATATTNGAATAATTGAAGCTAAAAGTAAATATTATAATCAGTTAATTACATCAGCCAAAAACAAATAAAAACTACCTGGACCATTATCAACATTGAAACAGGTAGGATTAACAATCAGAATAAAGAACGTCTACCTCAGACTTTTCAAAATAATAGTAAAAAAAATATATACTGAAGAAGCACCTCATAGTTTTAATAAATATTTCACATCAATAACAGAAAACTAATACTTGCATTCCCATTTCCCAAATGGTCTTCCAGATATGAATCTTAATTTAGTTGCAGAAGAGGAAATAATTAGTATAATTAGTAAATTAAAATCAAAAAACTCTTCAGGGTATGATGGTGTAACAAATAAAATTATAAAACCGTGCAGACAACAAATTAGTAAACCTCTAACTTATGTAATTAATAAGTCATTAACCATGGGTCTATATCCAGAAAGAGTGAAATATGCAATTATTAAGCCAGTATACAAAAAAGGGGAAAAGTAACTACAGGCCAATATCTATAGTAACTGGGTTTGCAAAAGTTTTTGAAACAGCAATTTTTAGAAGACTCAATGATCATATTGTACAACATAAAATATTACTTTCAGAGCAGTATGGATGCCAAAAGGGATTTTCAACCGAAGATGCAGTGCTTAAATTAACCAATTACTTACAGTTTGGAATAGAAAAGAGTATGTAACTGGTATATTCTGTGACATAGCCAAGGTCTTTGACTGCATTATTCATGATCTTCTATTAATGAAACTGCAGTACTATGGAGTGCAGAGAGTATTATTGCAATGGTTTAAATCTTACCTCTAATATATGAGGCAAAGAGTGGAATTAAATTATATAAATAATAAATATTATTCTAACTGGGAAATTGTTGGATGTGGTGTGCCTCAGGGATCGGTGTGGCATGCAATGGGCTCAAAAGTTAAAAGTTAATAAATGGTCTGTGTGCATGAATTATATACTGTTGAGAGTTGCTTGTTGTAAGTGTAGTAGTATGTATGACGTCTGTTTTTGTTATGTATTTTAATATTTTATAATGTAATTGTTTTAATGATACATCTTGCCAGTGTGTGCAATGGCAAGGCATGAATATGACAGTGGTTTTTCCACGACTCATGTGTGTTGTCCTGACAACTTGAGTTATCTGTGAGAGGCCTGATTATATATTATATTGGACAAAAGACGAATGATGTGTAGTCATCATGAATTTGTAATATGTGACATGTTTTATATCCAGCCCTACAGGGAGATGACTGGACCCATGATGTGAAAATAAATGTAAATGTAAAATGTAGATTTAAATCTGCCACAACAAAATATATCTAATTTGGATGATATACTACCTACACAATTAATTTAATATATCTCTAATCAAATAATGAGATAAATTCAGAAGAAATGCTTCTATTGAAATTCGCAAGTAAGTCAACATAAAAGGAACTAAGAAAATATTTTAAACAGGAACAGATTTATGATACAGAAAACTGAACCAAAGAATGTGTATGCTGTATTAATCTACAGACCAAGTGAGGTTTCAATCTCACTTGTGATTTGGTAATTCATATATGAAGCCCTCTATGATGTTACTTTCTTCCTTTCTCCTCCAAAAAATATGTGTAATTTTTGGACACATAGGGAACTAAGAACCATGACTTAAAGACTTCTCTTATGGGTTCCATAACCTATGAACCAGTTTTTAAAATACACTAAAATGGGGGAAAAGGACAGAAGGAAACTGGAATCAAATACTGGCAAAATAATCACTTATGTCTCTTATGGGTTCCATAACCTATGAACCAGTTTTTAAAATACACTAAAATGGGGGAAAAGGACAGAAGGAAACTGGAATCAAATACTGGCAAAATAATCACTTATGTCTCCCAGGCATATTAAAGAGGACCTATGGATATTACTTTTCGAAGTTCTTGAACCCTTAGCTCAATACTTTTTAATACACGGAATTTTAAACCATATACAGAAAGTTGCTAATCACTGGTATCTATGATTTCATGGGTCAACATCTATTGCACACTTATGTGCCAATTTCAAAATCAAAGCTTTGTTTACTAGTTTCTCTTAATGTTTAACTTCACAGAACTGCATGCTGATCATACTACAACAGCTACCAAGGAGATGACAAAATATATTACATGCATGCAATCACACTCTTTTTTCCCTTGCAACACTTCAGAAGGCAAGCCCATACATTTAGAAAACAATGGATCTGTTGCAAAAAATTAGTTACTGTTCTGGTGTAAGGCAGAAAGGCATATTAAACCTGAATTTTCAGTCCTGTAACATGAAAATATCTAGAGTTTTTTTTATATAATTTTGTATACCACCATTTCTATAAGGCAAATGGATAAAATGATAAAACACTACCTATAATGATTACAAATAATGAGCAGTTGAAAGTGGGAAGCAGTGATTGTGGCCCACATTAACCTTCATCATCACAATGTACCCAGTATGGGCATTTGAAAGTTATGACCTGTTACCAAACGTACCTAGTGGCATCATGTTAAGACTATTCTGACACTGCACTAATATGCATTTGTGACACAACAAACTTTCAGACCTACTTCCTCTAATCTTCTATATGGGCAGCTCAGGACTCCAACTGCTAAAATATAAACAAAATCTGATGTGCTTGCAAAAGGTCTGACACAAAGGATTGCCCAGATGAGATCCCAGAATTCACTGCTTATGAATTTAGTGAAGGAGTCGAGAAGAGCTGATATGCAGTTTCTCTACAGCTCACATGTATTTATACATACAGAATACTAAAAAGATGGGGCACATGGTAGTGAAGTTGGTTGAGGCACTATGCTACAAACCAGAAGGTTGTGGGTTCGATTCCTGATGAGGTTATTGGATTTTTCAATTGACCTAATCCTTCCACCTGTATTATGGCTCTGGGGTTGACTCAGCCTCTAACAGAAAGGAATATGAGAAATCTTCCTGGGGATAAAGGATGACTGGTGCATAAGGCTGACAATTTCCTCACTGCCATCTAGAAAAATGTGGGCGTCTCAACGTCTCACAACCAAATGTACCTCCATGGACTGTTACTGGGGCAGTTTTACTTTTTTTTTAACCAAAAAGATATCTGTTATGCCTACAGCTCATTCAGTTTTTCAATACTGGATTGTTATTGCTGCATTATATAATACTTCATACCATAATTCTGTGCTTGTGTTTTACTTGTGAGACTTGTAAGATAAAATGGCAAGGGCCATTTATTTTCTGATGGGCCATCAGGCTTGAGAATTCAGTTCAAAAATGACTCAGATCCACTGTGCATCTCAATGTATTCATAGCAGTTCTGCAATGACAGGTGGCTGAAGAAACCAGGTACCATGACCAATATTTCAACACTCAAATGAAAGACTGTACTCAAAATCTGACATGAGAGTACCTGAAATGCACTTGCTTTTGGCCCTAATCAAAGAGATGGGACATGATTTACCAGAATCTGAAGGGGCACTGGTGTAAGCTCTAGAATAATTTCATACAAATACAAATTTTAGTCCTCAGGGTCATGATACTGCACAGTCTGGTATGTGGGTACCAATATTGTGATGAAATACACTGCCTCCTTCATCAGGTAGAAGTGAGCAAATGTGGGAAAGCGGCAAGTTATATGGAAGTATACAGAAAGGCAATGAGTCATGGATGACAAGAGCATTTGTATCACCTGGACACTGATACTGATGGCCATGGTCTGGAAACAGAGTGACATTTACAACCTGACAAATATGAACCCTACAAAGAAAGTTGCTCATGCCATAATGTTTCTGAATTTTATCTGAGAGATGATTAGTTTGAATCTCAATGAGACACTGACTATCCTAAATGAAGGTGTTTGTAGTATTCCTCAGTTCTTCCAGGCAAATACCAAGATAGTACCTAAATTTAGACTATGACCACTTCCTTCCAAATCATCTCCATTAATTATTCACTAATCAGCCTACCAATTAATACTTTATTTTCTGAGCTACTAACAATACCAATATACAGAATGTCCCCAGAGTTTGGTGCCATACTTCAGGAGCATACTGAGGTTTCATTATAGAATAACTTTGAAACAGGAGCCCATGTCCACAAACATAAAATAGCAGTGCTAGGGAGGAATTTAAAATCATTCTGTTTAAACTTGGTGCCTGGGACATCCTGTATAAACTTTGTCTAGTGTTACGATGTTGCTCATAGCCGGACTGTCCATGCTAAAGGTTATTACTCATTTTTACTTTCCATTTGTAGCTGCAAAGGTAAATAATTTTCACTGGTATAACTGATACAAATATGGAAACTGGGTTATCCACAAAAGATTATCTATCTTCTCTGAGAAGTTACATAGCTATAGGAATACTTCAGAATTCCTAAAAAATTAATGTGCTCAAAAATGAGAGAGCCTGAAGCTGGAAAACCACACTACTGAGAAAAATTCTTTAAATATTTCTGAAGCCCAACTAAAAGCAATAAAAACTGCTGAAGAATTACATGATAAATATGGTAAATTACACTATCCCTAATGTTATCTCAGATATTTAGAAGGTTTTTCAGTAGAAAGGAAAAACCCGTTAAAACACTATGAAATAAATTACACAAATACTGAAGAAAGCAGTCTTCTGGGATTTGGCACCATGTATATGTGGTGTTAACCGACGTTTCGGAGGAACGTATCGCCTCCATCTTCAGGGTAGAAGAAAAAGTATAAGAAATCTGCAAGCGACAAGACCGTGAGAACGGTAAACGTCGGTTAACACCACATATACACGGTGCCAAATCCCAGAAGACTGCTTTCTTCATAGTCACCACCATGAAAGCCTCAAATCTTACACAAATACTACTTAAAATCAAATGAAACAAACCTGTTTAGCTGTAATTATACATATGTATATAAAATACAACTCCATGCTTCCAATTATAATGTGCAAATATGTCTAGAGAGTGTAGAGTGAGCTACTTTCTCATGCACTAGTGGTCAGACACACAGCGTGCTAACAAATTATCTGCAAAAATAATAAAAAAAACACCAACTATAGTAATTGGGAATGGGGATGGTTGTTACAAGGATGAAAAGAATGAAAGACTGTATTTTGAAACTGCACACGTGAATACTGGGACTAGCATCTTTCATGCTATTTCAAGTGAGATAAATAAATGAACTTGTTTGGGCCTTTTGTAACAATTAGTCCCTGTAATCTTTAAAAAGCTCAACTGAAACATGGAATTCTAAAGTACTGTTTGAACACATGCCATCAGTTAGCAGAATAAATGGGAATATCAATACATAATGGTTTGTGGAAGGTTAACAGATCACAGTTTATCAGAGTTCCACCACCAAAACAGAATCAACATGTGGTGATTTACTTTTGGGATTAAACCAGTGATGATCTAACCTGGGTTCAGGTAATGTGTTTCAAAATAAAGCAGATTTACAAAGCTTAACATGCAACCCACATTACCTCATGGTTTGAACAACTGTACATGACTACAACACTACAACACCCATATGTACTTGTATAACTGCTACACAACAGCATTTAAGAGGTCACAAGGCATGCAAATTGTGAGGAATAAGACTAAAGTACTGAAGTGCAAGAAGCTGATTTTTTTTATTGCTAGTGGGGTGGGACTAAGTCCCTTGTACTGCGGCCACTTCTGGCCTATGGTACCAACCCCAGACGATAGGTGAGGGTGACTGTGGAGCAAGTGGTGGAATGAAGATTGGCAGGGGAAACCAAAGTACTTGGGAGAAAACCTGACCCAGCGCCACTTTGTCCATCACAAATTCCACTTGACCAGACCCGGGATCGAACCTGGGCTGCCGTGGTGGGAAGCCAGCGACTAACTGCTTGAGCTATGGCGCGGCCAAAGAAGCTGATTACTTCAGAACGCAGACAACTGAATTTTATGGAATAGCTGTCCTGCAGTTAGTGACAAAACAAAATGCGTGTTCATATGAGGGTCTGTGTGAACTTCCTAACACATATTACAGAGCTGTCCAACAGATGTCTACTTCATATCTGGAACTTCAGGATTTCCAACTACTATGCCCATACATTACAATAACTGCAGTTGCCTCTCAATCTAATCACACAGTTTTTTTGAAGGGAATAATTTAACAGGAAGATCTCATGAAAGAAAGATAACGTTAAAAAAAGGGAACTAAAAATTCACACTTTCCATATAGTAAATTGTTACATGCAATGCCATCATAACAGAGCTTACTGTGTTATTAACGTTTTAAGTATGGGATATTTAAACCTTTGCCTGGCATGTGGACATAATTAAAAGTGGTAGTTTAAAATTCTAATTTCCGAATAGAAACAGAATAATAGAGGAATGAACGCCTCATACTTCTAAAAACGTTTTATCATTTTTTTGTCCGAATTACATGTGTTTATTTGTGTCTGCTTAATAAAACTGTTTGATTAATAAAGGACCTACAGCTAATCTATGAACTTAAAAAATGCAACTGCATCCTGTGATGCATGGCTATGCTACGTGTGCGGTTCCACCCCATATTCCACATCATACCTAATTATGGTTTGTATATTCATGAAACACACAGTTTCAACACTCTCTCTCTCCCTCTCTACACTTGACAGGTAGGGAAGGTCTGCTTCATTCCTCGATGATCACAGGTTTCCCATCTTCCTTGAAGTTACCTTCTGCAGGTGCAATGTGCATATTAGAAAGGACATAAACTTCTTGTTTGTCCTTCCAACACAGAACCCTCGGATTTCCTTGCACTTCAGTCACTAATGTTTAGGACTGAAATTAGTTGGCATCTCCTCCCTGTTGTGATGAACTGTACCGCATGCATTTATTATTCTGTGGTCTAGATCACTGAAAAGTTTCAGTGAGGTGAAATGATTGTCCATGAATATTTTGTGTCCAACATAAACTTTCCAAACCAGTCACAGTACCATTCCATGTGTGGGTTTAACATCTGTGTTAGCCATGTTTCTTTGTTTTCCCAGGTACACCCTCATGTCATATGTGTAACCATATCTGTCACAAAATTTATAAATTTTTATGCCAAATTTGTGTTTTTTTTTGCTGTACTGCCGATAGGCAACTTTTGAGTTGTATGATTACTTCATCCACTGTCATAATTCTGAATTTAGAGTGTCAAATATTTGTCTATTTTCCACAATCTGTCATAATCAGCATCATCTCTGTTTTGTGCTAGTGGGGTCTGATTGCCCGCAAACTGCAAATATTTCAGAATCGTGAGAAGAGGATCATGTGACATCTTACTGGAATGGAGAGTAATGTGGTAGAGTTCGTCTTTGGTCTAGTAGAGCTTCATGCTGGGCTTTGGTGGAAACTCATCTGAACTATGCTAATAACTGAAATAAATGCNAACTGGTGCACATCTGCCTTATCAGAAGGAAGCTGGTGGTGCCACTCTAAATCTTCATAATTTTCTGCAGCAGATGATAGATCCTGAATTGTAGTATCTTCAAGCTCTTCTTCTGAATTGTTGTCAGTGTACAATCTTCAGCATCATCTTGCAGATACGCCATATCGACTAACAGACACGCACTTTGAAGGTCCTGCCATACTGATTGCAGATCACTGGTCTACTGAACATACTTGAGTGTGGAAACAGAACGAAGCAGGATGAGGAACTGAAGCCGCCACTGAACGCTACAATACCCCTCACTTCTTCTTCCCTGTTCATAAAACTGCTTCATATGCACATGAACAAAGAAAATTACAGATGGGTGGTAACAATCCACCATGGACAACCATGACATAGATCTAGTCATATACAATTTTCATTTCCTCTCACATATTTGACCTCCCCATGTCTATTTATCAGGTTTGAATAGCAATTCTACTGTTACAGATGTCAAAAATGGAATAAAATGTCAGAAAATTGTTGCATGTGATTAGAACAGGCATATGCATAGGAAAATAAATTTGATGCATGGACTGTTTACATAAAGATAATGTTGTAACCTTGCACAGTAAAATTCCAAGCTTTGTTTGGACTAAGCACCTACACAGGGTGCTAGAAGGGTTCTTCATGAAGATGATGAGACAGTCAATATATGGCTACTTCAGTTCTTTTATGCAACAAATTAATTTTATTGACAATGCTTTCTATATTATCTGAACCAACAACATACATATAAACAGTAATGTACTACATACCATCCTCATCAAATGTAGCAAGTGTGAGTTTACTCAATTTATTACTTAGACAAGACTGCGGCAGTTCTCGGCGATTCACCATTGTCAGTGGTACTTGTGTATCTGCTGGAAAGAAAGACTTTTATGTTATTCATCCAACTTTTCTTTATTGTACAGACATGAAATTGAATTATTTTTATTCAGTAATTCCTTACCATCGCTATCTGTAGATGTGTCATATGCTGGTCGGTCTGGTTCATCAGTATAGGCAGCTGTTGTTTTCTGTTTAATTTCTTCCACAAATCCAGATATCAGTGTATCCATCATCACAGCCTGAAGTAGAACACATGGCACTATAGTGACTGCTTGATTACATTCTGCTGGGGGACTTGAACACACTCCAGTTCCATGTATGGATGCTGCTATAACAGTGGTCTATAACAGTGGTGTCCTAAAACCAGCATGCTTTCAATAGATTCCAGGCTGTTCTTTAATGAAGTGAGAGAAATATCTACCAAGTACAGAAAAGGATGTCACTGGTATATATTATTACTGAAAGAGCAATTCCCCTTTCCAGCCATGAAAAAAAAGAAAACTATTTAATTACAAAATCCAGGTTACATATAATGATTCTGTTGATATGACCTAACCACTGGCAATGGTACCAAGTTCTACACTGAATGAGATATGTTCTTGCACCAGTAATTACAGGTTTCATTTGTGTTTACTATTTTGAGCCATATGATAACTCAGTACTTCACCAAGTCAAATTCCTATCTTATGAGATATATTTTGGTGTTACTTTATGTTTCCATCCCAAATACCAAGAAGTATGGTTACCCAGATACAAACAGTTACAAGGAAACATGTATTATCTTATCAGTTATTTTGAACTGTGAAATATATAACCAAATTTAAGAAGCCAGCTCATAAATTAAAACTCAAAACCACATGCAATGTAAGAACTGAAGGTCTAACAAATATGCAGCATCAAATCTCATTAAGCTCAGTAGGCGATATTGGAATAATGGTGACAACTGGTACCACTTTTTGCTGGTAACTTCTGATGTAAATCTGGCATAAGGTAGTGATATAAGGTTTGCCATCCCTGACATACACAAAGATCATTAAATTTGGATGTATGAATATTACAACTTTCAAGACAATATGTGCACTGATTATGGTAGCTACAGAATCAGTAGACTGCAGGTTTATATTTAAGGAGTATGTTGAAAAATACGAGTGAAATGAACGTGAGAAATGCAGGCTATGCTGCAGTATGGAATCTTTCATCTTCTCTCTAGAACACCGAAGATTTTAATATATGAAACTAAATTTCACAAAGTTAATAGAAAGTCCGTCGAGTGTAACAATGTTTTTAGGTCACTTCTTTATCACATTTGCCTTACATGTTTCGGTTTAATAAAACCATCATCAGAGGCACATATTACAAACACATGAAAACACTGGCATTGTTTAAATGTACACAGTATATATGCTGCGTGGACGCTGCTACAATTGTCGATGTGTAAAAGCACAACACTTGCTAGGAATATTGAATGCACGTTCAACTCTCGCATTCCATCCGAAATTGCCCTCAAATTAAACCGTCAATGTTAAAATATTTAAAAGTTTAAAACATTACACAACGCAGTACGCAGTACACAACACACAACGCATAGGAAACATCTGACCATAAGCCTATACAACCTCAAGTTGACATCTCCCATCTTCGGGATGAATTAACAAGGAGGAGCCTAACATTTTGCTTCAAATGTTTTAAACTTTTAAATATTTTAACACTGACGGCTTAATTTGAGGGCAATTTCGGATGGAATGTGAGAGTTGAACGTGCATTCAATATTCCTAGCAAGTGTTGTGCTTTTACACATCGACAATTGTAGCAGCGTCCACGCAGCATATATACTGTGTACATTTAAACAATGCCAGTGTTTTCATGTGTTTGTAATATGTGCCTCTGATGATGGTTTTATTAAACCGAAACATGTAAGGCAAATGTGATAAAGAAGTGACCTAAAAACATTGTTACACTCGACGGACTTTCTATTAACTTTGTAGGTGTGCAGCTGGACGAAACATACACGTCGAACCCCCCCAGACGATTTAAATACCTGACGAAACATACACGTCAAACCACGCTGAACGGTTAAACAACGCCAGTGTTTTCATGTGTTTGTAATATGTGCCTCTGATGATGGTTTTATTAAACCGAAACATGTAAGGCAAATGTGATAAAGAAGTGACCTAAAAACATTGTTACACTCGACGGACTTTCTATTAACTTTGTAGGTGTGCAGCTGGACGAAACATACACGTCGAACCCCCCCAGACGATTTAAATACCTGACGAAACATACACGTCAAACCACGCTGAACGGTTAAACAACGCCAGTGTTTTCATGTGTTTGTAATATGTGCCTCTGATGATGGTTTTATTAAACCGAAACATGTAAGGCAAATGTGATAAAGAAGTGACCTAAAAACATTGTTACACTCGACGGACTTTCTATTAACTTTGTAGGTGTGCAGCTGGACGAAACATACACGTCGAACCCCCCCAGACGATTTAAATACCTGACGAAACATACACGTCAAACCACGCTGAACGGTTAAACAACGCCAGTGTTTTCATGTGTTTGTAATATGTGCCTCTGATGATGGTTTTATTAAACCGAAACATGTAAGGCAAATGTGATAAAGAAGTGACCTAAAAACATTGTTACACTCGACGGACTTTCTATTAACTTTGTGATTGATAGTGTAACGGACCAAAAATGAAGCAATTCGAAACTAAATTTGTTTTGTTGGTCTCTCGCTCCAAAAAAAAAAATGAGAGACTGAGTGTATTTAAAAACATAATGTTGAAAACATTTGGACCTAGGAATGGTGAAGTGCACATAAGTTAATAATGAAAAGCTGTGCAATCTATACTTTTCACCTAATACCTTTGGATCAACTAAAAAAGGAATTAGTTGTATGGCCACTGGAACATGACTGAGGATATACAAAATGCATAAAAAGAAATTTGTCTGAAAAAATCTCAAAATACTAGAACAACCTAAATACAAGATGGAAGACAATAAAGAAAAGGATATGAGAGAAATACACTTGTGAAAGGGTTAACAGAATTATGGACATAGGATACCTTGAACATGTCATATAGATCTCAAATATTTCTGTTGCCCTCACCAAGTATCCTATCACCTCTTCATGTCCTATCCTGTTACTTCGTATCTACACACTGAAATCCCCCATAATTACCTTCGTATCCATCTTCTTCACTTCTGCAAGGCGTCTACTAAATCTGTCTTACAAGTCCTCATTACAGCCTGCTTAGGGTCCATTTACCAATTTTCTTCCAGTAAAAACTGAAATGTTCTCATCTACTATTTATGTATCATACCTCCACTGTTTTACTGGTCTGCATAGAAGACACCACATTGAAAAGTTACTCTGTCATCCTGTCAGCTGACATGGGAATCTTGTGTTTAGCAATTTTTTGCCTGGTAGTGACTTGTTTGTTGCTATCTGTTGTAATCTGCATATCCTTTGCCATTGGAATGCATGTATACCAAACCACTGTCCAGCGAGAGTCTATTTTGAGCTGCCACAGGAATATGCTTAATGAAGCATTGCCTAGCAGATGGTCATATTCCGGCTTTCAGGGGTCATATCACAATATCAGTCCTCCTCTTTTCTAAATAATTACTTTTCCTGTTCTTTCTGGTTCATTTAATGTACAACTGATTATATTTATTATTACAATTTTCAAACATTTCACATTGCTAGTCATCTACACTGCTTCATCCGAGTCCTTCCAAGGCTAGGTTAACTGCCAAAAGCAGTTTCAAATCCACTACTGGCTCCCTAGGCTTTTCACAGCTTCACTGTAATGCTGTTAGCTGTTCAATGGTTCCTGCTGGATCTTCTCAACTACCTTCAAGGTGCCAAGGACGAGGTCCCCACTGAACTTTGTCCTAACAAGCTTTCAAATATAAGAGGACAAGATAATGGAATACATAACTATGATATATGCAGATAACATCATTAATGGGCAACTGAATGAAAGAACTTCAGAAGTGAAAGTTCATGTCACATTGTGTAAAGATTTTGTATTAAATGTCAAATGGGATATAATTATGAGAACAGGCTAGGGAACTTGAAAGTATAAATACATAGAAAGTAAAATTTAAGAGGACAGAAGAATACAATATGAATAAAGAAAATGAATGAAAATTTTAGCAGTTAATTAAGGATGTGCTCTGTAAATGGTGAATGCCAAAGACAGGAAAATATGTTAACCTCAGAAATACATGCCCAGTTTAACATATGCAACAGAAACAAGTGAATGGACAGTGGCAGACATCAGTAAAAAGAAAAAAGCAGCTGAAATGAGATTTCAAAAACAGAAGGCCTTACACAATGGATACATTTCTGAAGATGTGCATATAACTTGAAAGGATCTTCCCATACAAACAACGTTATAAGTGGAGACCATACTTTCAAAAATGAATTAATAATAACTTTGGAGATGTCTGGCAATGTTTATGTCTAAAACAGTAGATCTGAATGCCCAACAGTAGAGAGCTTCTTCTCATATTTTCAAGACTCTGTTTGAAGAGACCTGAGATTCACAGCTCATCCTCTCTATGTAGAGCTCTGTACAGCCAGTCAAGCAAATTCATGTAAATCAAAGATGCATAAGTTGGGGGATAACTATTAACATACCATCATATGCAATTCTTACAAAACACAACATTTCAGAGAAGCATACCTGCTTAGAAAACACCTGAAGAATTTTTGAAACTCTTGTACCATTCTCCAGTACCATAAACTGCAGAAAGAGGCATGGCAAGCAATCAGGATTATCTTCTTGAGATGGTTTTGCAAAATCCCATGATAATTCTTCATATTTCAGCCCCAATAACAGTGTCTAAAATGAATACAAGAGCCTTCTGTTAATGTTGACATCTTACTATGTAGCCTGTATTTCATATAGCATCTGTGGAAACTATGGAAGCCGTAAATAATATGGATGACAGGTCAAAATTTTGAACTTACTCTGACTAAAACAATCTGAAGATTGAATTCAGGCATAAAAGTACTCCCCCACTTTATGTGACAGTTGTGTTCCAAAGCAGTAGCAAGAGTATGAAATTGTATGACTCAAACATAATTTCCCCTTTGCCCCTCACATTCACCTTCTGCTGCCAACAGTACTCTACTTCCTTTTCCCTCACCTTTCTCGATCAGTCAGCAAACAACTGGCATTAAAGCAAGAACTATTAATTGAAAGCAGCCCAAATCAGCTGATCACATTAAAATTAAATCACATTTTTCAAACTTGCATGTAATGAAGAGTTCAACATTGAAAGAAAGCTGTTGATAAGCATGGAAACTACTTTAGAGTAATGTTAAACCACTGAAATACAAAATAGGAGGTAATTTTTTGTGACTGGTCCTTTATGTTTAAGTTAAACCTCTGAAAACTAGCAGTAAACCCCAGTGGATTCAATGGTATTTATGAAAAGTCTTACGTAAAATAGCTCACTGTTTTACATTTACAATCATGCACTAAAATATATCACTTATAAATCATGGTGATTTCAGCACAATACACTTCAAATTAATGTTGGCAAAACCGTTTGCTCCTGCTATTTATGGGGCCTGGAACAGTGGTAAGTATTATGTGGTTCTAGACACAGAATGAAATCTATCTGTCCATAAAATTTCCACGTGTTCTGAAAGAAAAAAATTCCAACAATAAACTATGGCATCCATCTTAATATTAAATGCATCTGGATTCAAACCTGGGTGCTTCAGTCCTTCAAAGGATCAAAACCCATGTCTCATTGAAATACAATGACCTCCCTGTTATGCGGTATCAAAGCATCTGGAATTCTCATGCACACAGCAAGCATTTCAGAGAAAATTTATTACTTTATCAAGTTACTTCGAAAATGAAGTTGTGATATGCATATGTTTACTCATCTTCCATGTGGCAGTTCTCCTAGCTGCCACTAGCAGTGCGACCCAGCATCCTCCTTCATGCAGGTGCCATTTACAGTCACAGTGATGTGTGATTACAGTATAAATTAAGTGAATCTCTGATTAACTTAGAGACATCCAAAATCTTTCACAAATAAATCCACTATGTCTCCTAAGGATATAGCCATGAAAGAACTAAAGCAGAAATGGGTTGTTTTAACTTTGAAACAGAAAACAGAATTATTAAAGACTACAAAAGGGTTCAATTATATGAACATCTGGTTCTGTATGTTTTCTTCTCGCAACTGCCACACCTCAAACCTCCTCCACACATGCTGGATAACAGGGACTTCACTATAATATTTAAAAATTTGGGTCCTATCTGGGGGGGCAAGGCACATTCACACATGCCCATGCAAATACCTCTCGTAATGATGTTTAGGAATAGTTTTAGTAGATTCTAAACGATTCTGACAATGGTATGACTCAGAATTACTGGGTTTCTTGACTTTGTCTTTCATAAAGTATTCCAAAAACTATAGAACATAACATTTTGGAAACTGGACCTCTTTCCGTCCTTAGGTGAGGCGGAAGACAGCTACTCCATTGTGTCCCTTAAAAAGAGCTAACTTCAATCACTGGACAACCAATATCAGTAGAACTACAGCTATATAAATACACGAGAGCAGGCTATGCTGAAGATGGAAACAGATCCAGTTTCCAAAATGTTGTTTTCTACTTTTTAGAATACTGGATGATGGACAAGTTCAAAAACCCAGTAATTCTGAATAGATTTAGTGTTCATTCTGAGACATAAATAGAGTGTGTGTGTGATACATCAGTTACAAATGTTTAGGAATAGTATTAATGTTAATTTTGAAAAATACATAAAAAGCCTGTGTGTGATATGGTTAGTTGTGTGTTAAAGCAGAAGGTATAAACAGTTTCCAATGATCTATATATGGTTAAACAAAATTAAAACTAAATGGAATCATCATTAAATTAATAAAGTTACTGTTTCTAGACTCATTACACCAATTAATTTCTGACTTTTAATGGAGTTAATGTAAAAATGAATACCATTATATTTCTGTCAATATTAAGATGACTTACACAGAGGAAAAGTCACTGATTCTATTTGGAAGTAAGACCAACAATGTATAGCAAAGCAATACTATCCTTAAGACAGAATTGACTTACACACTGAATGTCATCAATAATATATACTCCTTGGGCATTGATTGCTACCAAAACAGGTATGTCCTGATGTGTGATCAGGGAAGTGAGGCCACGCACTGGTTGTTCCACTTGTCCTTGGAAGAATGCTCCTCTTGAAAAAAGTAAATACAACAACATTTTAGGAGGAAGGAATAATTCTATAATTGTACACAATCACACTTCTGCTGGCATTGTGCATTGTGCATTTAGCACAACATATGAAAAAACAGTGTACCATGTACAAAATAATGACAGCGTACAAAGATTTCTTTTAATTACTGGCATACTCTGATGGATATGGGCCATCCATCTGGGTGACATAAGCTAATTTGACAGTTGTGAAACATTACTGAATGACAATTTAAATATGAAGAGTTCACTTACTGGGCAACAGATGTGTACCTACATGAATAATTTTCATACTTGTAAGCAATTAACTTCACAACCTTTCAATTCTAGGAAACTGTATGAGAATTTACTGTTCCACTTTCTCCTTTAAAAATGAAGATCCATGAATTATGCCCTACAGGGTGACTCAGAACCTAAATATGTAAGAAGTTCTGGGTACTACTAATCTCCTACTTTCCCTTGATACAACATGGACTGCACAGGAAATGATGCCTCCAACAATTCTTCATTGCTGTGAGAACATCTTTACTATGTTAATACCTAGCAACGATAGGAGAATACACACCCCCACAGAATTTCCTTTGATACGAAACATGCCACACAGAAAATGATGCATCCAATAATTCTTTTATTGTTGCATGTATTCAATGCTAAGGAAACATCTTTACTGAGCCTTTGCCTAGCACCAAATGGAGAGGTACATTTTACTGAGCCACTGCCTAGCACCAAATGGAGAGATACATTTTACTGAGCCATTGCCTAGCACCAAATGGAGAGATACACTTAACCGAGTCATTGCCTTGCAATGATAGGAGGGATACACAGGCTGATGGGAACAATTTATAAAGTATGCTGCTGAGACATGCTCAGTTGCCATGATATACATATAAAGTTTCATAAAGATTAGTTAGGCATTCAAAAGTTGATTGGNGGGGGGGGGGGGGGAGGATACACAGAGATCACCTGAGCTTCTTTTAGGAAGTAGGCTAAAAATTACTGCACAACATTAACACAACTTACCCATAGTAAGGAAGGGACCAGCAAAATTCAAGATATTTGCGGACTAGTTTTCTGACTGGTGTGTTGGTGGATATTCCTTTAAACTGTTCCAGGAGTCGTACTTCAGGGGAATTCTTCCCACTGATCCGAAGCCATGACCAAGTACTACGAGTCACATGCGCTGGAAGAAATTTACACTGATGTTCCCTGAAAAATTCACCATGAAATTAAAAAGTTGACTGTGATAGTTTTCAGGTATAATCAAGGTATAAGGTAGAGTATGTATACAAAATGTGAGTGGGTCCAGACTGTTACTGAGGGAAACAGACAAACTGAAAGAAAGAGAATAATCTGTGTCTGTAAAAAAAACTCTGTGGCCTGTAGTCCGCAAGCGAATTATACTGACTGAGCAATTGCAGCTTGTAGGCGAAGTTAGTGCCAACTTTTGCAGATAGAGGGTGTCACATGGTCAGTGCAACGGATCCCCATGGCCGTTAATCTCGGTTTAGTACATAAAATATGCTATAACTCATGAGAACATAAGCATATGGCAGGTCACCTGCTCAGATTTTGTGCACCAGTTCTAGTAAACACTGATGTGCTATTCATGTTCTAATGTTAGTGTGATGATAAAATCTGGAAATTCATTTGAGGTCAGGAACTCTTAACTCATGAAAATGACAGTCTCATGTTCTATCACATTAATTTCACATTATAGATCCCATAATTTTATCTCTACCGTGGCAAAATTAAACATGCAAAGGAAATTAATTTTTGATACAGTACTCTTTAAGTTGAATGTTAATCTGAGATTGCAGATTCAACTGACATTCCCAAAATGCATTTAAATCCGGAGTTCACTTGCAATCTAACATACATTTTTCTCTGAATTTATACTTTTTAACACAGTTAAAGAATTCAAAACAATTTATTGCTCTTTCCTTTCAAGCACTTAACTTGCACGCTTTATAAAACCAACATTAGCAGCGTCTAGCAACTGACACTTCATATTACAATAATAATATGGAAAAATCAAATCTCTTAACAATCTTTTGAAGTTCATTAAACATAACATGTGAAAAAATCAAACAGATGAAAAAGCTAGCATGTTAAGTGAGCACAGCAATGATTATACAGAGTGTTTCACGACTTTAGGACATAACTGCAGGAGGTGATTTCCTAGGTACGCAGCACACAGCACACAGGAACATATGAAACCATAAGCCATAAACCTCAAGCTGACATCTCCCATCTTCGGGATGAATTAACAAGGAGGAGTTCAGCATTTTATATCAAACATTTTAACATTTTAGCGTTTTAACTTAAAAATAGGTTCGGATGAAAAGTGAGAACTTGAGAGTGTACTCAACTATCTTAGCATGTTTTGTGCTTTTACACGTCAACATATCGTAGCAGCGTCCACATGACAAACATAATTGTGAAGAAAAAACAGCGATAGTGTTTCCATAATTATAGCAAGTGCCTCTGATGATGGTTGTGTCAAACCGAAACATGTAAGGCAGAAATAATAATAAAAAGTGACCTACAAATTGTTACACTCGACGGACTTTCTATTAACTTCGTGATTTCCTAGGTCTTTGTGATCAAAAAAGTTCATATAAACATGTGTCCGATTTTGGACAGTTACGGAGTTATGACCGTTTTAAACTAAGAATAGAAGGTAACGATTACTGACAATAAACGGAACAAAATAATAAACCGGCATAATACATAATACATTTAAAGTATGAATGTAAAGTTAACTTCGTGAAATTACCTTTAATTTGAATTTATTGGTGCTCAAAGCTGATTTTTGAAAATGCCACTGCCGGCCACAACACAGGCTGTTGCTCGGTTGTGAACTGCGTCAGACATACCAACCCATCACGCCTTAGGTACCTCTCAAGTGTCGAGATAACGAGGACGCTCTGTCTGTAGCTGGCTAAAAATAGCGACCCGCCAGATGACAGACGTGGTTCACATGAGGGCGTGTACGGGAACGAAAAAATGGTCATAACTCCGTAACCGTCCAAAATCGGACACATGTTTATGTGAACTTTTTTGATCACAAAGACCTAGGAAATAACCTCCTGCAGTTATGCCCTAAAGTCGTCAAACATCCTGTATAAGAAGGTAAATACATTATTATAAAATGGAAATATAAAATTTTCATCTAAAAAAGTAAACTGTGACTTCCTTTTACTATCTCTTTATACTACAAAATAAGCATAATTACATTACAACCCAATCTGAGGATACAGAAACAGAATATATCTTCATATGGATTGTGATGTATGAAGCAGAATTCCATAGGACAACATATACTATTCTTGATGACAGACATTTCACATTCAACATACTGTCCCAAAGTTGCTTTTTCAATATTATGATGCATAAGACATACAAGAAGTGTTAATATAATCCTTCAGGAGTCATGTGAACTATTTCCACCTCCAAAAGATGTCTTAAGCTACAGGTCCATGCAGGAGAGTCTTTCTTGAGAAGCACACAGCTGTCCATCTAGTCATGAAATTCCCTGCCTTTTATGGAACCCAAAGATCCATTACTATAATCACATGAGCCTACCAATGGTCCAAATAATGAGACACACAAATCCAATCAACTCTCCCCACTCTATGTCTTTAAGATACATTTTAATATTATTCTCCCATCTACACTTAGATCTTCCAAATATCCTCTTTCCTTCAGGTTTTTTGACCAAAATGTTTTATGAATTTCTCACACACTGACCATATAAATATCATGTAGTATCTATGATAATGCATATTGTTGAATCTGGGGCACATCCAAACATTGAAGAGAGTGATTTCTGAAAGTGACTGGTGTCACAAGCATGTAAATAACAAACTATTCCAACTGGAAAACATGCAAAATGATTCATAATGGAATGCAAATGCAAAACATACCTGTATGGCAAATTAATGTATCAAATTTTGCTCTATAAAACTACAGTAAATATCCTAACATTTACAGTAGAACATACCTAAAATACTGTATAGTGTGAACCTGGGGATTGTATGGACCCAATTCAATACGAGCCTGAATAGCTCCCAGCATGATATAATGGGGCACTTCACATGGGTATCGGCCTTCCAAAATATTATACCTTGCTTCTTCATAAAGCAAGTCCAACAGTTTTTGGTCCCTGCAAAAGCAAAGAAAACCTCATTCATGATTCTGAATGGAAAAAATTATGAACTGTGCACACTACTATCACTAAATATGCTCTGGATCTTCAAATAACATATTTAGACATATACAGGTTACATTCTTTATTGAAAAATTTCAGTGTGACAACTGGGGTGTGCCCTACACACAGAACCATTCTTGTTCAAAAGACATCAAAAGCTGATGACACTATGTTAATAAACAAATTTGTAGTAATTGAGATGACTCATGTATCAAAACATTCAAATGAAAACTAGAAAAAACACTGGTACTCTTTCATTTTAATATGTGATTTTATGCATTACAGACCACCTGATTTCATATACATATTCCAACATACAAGTATCCTGAACTCTAGAAACTTGATAAAGACTATAACCTCACATGCAAACTCTCCAAGTTAAATATGTTCGTGATCACAGACTCCATTCACGTTTTATACAAGTTTTATTGATAAAACGGAGCTGGGATAGCATAGTTGGTATAGCGACTGGCTACGGGCTGGAAGACCAAGGGAACAGAGTTCGATTCCCAGTAAGGTCAAGAATTTTCACTTTTCCAATTGTCCAGACCGAGTTGGGGTCCACCCAACCTCTTATCCAATGGGTACCACGGGATCTTTCCCAGGGGTAAAGTGGCCGGGGCGTGAAGCTGACCACTCACCTCCAATTAGTGTCGAGGTCAAGAAACTATGGATCTATACATCCACTTCCCGATGTCTTCATGGCATAGTGCTTCATTACTTAAGCACAGGGACAACTTTACCTTTTTTTTTTGATGAAATATGAGATCTGTCACTCTTCATTTTAAGAAACTTTAATTCAGTTGAAGATTTTCATGACATTTTATAATGGTGAATTTTACTACACATTGATCAAATATAATTTGGTCTGTATTAAATAATACATAATTTTACATTAATTCCTGTAGTGTTAACAATATAAAACTTGGCCTCCTCAAGTTCTGCAGTATCAACACACTTCTCACACTCATCAAATGACATTTCTGATGGCTAAATGCACCTTCACTGACACTCCAACAGCTGGCTACTTGAATTTTAAAACTCTGAAGTGGCATATTCTGCTTAAAAGTTAATAACTCAGAGCAATGTACACATACTAATATTATTCACAAGTCAGTAATAAACAAAGTTGATTTCTCATATTCTATTTATTCCGCATACAGCAATTTGGGGCTTTCTATATATTGTGTACAAAAAAAATTTCATCAAACTTTGGGATATGGTTCTATATACTGAAACAAAGATAAAAAGTATGCATGAACATATGACCAGAACAGTCAAAATTTGGAGCTATGGAACATTTCAATTTTAGAACATTCAAGTACAACAGACTGCATAGCATATCTTAAATTACTTTGAATATATCAAGAGTAGTAAACATTCAATATGTTGTTCACCCATCTCCACAGAGAGGTCAGCACCATCCCTCATGGATTCATACTCATTAAAAAGTCGTTGCCTTCCTTCTGAGCTTTTGTTTTTATCATTCAACAATCCATACATACAGGTATTACAACCATTTGGATAGGGAAATTGTCAGTTTTACATCTAATTCTCGTGCATATCTTTACAGTATACATTGTACCACCCTAATATAGGGGGTTTGTCATCTGAATAATATTATCTAGATCTAGTTACCATTAATTTCATTGTCTTTACACAAATACAACAAATTAATCAGCTACATATTACATTTACACACTTGATGAATCAAAAGACATAAATTCATCTACAGAATAAAAGGAATGTTCCAGCAAAAAAGATTTTAATTCCTTTTTAAATGAGTTAAAATTTTTCCTTTGTTTTATTTGATTGGGGACCTTATTATACAAACTAATTCCCATATTTATCACACTCCTCTTAAAAAGAGCTGTATTACAGTGCTGTACATGAAAATTTAATTTTCTTCATGTGTTATAAATGTTTCATAAGCGTTCTCCACCTGCTGCTGTAACTGTGTTACATCATGGACTGAAATGATATGAACTAAATATTTCAAACAGCCGGTCACGGTAGCCGAGCAGTCTAAGGCATGCACTGTCTTCGCTCGCTCGGAAGCCGGGATAGTGGGTTCGAATCCCACTCAGGGCATGGATGTTTGTGTGCGTTTTTCTGTGTTTGTCTACAGGTAGAGGCCTTGCGACGAGCTGATCACTCGCCCAAGGAGCTCTACCGAATGTGTAAGATCTAGTAAACCAAAGTGAAACGGAGAGTTTCATGGAGGTAGGTATAGGCCCAAATTGGGGCTGTAGTGCCACAGAAAAAAAAATATTTCAAACACCTCCACAAAAATGGTCCACCAGATTAAGGTCTTGTGAGTGTTACAGCCACAGAACAGCTGGATGTTGTCTAACACAAATGAGCCTGAGCCTCATCATGCATGAAACACATATGATTTTGTATTTACAGAGGTACATACTCCATTAGCTCTGGGAGAACATTTACAGCAAAATTATGGCACACTGCTCCTGTGAGTCTACTTATCAAAACATATGGCCCCATTGGCCAATCTCCCATGATACCAAGTCCACAAATTAATTGAAAGCTGATTCTGATGCCTCAACTGCAGAATATTCCACAAACATTATGAAGTTGGTACTGCTGTGTTATTTAAATCATGTTTCATCAGTGAGCAATATGTCTGAGAGGGAAATTGTCAACTGCTTGCATTTTTTTTAAGAAACCACTGGCTGAATGAATATCTTCTGGGATAGTCAGCAGGAGTAAGGCTTTGAACCCAATGATATGGATGAATGAATGGATGAACCAATGAATGCATAAGGAGTGGGCCCTTTGGACCCTTGCACCATGATCTTCAATGATCCATTGTGCTTAATGGTATGAATAGCGTGGCTGTTCATGCAAGATTTGCACAAGTTTGACATGCTGATGAATCCTGCTGAACATGCTCCTTTCTGAGATCTGCGACTGAGGAACCATTCTAAATAATGACGAAGTGCTGCTCGCATACTATCATCTCCCAAACTATAAACAAAATGTATGTGCCATTTCTGCATTTGTGTAATTATTTGCTGTTGTTACCAACATAACACAATTTGGTTGTCACACAGACCCACTTATGGAACACAGAATACTAATTGGCAACTGCCTCTGCATGGCACAAGACACACACACTAGCTCATGACTGCCTTTATATTGGATGAGACAAGTACATCTGTACAGTCACAACAAAAGCAAAAGGTATGCTAGACAGGCCACTGTCCTCAAATATTCTAAAATTCAAAAGGGCCATAGTTTCAAAATGTGACCATTTCAGATACATGTTCATATAGACATATCTCACTGTTTCAGGTTCTGAAAGCATACCCCAAGTATAATAAAGCATTTTTTGTTTGTCCTGTATTGTCAGAAGATGAACTACACAGTTTGAGATAAAATTAAAGATATAACTGCACATAAATTAATATAATCCACTTACAAGGGAATAAAATGAATACACATTTTCATAAAAGAAATATCCATTTCACAATTCTTCCCCAGTTCAAGATTATCAAACCGTAAAGAACCATCAAATGTGTAATCACAGGTACCTATCTTGTAAGCATATTTAGTTTGTTATTAAAGTGATAAAATTTGATACAACATACTAACTTAATCTTTTCCTCATCCCTCCTTGAGAAAAAGACATTCCGTTGGAAAGAGAGAACTGGTTCATCCCTTTCTATGGAAGACTCTGATGCTGCACTGTACTGAGAAACTAATGTTCGCCATTTGTGACAAATTTCATATGGTTTATGATGGGGCTTAAGCTGAACTTCTGAAATAAAAGTACAAACATTTAAAATCAAAAACATCCCTGTGGATTACATTACACATACTATGACAAGAGGAGAACGAAGAAGGAAGAAAACCAGGACAAATAAGGTAAATATTGAAGAATGCCATCTTCTGGGATGTGGTGCCATGTAGATCTTGTGTCATGTGATGTTTCAGAGGAACGTATCGCCTCCATCTTCAGGGTAGAAAAATTCGTGAGTGAGGAATCAGAGTGAGCAGGTGACTGCAGACTGAGCCACCAGTTGAAAACACACACCTATATAAGAAAAGGAAGGGAGGGAGAGTGGGCCAGTAGGTAGCAGGCCAGAGCCAGATTAGGAATGTGTTGATGGGGGGGGGGAGAGGCAGGACTACCAAGCAAGCATTGACCCAATAGCCTTGGAGCTAAGCTGCCGAGCGTGCATTGACCTGCATAGCCTTGTAGATCTGGCATCATGTTCTGGAGGTTTCTTGACGGAACAGATAAAAGGTTTCCATGACTTGCTGAGATAGAAACTCACCTCTCTGTTTATATTATTGGGATGCAGCTCAATCTCAATGGCTTCCCTAACAATGCAATCCATGTATTGGGTCTTAGTGGTAAGGATGGAAGTATTGTGAAATTGAATGTGGTGTCCCAAGTCGATGCTGTGTTCAGCCACAGCTGACTTGTCTGTATGTTCAAGACAGATGCGCCACTGATGATCCTTCAACCTCGTGTCCATGGAACAGCAGACATTTCAGAAACTGCATCACTGATTGAGGTTAGCTCTTTCTACAGCATGCAACAGAGTAGGTTTCTCCATCTCACATGAGGACAGAAACAGATCCAGTTTCCGAAACGTTGCATTTTCTATTTTCTAGAATACTGAATGATTGAAAAAGCCCCAAAACCCAGTAATTCTGTGTGTTATACACCATCGTCAGAACCCTTTAGAATCTAGCCCTGGTGATGTTTGGGCTCTTTAAGAGCCTTGACCTTAGCTAGACTCAAGCCCCACCAAACTGAGAAATATTCATTCGCTCTCCCAAGCACAGTCAAAGAACACAGACCAATGCCCAATTAAGTTGGATATTGAAATAATGTCTTTCTCTCTTTGCCTGCTGGCAGCATAGTACTCCACGCGCTCTTTGCCATTCACAAACATGGTCAGCTGAGCCAACCCCCACTGGTCCTACCTGATCTGTAGTCATGCTCTACTTGAGACCTCAGTTTCCTTAACAAAAGGATTCCTCACCCTACAGGCTTCTTCTGCTCATCAGACCATTTCTTCTCCTTGATGGACAGGCTACTGACTTACGTCAAGAGACCTCCATATGAGCCTGTGACATGTGATGCCACTTCTCAGCAGAAGGGCCAACAACTGAGCCCTCCACTGTGAAAGAAGCTGGGATGTCTACAGTCACAAACGCTTATATGAAAATAATGTGACTTCCCACTAAACTCTCAATGGGCGTTGAACTAGTTTTGCATTATTATTACATTCGTTACACTTTTTCCAAAAATTCTGTCATAAGTTACACATCTCAGTGAAGTCATTCCAACTCATAGGCACCAACCCCACACTGAAAAATTCTATACTGAGGGAACCAACTGTTAGGTTCTCTCATAGATCCTCATACTGCGGGTGTGCCTGAGAATCATGGATTTCCTTACGTCAGTTTTACTTATGGGGGACTATCCCCTGCCACCCCTTCTCTTCTCTCCTCCCCTCCTATAATAACTCTATGACTATTACAGAATTCTGGTCAGGAAACCTCTTAAAAAGAAGTAGTTACTATAGGATTCTGACGATGGTGTATAACACACTGATATATTGGGGTTTCGGACTTTATCCATCGTCCTGGTTTTTAAGATAACTAATAAAAACACGACGTTTCGGAAACTGGATCTGTTTCCGTCCTCAGGTGAAGGAAAACACCTATTCTGTTNTGGCTCAAAATAGGGTTCAATGAATCATTTCTACATTGGCAGTGTCAATGTCTGGTTACAGCACCACAGAAACAGTTACATTAAAGAATACTTTTATTGCACTTTGGCTTGATGGGCAAATGAAATGAAGTGAAGTCAATTTTGGTATGCAATAACATTTGCACTACTAATGTGGAAATTTATTGCTAGTCTTCAATTGATGTTTCTAGAGTGTGTAATATGAAATATACTCCAGAAAAGAAAAGTGAACACCTTTATCAGGCATCATGTTTGTATTGTGTGGCTATGGTTATAAACGTGTTACCCAATAGGCTAGAGCACATCCAGAGTGTAAAGATGTTAGCTGCAACCCTTGGCAGACCCACTTCCTCTTCCTGCAGAATAGACTGTACTAGCTCTTGCACTGTGATGTTCACTCCATCCTCCAAATCCATATGCAGCACTACTCGTGACATAAGGTACACACACATCTTCAGTGCTGCAATAAAAATATGAAAGGTCGCATCATATAGTACTGAGGCTAATTCATGTGTCAACTAAAACACACTGTTATACAGGGAAGTGGGTGAGATGTTTCTGCATGCTCAAGGGTATTAAGAACTCATTCCATTGCTTCAGCAGTTCACACAGACTCATGTATGTATTCTGTAAGAAAACAGAATAAACTGTGGATAAAAATGCTCACCAACCCTTACATTTAGCTCTTTTCAACTATTACATTTATATTGCAGATTTTGGGTTTCCCAAAATAATTTTTAAACCTCTGACCTCTGCTTGGTGTCACAAAGGATTCACAATGCTTGTTCAAAATAAAATGCTCTTTATGATGGCATATAAAAGTAGAAATGTCAGAAGAGCACGGTGAAGAGAACAGCACGAAATCATTTACTTGTATGGTATCCATAAGGACTGTAATATCTAAAATATCATGCCCCTTCAACTCTGAAGATGGATGTAACATGTTCCTCCAAAATCTCAGTTGACTTCCACTGGGTGTCATATCCCAAATCCAACATATCATGACCAGTTAATGAGAAACTCAAACAAGCCTCAGCACTTCAAGGTGAATCAAGACGTCACAGATAGAGATCTCAAAAGTTTAAATTACATCAGATATCCATATTCAGTTAAATATTTATTTAAGAAAGATGATACCAAGCATATGCAGATGATATGGTGATATCTGAATGATCAGTGGGAGTAATTCAAGAAGATTTGTTGAGGAGTGTAGGACCAGGAAGGGAGTGAGGGGGTGAGTGAATGAGTGAGCAAGTTAATGTGAGTATTTAAATATCTGCTTACGTTTGGATGCAATTAGCTGAGCTGGCTGTTGATCATCAGATTGTAACTCAGCTGAACTGCCATCTTTGGATTGTTGTGTAGCGTCTGATGAGCCGGAAGTGTGAGAGTGTAGTGATCTATCCCAGTCTCTGTCTGTATCATGCCCTATTGTTCCGTACCCCACAGCAGTAGTTCCAAGGTGGGGCTTGTCCCTCTCAAACCGTTGAGACACTGTGTACAAGGGACCAACCTCATCAAATTGAGGCTCTGAGTTGATGTTGTAGTCCCCACGCATATATTCCTCACGAGTACGATCACGCAGGTAATCACTGAAATTGTTGTACATCAAAATTAAGCTAAATAAAATGATAAAAATGGAATCATACCATAGAGCACGTGTCCCAAATCTATGGTCTGATGACTGGAATTGCACCACGAAGTTGAAAGAGCTCCCACTCTGCAGGAAACAATAAGCATATTGATAACATTATAACAAAATCAAGAATCACAGTAAGTCTACTGGCAGTCCACAATGTGGACTGAAGAAAACTTAATGATATCAGTACTCAATTAGAAGCAAGCCCAACAAAGTTGTTACATCTTTTGGCTCTTCAGTGTGGGCTGGCAAAAAGTACAGCTCACACTGGTACAAAGTTGCTACAGCTACAGCCTTACAAAACTACAGTAATACAAAGACATTTGTCTCCAGATTGCAAAGCAAAAATTTAATACTGCAGGTGTTTTCACGAATCAATATTCAATGGACTTCTTGAATCAGACCTTATGTTTCAGGCTGCCAAGGTGTGGTTCATTTTAAGAAGTTAAACAGACAAAATAACGGATATTTCAGCATAAATATCCTCACGCTACTCATGAAGGGGTGTTGTATGATTTCATAGTTGGGATTTTGTTTGCATGTTTTTTCATAAAATATTAAATTCTAAATGTTATGTGAGATTATCACACTTATACACTAAGAACAAGAAATACTGTAGTGGAATTCTATGACAGATAATGTAATGGCACACACTGTGAACAATTTTATGGATACATTAGATGAAATCCTTGGTAAACTAGTCATAAGTTAAGGTCTGTGACTTCTGTGATCATCCAATTTAAATCAATGTGTAAGATTTGAGGTTTCTGCAGCGGTGACTATTAAGAATGTTGTCTTCTGGGATGTGGCACCATGTAGATCTAGTGTAAACTGACTTCGGAGGAACATATCGCCTCCATCTTCAGGGTAGAACAATCTGCAAGCGAGGAACCAGCATGTGTAGGTTGCAGAGTGCAGCCAACTGCACACACTGGTTCCTCACTTGCGGATTTTTCACCCTGAAGATGGAGGCGACATGTTCCTCCGAAGTTGGTTTACACTAGATCTACAAGGCGCCACATACAACAAGATGGAATTCTTCATAAATCAATGCGACTTATGGGGAATGCTGAAAGAAAAGGTGTATGTGAACAGCTCATACTCTTTGGAAGAACTTCAAGAAACCATCAAGTATGAAGTTTCCACTGTTCATGTAAAGAAGCTCTGACATGTCTAGAAAGATCCTCATGGTGTGAGACATGCTTAGAAGTAGAGGGATGTCACTTCAAGGATCTTCTATAAAATGTATAAAATAAGGTAAGTGAGCACACAGTAGCGTAGTTAGTTGAGGCACTATACTACATGCTGGAAGGCCACGCTCTCAAAACCCGATGTGGAGGATTTATTCAATTTACCTAATACTTCAGCCACACTATGGCCCTGTGGTCAACTCAGCCTCTAACAGAAATGAGTCCCAGGAATATTCTTTGGGGTAAAGGGTGGCCGGCGTGTAAGACTAACAACCTTACTGCCATCTATGAACCGACTGTCTAGAAAATGTGGGAACCTCAACATCTCACAACCCTATGGGCCTCAATGACCTGTTACAGGGATACCTTTACTTATTTACACCACAGCAGAAAAGTGGGCTGTGAATTATTGGCTACTATAGCAGGTATGTGCAAGAACAGTGCTGTGTCAGCTGCAGAGGCAAACCTAATGGTAAACTGTATGCCCTGTATATTCATACTTCAGAAACTAAATTATAAGAATTACTCACTGAATCATCATTGCTAATATGTTAGATCCTCAGTCATATTCAGCTTTAAAGAAAGTGCAGCCACCCCTCCAAAGCCTCCACTGACATATAAAATAGTTATTTGCTATTACTTGCTGAATGTTTTCGTAACTCATTATGCACAAACATGATCATAATGTTTCTATAATCACCTGTATTGATCCACCAAGTACTCTGGTGGTTGTGGATAAACCCTGCTCCTGGGATATTCCACTGGTATTACTGTGATGTAGTTCTGACAGTTATCTGCCTGGTGACTATCCATACTTTCAGTAGTTGACATAGTAGTTAGGTAAACAGTCTGAAACCAAATCATATTCACATTGCATGAATATGAACTAATTTCAATGAAGGTAAAAAATGCTTTGCACAAAATCTAACCTTTTATAATTGCTAAAAAATTGTGAAGATTAATTATCAATGAAGAAAAACTCTTTCTGCCAAAGCCTACAGTTTATCTTATTACAAAAAGAATACATAAAAACTTAGTCCTTGCATTTATCTGAATAGTAACTGCATTTACTTACTTGCTTACTCATGGAGCTGAGCCCTTCTTGAGGAGCCGCCAATTTTGCAGCTACTCAAGGACTTCCCAGCATTTTATGGAATCCGAAGGTTCATTACCATGTTCACAAGAGCCCTCCACTGGTCCCTATCCTGAGCCAGATCAATTCAACACATCGCATCCCATCCTATCTATATTGTCCACCCACCTACGCCTTGGTACTCCCAGTTGTCTCTTTCTTTCTGGATTTCCCACCAATATCCTATATGTGTTCGTCTCCCCCATTCGTGCTACATGCACTGCCCACCTCATCCTCCTTGACTTGATCATTCTAATTATAACTGCATTACTGTACAAAATAAGAATATTCTGATTTTAAAACATTTCATTCATATGAAATCAACCACTGTGAGAGCAAGTACCATAGCTTCATTCCAATTTGAACTCAAAGCAATCTACTATTATGAGCAATAGGGATGCTTTAATGATTACTGTACTCCATTCTTTTTGTACCACTCACCACTGTTTCAAATACTCTGTAAAGCTTCAACTTTTTCAAATCTTCTGAACCATCCACATAATACCCTACTCAAATACAATACTAATAATAAATTAAGAAAAGTAAAGAAAACAGGAACCAACTTTGATACGATCCATTATAGTGGAACTCAGCACATGCAAATTCCTGTTGCTCAAATATGGCCAAATTTGAGCATATGTTATGGTCAAGTATTAACTTACCGCTTAGGTTGACTCACATGCAAAAACCTGGTGTAAAAAAACTATATACCAGGAACCGACTTAAACATCAAGAACATCATCACTTAATCAATTTTACTTGAGGACATTGAGATTAAAAGTCAAGTTAATGTAAATAGAATAACTACCTCTGTTATCTGACTCCGGAACAGCAGCCACTTCAAGAAAAGAACAAACTGAAATTCTTTTGAGTCATCCATGTGATATACATTTAACATTCCTAATTTGAGGTCTTCCCTCATTTTGCACTAATTTCAATGACTCCAAATCAATAATCTCACTGAGAAATTATCTCCAGTTAAGAATTCCTTCCATTAAAGATTTTCTTTTGGCACTATACAGTCCAGGTCAGGCCCGCCCAACAAATAGCTTGCAGGAAACCTACTGACTGTGTTATGTGAACAGTCCTCTTCTCACAGCTTTTATAATAAAAACAAAATTAATATGAACCAGCTTACTATGTGTCTGTTTTTCTTTAGGTTTTATCTTACCAAAATGATTATAACAATTTCATAATGTTATGAGCTTCTTATATATGGAGACATACACTACCTTACTAATTCAGTTTGTAAAAATGTGCTAAAAACAGACACCTCAAACTATGTTGTGGATTTCATTTTTTTATTAATTTTTAACATCATCAGCAGCAGATTTTTATTGCATATAACGTATGGGAAAATGTGCAGATCAAATGACTGCACAAACTTTGAGGTGATGTGTAAAATCATTAGGGTAATGGAAGCCTATGTGGGCAGAAATCTTGTATAAAATCAAATTACTGAATTGTATTAATTTCAATGTATACATAAGGCTGATCTACTTATTCAAATGAAAAGTAATAACAGAAAATTATTATAAAAGTCATATCCAAAACTGTTATTTAAAGCTACTGTCATCTCTCACTCTACTTTTATTTTCAGTTAAGTGACGATGACCAGTTATCAGGTGACTTTCATGTAAAATCGCCAGCCAGTATCATGCGTTAATATACTTTGTTCAATGCAAGGCAGGCACAAGCTGCTGGATAAAAAATCAGAAGAAAATTAGGAACAGAAAGAAAGGCTCATTCCAGAGACAAAGGGCAGCCTCAGTACTGCATCAATTGTTCTGTCATTCTGAGATACAAGAAATGGAAATGACAGATTTTAGGCTTTCATGGTGGTTAATTATTGGTGTTGATTCTGTTCTTGGGTTGTTACACATGTGGGTGTGGATGATGTTGCTGACACTTTGAAGGTACATGATGCCTACAAATCCAGAAATATTCCTCTGGAATATTGGCAACATCGCCCACGTCCACATGATGTAACAACCCAAGAAGAGAATAAACATCAGTCAACAGAAAATTTAGTTAATACAAATGACACACAAGCATTTGTACAAAGTTATTTCATCCATTACTGTATGGTATTTAATGTAATTTATAGAAAAAATATTACCGTATTTACGCATGTATAGGCCGCGTGCGTGTATAGGCCGCAGCACAATTTTCAGACAGAAATTATAGAAAAAATAATTTTCTTGGAATATTATTTCAGGAGTATTACACCCTGTATTACTAATTATGAATATAATTTTTTTTAAATGAAGTGTGATTTCGAATATTTCAAATATAAGCCGCACCACAGTTTTCCTCTTGAATTTTTGGCAAAAAATGTGTGGCCTATACATGCGTAAATATGGTATAGTGTCTACCCATCGCAAAACACCTGCACAAAGCATATGAATTCCTCTATAACTAATGTGGAATGCCTACTTTCAGGTTGATAAACTGAAGACTCCAGAGACCAGCACTGCTGCGAGTACGCAACATGCACATGATGTAAAATGTGTAAATATCTGTTTATAGCAAATTCGTTTGGAAATTTCTGGAACAGTGTTACTGTTAAGAATAAAGGGCTCTCTTCACTTGTCCTCCTCTCCATAGATTTAACAATGGTTTTTAACTGTACTGGTTATGTAGCATTGCATAGTATGGTGATTCATGAAATGGTGAACTGGAAATGATATGTAAGAAAATGGACATAGTCCATTTTAAAACATCGTTTGTTCCACTTAAAACACTAGTGTATCAAGCCATCAGCCCAGCTTTTCCCACATATTTAAATTTTACATCAGATTTCACCAATTTTTACTATAATTGGATTTTTAATTTTACTATGTTCCCCTGCATTACAAAGAGTTAAGGTACTATCCAGCATTTGTCTAGAATGGCTGAAACCACACAGAACTTCAATTACAATACTAGCCTGTCTCCTTGCTGAGTCCTGAACTCTGGATATCTTGAATACAAGGCAGGAGCGCTACTTATAAGATCACATCTGGTTCTCCACATTTGCCAAATGTGGGAGCAGTCTCAATCTTTGGAAATAAAAAATAAATCTAAACTCTAAAGGGAAAAATGTACAGCCTAAAACAAGTTTCCAATCTATGGACACGAGAATATTCTTAGTTACTAAGTGTAAAAAATATTATGGAAATAATTCTTACAGAAGCAGAAAAACTTGTACACAGATTTTTCTAATATGGCAATGCTAAATATGTTCCATATACTGCTGTCAACAACAGGAAGTTATTTAGTATAAAGTATATAAAGTTATAAGAAACTCTTCCAAATTACCCTGTCGAAAATAATAGCTACATAACTGAAAATTAGAAAATGTGACTTACATTAGGTTCATTTTCCAACATAATTCACTAGTAAGGTCACTGTTCAACTTAACAAAACTGAACTCTTAGCACTTCTGCAATGTTAATTGCCAGAAATTATTTGAATGCTTCCAGTTCTGCATATCTGGACTTGCTGCTATGCCTGATGAAGTTCCATCAACAGGACTGTTTATAATGTCAAGCCATGTGAACTGTAAAAACAGAAAGCACTCTAATGTTCCAGATGAAGACAAAAAAAGCGTTGTTACACATGAATGCTCATCATTACACAGAACCCAGCATATCATACCAGGGATGGCCAACAAATGATTCATGGACCAATCTGGCCATAAAATAAGTCTGGTTCAACTCCTAGACAAAACATAAAAATTTTACTTACAGCCATTACTTTCAACCAATTATAAAATATGAAATTCACAATATTGTAATTAACACTTGAGCAGTATTCTTCACAATATTATTACTCAACTGCTACTCTCTTCCAAAAATTGACTGTACACAAGGAATATAAATCACTGTTAATGAGACAACTTTTTGTCATGCTTACAAGAAATTACATAGGCTCTCCTATTACCTTTGGCACGTCCACCTGTCCACCCAAATGAAACAAACTGGTCTGAATAAACATACTGACAAAATTTGATAAAGGAGATCTGCACTAACTTCTGACATGAAAGCTTGATTTTGAGCCACATCAATATTTGCAAAAGCCAAACATGATTAACTCTATTAATTCCTCTTTATAAATTCACAATGTGTCTCATTCCGATACTTGTCCAAGTAGGTAATTTACAATAAAATTTGTCATGCAAATCAAATTTTGTCACAATAGTCCATATGCTGTATACTGCCAAAAACAAAAACTCTGCTACCATTTTCTTCAATTTCTATTCTAATTAAAATCAACACTGAAAGTTTTCATGCAAATCAGACTTTGTGCCAAATATGTCTAACCATCACAAAAATGTGAACATAATGTTGTCATAAATTGTTGTAAATTGGGACCTAAAATTTCTGGTACCTATTTCAATTAATATTACTGACCACAATAACTCTCCTTTCCGCAAAACACACATCTATTGCACATATTTTGCTTTACAAATGATTAAACAAATAAGTCTTTTATTTTATGGAGCCTCAGGCACACATTCGGACAAGAATTTGTGAGACCACTACACCTACTAATCCGTCAAGTATAGGCACAAATATGAGAAAATATCAGAATGGCTGCTTCTTAATAGCTCTCACACTCCTACATTCACTCATTTTATAATTTTCACACATTTTGTCAAAACCGGTGAGTCCGATGCATTCACTGAAGATTTGTCACGAGCTAATCTTTTACGTTTTGTTAAATATAAAATATGGGCATAACAATGATTTAGTGGTTAGAAGCTTTTAGGTTTGTCGAAAAATGATCTGTCATTAGACTTACACCAAGGACGGAATACAAATTTTCAAATTCTGTAACTTGTTGAAAATAATAACCATTCCACTTAACTAAAGCTATAATACTTACACGTAACCTCACTTTAACTCTTCATAATCTGGTGCTTAATAGGCACACAGTCACCATACAACATCCTACAATCTCTACCTTTCCACACCCCCTAACTCCTGTACGCTCCTGTCCTGAAATTCCATGTCGGTCCATGTCCGGTCCATGTCCATACGGTCCATACTGTGCATACATTTCATTTCATACCGAGCGGAACGGAGTTCATGAACATCACGAAGTTCTGTTTGTGCTGTCGTTGCTAGGTTTGCAGGTTGTTTTGGTATCATTTGAAATGAACGAACACTAATGGAGGCAAAACTTGCAGAATATAGGGCCCGCAAGCACAAGGAAGCAGTAAAGCAATTCCCGTACAATATTATGACGTTAAATTCACAGCAGCATGCAAGTGACACAGCACGAAACCTGTCACCTTCAACGCCGCAAGAGGTTAGATGTATTTTATTACGTTTCAGTCATAAATAACTTATCGTGTGAAAAAATACAGTTCATCGCAACTGGCATAATTGTATTTGCAACAGCGTTTGTATAAGCATAATTGTTATGTAATAATGCAAGAGCATAACGTTTTTCTGGAAAATATCTCACATACTGCTGACATACAAGTCTGTTTCTCTTTCTTCTCTTTCAGGATGGAAATATGAGCAAGAGCAGCTTGATTTCACATACCAGTGATGGTGCTGAATTATCTGATAGTAACTTGAGCGAATCCACCTGTCCAAATTTCACCTTATTTACAGTAATAACAAATACATTGTACTTTTTATTGTGGACAACCTTATATGCCGTCGCTGTTCATTTGGAATTTGGTACAGTCTACTTCATTGTGTCACTTCTGTATGCTATCTGGAGAAACACAGGAACTGGTCCAAAGAAGGATGGTGAAATCAGTGCTTACTCAGTATTCAATCCAAACTGTGAAGCTATTGATGGGACACTGAAAGCAGAGCAGTTTGAACAGGAACTTAGATATGGTGCTGGTAGTGTACATTGAATGGTTAATTTACATTTATTATAACTTAAAGGAGACAACATGTCACTGATGGTTGTGCTGTGGTTATTGTGTCAGTTTTAGATTTTAAGCATTCTATCATAGGTAAAAGCTATCCCTGTAACAGGCTGTTGGAAGGCCATAGGGTTTTGAGACATCGAGGCTCCCGCATTATCAAGATGGTCGGCTCACAGATGGTGGCTAGTTTGTCAGCGTTACACACCAGATGCCCTTTACTTCCAGGAAGATTCCTGGTACTCATTTCTGATATAGGCTAAGTCAACCCCAGGGCCATAGTGCTGCTGGAAGGATTAGGTCAATTGAAAAATCCAATGACCTCATCGGGAATCAAACTTGCGACCTTCCAGCTTGTAACATAGTACCTCAACCATGCTCAAATTACACATGTAATATTAGGAGTGTGGCTTTAGTAATACATTGTGCCTGTGTTAGAAGTATTGTAACTTGTACATGAAGTTATGGGAAAATATATTTATTTGTATACAGAAGAGTCTGTGTTTCTTGGGTTGGTAGACTGCCTTACCAGACTGAGCATGTGTGACAGGAATGCACATCATCCCATTTCATCTTTCATTTCTTTGGGTTATGTGACATTTTATGACCATTGTTATTTCATGCTAATTTTTGATAATGACAAAACCCTTAGGCTGTGCCTTCATACTCAACTTGGTACAAAGTTAAAGCTTTATAAACTATTTTATGTAGAATTTGGTAAGTAAGTAAAAAGTAAGTAAAGCTATCCCTGTACCAGGCCTTGAAGGCCCATAGGGTTGTGAGACGTTGAGGGTTCCACATTGTCTAGACAGTCGGCTCAAAGATGGCGGTAAGGTCGTCAGCCCTATGTGCCGGCCGCGCTTTACTCCCCAGGAAAATTATTTAATTAATTCATGGTACTCATTTCTGTTAGAGGCTGATTAAACCCCAGGGCCTAGTGCGGCTGGAAGGATTAGGTAAACTGAAAAAACTCCAGTGACCTCGTTAGGACTTGAACCCGTGACCTTTCAGCTTGTAGCATAGCTCCTCAACCACTATGCTACAGTGTAGCCCCATGTAGAATTTAGTAAGAAATGTAAAACTTCTGTGATGTAGGCATGTGGAAATACATGTGAGCTGTTAGTACGCAAGTCTAGTCCTCTTGATGTTGAACTGCTGGAAAGATATAAAAGTGCCAGGTATTGAGTACAGTGTGACAGAACAAATACAAACAGGAAGTGAAACATTCGTTATGAGATCTATAAACTCATAAATTCTATTTAGAATCTGGAAGAACTGTCTCAGTAGTGGAAGGACTCTATTACTATGTGTTTACAAGAAGTGGTGAAGCAATGGCCAAGGCATATCATTATTATCCACTTCATATGTACTTTCATCCAGTATCCTTCTCTCAAGTTTATCTCACATCCAAACAAAATTACTGAGGCTCATGACTGTAGGTTCTGACATAACAGATCAACTACTGAGCAGATTTTTTTTCTTTTGCACCTGTCAGATACTGGAGAAAAAACAGGAGCACAATTAGATGGTATATCAACTATTTGTAGACTTATGAAGGTCTATGATTCTGCTATTGGAGGGAAGTATATTGTAGTCTTCTCATTAAATTTGGTGTATCAGGAAACTAAGACAAATTAAAATGTGTGTAAATGAAACCTACTGTAAAGTCCATATGGTAAACATTTGTCTGACGTTTCATATTCAAAATTAACTGCAACAAGGAGGCACTTTCTGACTGCCATATATTGTTTATCAGTTTTGCTTTAGAACGCACTATTATGAAGGTCCAAGAACAACAGGTAGGATTTAAATTGAATGGGACATATTAGTTTCTGAAGTATGCTGACGACATTAATTTATTATTAATACTGTAAAGGAAAACACAGAAGTTCTAATGGACACAATGCCATGAGCCAGTATTGCAGATTCTGCAGATTAATGTGTTAAAAATATATAATAAACTTTGATGTGCATACCTTTTTTTGTTATCTGCTTGATGTATATGTAGGTTGAAATGAAACTACAGTATTCAGTTTCACTATGAATGCACAGAAAACAGATCACACTCTGTATCTCAGCCATGATGCAACTGTCCGTTCACGACCATAGAAAGGGCAATAATCTCTTGCAGCTACAACAGAAGGTGTTAGCACTGAAGAAGGAACCCCTCTAACTTTTTCTTGAATAGCCACGTTTTCATTCTTCTGTCCTTTAGTCAAAAGGTTCGAAAATCTGAAGGGCGTAACAAAGTTGTAAGGTTTTCCAGCAGAGAACCAAATGATTTTATTGCTTCCATCTGTTTTGTAACACCAGGGACTGCTAAAATTTGTCAAGTGTTACAAACAGAAATGAATTTATAATGCAGAACAACTCTGTGAAGAACTGGCAAACCATTTTTGCAGTGTGCATCAAAATTAAAAGAAAAAAATTGAAAATAGTGTATAACTAATAGGTACATTTCCCTTGTAATATATGTAAGACAGAGAATTTTGTTCACCGAAGTTAACACCCAGTGTTCCAGTTCACGCCTCTTCACCTGTGGGATTTCCAGCACCATTGATTACCTGTGAGTGCTGGTAAAATCCAGCTTATAGCATTGTTACACAGATAATTACCACACTTTCATTACTCTTCACAGTGCAGAAACAACTGCACATTTCAAGTCTGCTATACCTGGTGTGTTCAAAAAGTATCGAACCTTTGGTCGGCAGAAATACATTTATTGATTTGAAGGTACAAAACCCTAATCCCCTTCAAAGTAGTCTCCTTGGTAATGCACACACTTCTCCCATTGTTGGAAACACTTCTGGAACGCATCTATTGGAATGGTGATCAGCCGGACCGTCGCATTCCGCATGATGTCTTCTCTTGACTCAAATTGGGTTCCTTTCAGCGGCATTTTCAGCTTGGGAAATAGCCAAAACTCACACGGAGCCATGTTGGGGGAGTAGGGAGCCTGACGAACCACAGGGATGTTGTGTTTGGCGATGAAAGTCTGAATCAGATGCGCAGAATGGGCAGGTGCGATAACATGATGGAGCTGCCAAGTATTTGCTGCCCACAGATCCAGTCGTTTGCGCCGCACAGCATCACGAAGGCGATGAAGGACCTCCTGCTAGTATTCCTTTGTGATGGTTTGGCCTTGTGGTGTGTACTCTTGATGCACAACCTCACAGGAGTTGAAGAAAATGGCCAACATGACCTTCACATTGCTGCAGACCTGCTGTGCTTTTTTTGGCCTCGGGGGATGTTGGATGTTTCCACCGTGACGACTGCATCTTGGTTTCCGGGTCGTACACATAAACCCATGACTCATCGCCTGTGATCACGGTGTTCAGGAAGTTGGCGTTACTGTTTGCATTGTCCAGCACGTCCTGTGCGATTTCCAGACGGCATTGCTTCTGCTCCATTGTTAGCAGTTTTGGTATGAATTTCGCGAACACTCTCCTCATGCCCAAATCCTCGGTCAAAATTGAATGTACCGATCCAATGCTTACCGGTCTCATTCGCAAGTTCTCGGACTGTGATACGATGGTCCTCCATGACCAAAGTCCGCACTTGCTCAATGACATTCTCATTTCGGCTTGTTGAGGGTCTCCCTGAACACGGTTCGCTGTCCACTGATATGCTGCCATCTTTGAAGTGGTTGTACCACTCCTTTATCCGTGAGTTGCTCATGGCATCGTCCCCGAAAGCCTGTTGAATCTTGCGAATGGTTTCCACTTGGGTATCGCCAAGCTTTTGGCAAAATTTGATGCAATATTGCTGCTCATGTTGTTCCGTCATTTTACATCTTACTGGAATCCGATGAGCACTCACTACACGTCCTCACTCATAGGCCGACTGCCAGCGACTGACGCTTTCTGCGGGCAGGAAAAAATTCACAACTGCGCATGAATGTCCCCTCCACATCTCCACCGAAGGGAGCCTCCCGCGCTTCATTGGTTTACGCGGGAAAAAAGAAGGTTCAATATTTTTTGAACACACCACATATCTTCCCATACACATTGCTTGGTTATGGCCTCCAATAATGGGTGCTCTTCCTAATGTTTCCATGCTTGATGGCTCTCTTTATATAGCTGTATCACAGATCAATGGACAAAACAGTCCTCAGCAGTTCCTCGACTGTTGTGTGCATTCTCATTGCTGCAGAATCATGTTTTAATAAGCCACTGCATGGCAATGGGCACCTCCGTACCACTTTTCTAACTTTCAGGTGTCACATCATAATACTGTCACGTGCAGGGATGACTATTAAGATCGGTTTTAGATTGGATGATTGGATTTATTGACACCTTATACATTTACAACTTGGGATTACTGTCAATACAGCGCTATCGCTATTCTACATGCTTTCCAGTTCACTGTTGCACACACACTAGGGTTTCAAATGTATTTTTGTGTAAAGTAAAAGTAAAGGTATCCCTGTAACAGGCCGTGGAGGCCCATAGGGTTGTGAGATGTTGAGGTTCCCACATTTTCTAGACAATTGGCTCATAGATGGCAGCAAGTGTTGTCAGCCCTACGTGCCGGCCACCTTATACCCCAAAGAATATTCCTGGTACTCATTTCTGTTAGAGGCTGAGTTTACCCCAGGGTCATAGTGCGGCTGGATTAGGTCAACTGAAAAAATTCAATGACCTCATTGGCACTTGAACCTGTGACCTTCCGGCTTGTAGCATAGTGCCTTAACTACCTACACTACCACGTGCTCCATGCATTTTTGTGTACTAACATTATTTCTCATCAGAAAATGTGTTCATTTTAAATGTGGATTGAAAAATTTTTTTGCAATAACATCTCCAGTTATAAAATGAAAGATAATAAAAAAACAGGTCCGTGTTATGTAATTTCACAGTAGGGATATCTTTCAAGATAAAATACCTTCTGTAATGCAGGAGCATGCTGTAGTTGTGTTTCTCTGTTTAACGTTTTTCTCTAACTGCATAGATTACATGCCCCTTAATGGCAGAATAATTATGAATAGTGAAATGGGAAGGATATGGGGGGTGGAAGGTTTAACAGGTCTCCAGCACGCCTGTCAAAGTCCACACAAAGATATGAGCTTGCACCTTCGAAATGACAGAAGATACCTAACTACTATTCCAAGACATTTTGCATTTCATAATATTAGCTGCAAGTGGATATCCACATACAAGCAACTGGTCTCATACTGGTTTACACTCTTTATTGTACAACACAACCTGTCCTCACAATGAGAACTGAGCTGTAGATATGCACGGGGATCCACATTTATGCACTATAGGTGTTCATAAGAATATCATAATATGCCATAGGACACTATGTTTACGTAAGTGCTAACAATGTGTACTTGAATGCTAAAAATAATATAAATTATGACAAAAAGTATAATTATGCTCTATCATAATTTTTGAACTTCTTCATACATACATATTCATAAAGCACAGATATTTTGTGATCCAATCTAACCTCAAAATAAACCCTAACAATTTACATTCAAGATTATATACAATAACCATAAATACATCTAAAATAATAAATCATAATCACTGCTGATAATATAAGTCTATTAATATGTATTCCATCTTAATGATTCTCTCAAAATAAAAGTTATGTAATGTGTTACACAGGATAAATAATACTTCAGCATAAGGATAGTTATTAAGGGGTATGCCAATAATAAGTCACACTTATGTTCTAAATCCAGTCTCACAGTTATATATATAATATCAATTATTTGTAACTAAAATGAACCAGGGCCAACATCTTCCAAATGATATCAAAGGCATATGCTGATAACATGATGCTGTGAATAATTAGTATCCAAACAATGTGAATGAATACATAAAAAACATGGGATAATGCAATTTAAAATTTCTGATTTGTATATTCTATACTAATTCATGAGTCTCAATACTTCTCATCTGAGCTTCATTCCTCAAACATTTTTATAGGGCGGAACAAGAAAAAAATCTACTAACATGAGAAAATATGAACACAAATCTCAAATCTTGCCTGTTCCACATCAGTGCAGTCACTTACTGTTCCATAAAAAGTGCCCTGTTACAAGTGCATATCAAGTAAAGAAGCTTTTCCCAATGCAAGAAGCAGGTTGTCTACTCTGAAATATAATGTATTTAGCTATTATATGTATGTTAATATGGAATTTATAATACACTGCCAGATACTTCTAGATTCACATATGTACATAAGGCTAAAATGACATAGTAGGGGCATTAATTCTGGACACAAATCATATAAAATACCCCTGGTATTATTTCTTACAGTGTCATTGGAATTAATTTACGTGGAAATGGCAGCTTGCTCTTGCTCTCATCCTGGGCAGCAGGCTGTGGATTTCTGCTCATGAAATGACACAACTGGATTTCTCCTGGACATTGCCATTTGCTTTTTCAATCTCAAGCAAAGCTGTGTGAAAGATGTCTGCCACAGACTATAACAAGAGAACAAAAATCATCAATATGGGTACAGTATGTTAGACATGACGAATTAGTTCAGCTGATAAGCCTCTTCAAGCATAAAAAATTATTCTGAGCACAGCAGTAGTGATAATACCATATATCAGTACCTACAACATATAAAAAACCATTTCGATTATTCAATAAATGTTTGAGTAAGTAAGTAAAGGTATCCCTTTAAAATGCAGAGACTAAATATACATATTTATGGGCAACAACCAGTATCACTGACTATATCTGGCAACACCATTACGTTTGTTCATGCATCAGCTGTTTATGGCAATAAATTAACAACTGTGACCCACCCCAGATGTACATAAAACTGGAACAATGAAGCATGCTTTGTTTTTTTCAAGGCAAAGGACTGTAGATTTATAGATCTATAAACCTACAGATATTCATTGTGGTGACTCAAGAGTGCATTAATGCCATCAGAGCTTCATGTATTGAATGAAAGATATGAATATGGAAATTAAATCTGAGCTATGGTTCCATTCAAAACATTTTCCACAAAAGAATGAGTTTCCATAAACTGTGCACAAGCTGGGAACCACAAAACTTAACACCTAACAAAATCTTATCACCAAATTCATTTATAATATCCCTGTATTGAAAAATTGCAGAAAAATGTTCCATATAATAGTAAGTACCATGGCAACCTGATGCCTGGAACATGCTGAACTCTGATACAACCAACACTCAAGCAGCTATATACATTTGTAGCAATCTGAAAGTGATCAAAAGATATGAAGTCATACCTCATTCTGTTTAGCAGATGTCTCAAGGAAAGCTGCTTTCCAAGAATCAGCCAGCCGTTTTCCTTCCTCAGTGCTGATCATCCGTTCCATATGGAGATCTGTCTTGTTGCCTACCAGAACAATAGGGACACTGCAAAATATTAATTAGAAGTTACTAATTTGAAGTAATTTTTGGAAGTGCCAGCAACCTAACTAAAAAAAATACTGTATACATTGATAATCTCATGCTGCTAGGGTATTTCATGGACGTACACTGTGGACTCTGGCCAGTATGCTGCCCTACTGCAATTTTTCCTTACAATCTCGAAAACTGTGTCTATGAACATGCATAAAATTATTTCCTCATTCTTCCTTATCATCATGTTTCACAAAAATTTCTTATTGGCAGAACATTGCCACAGAACTGAATCCAAAATTTAGCAACACTATTCATTTGCAATAATTCACTGTACTATTTGAGATTATTAAAGTCTTTTAATGCTATAATATAATAATAATAATATAAAATGTATCAGATAATATCTAAAGCCCGACATGTTTCAACCTCAAGAGAAACCTAACACACATCAGCTATTAATTTTATATTGGTAATCTATATTTCATACAAAATGATTACTGAATCTGGTTTCTTCCAATTAGATATCTTAAATTATATAAATAAGTAAAATTATGCCAAATTATTAAAATAAGGTTTTTAGACTTACAGTACTCTTCCAAAATTTTCAGGGCAGATAAAAAATAAATTTCCCTCAATAACCAGTAAAAGGAATATGCAACTAACTTGTAAATTGAGACTAATAAAAGGGCATATACACTTACAAGTGTAATTACTTCATTTTTTACTTGTTCCTACTTAAAAAGCTATTTCACACGAAGTGTAACTTTTAATATTGGACTCACCAGCCAATTTTCTAGATAAAGCCCTGGAAAATCTGCCCCCTGTTAATCATGAGTCATGTCTATTATAATTTATTCCTTTTGTCTTAGTCTTTAAAAGAGAATAAAGTCCTTATATATACTGGTGTAGTACCTAGTGTGGGAACAGGATCCATATTTATTAACCATTACTTAGCAGTTTTAATTATCACTGTACATATGATAAGAAAATGACTGTAATATGGTGGTTATGTTGCTCATCAGTTATGAACTCACATTTGGCCTCCCTGATGATGGAATCTTAGTGTCATTCTAATTTCATATGTCATCAATCATTTCAAACCTGTTCTTTCATAATATTCAGCATTGAAGTTGTCAGTAATCACAGTACAGTTAGTTACTCAGTATCCCTTTAACATATTTAGCTATGCAGTTCACTTAGCTGTACAATTATGTCTAAAAATATATTTAAAAAATATGCATACTAACTGGACTTTCCCTGTCATGTCAAGTAATTTGTCATATATTATCTGTACAACTTCAAAGGACTTCGATGAAGTAATTGAATAGACCAGGACATAACCATGTATATCCATTGAATATTGAGCTGGAAATATTGAATATTCATCTTGCCCAGCTGTATCAACAAGCTTCAATTCATACTCCTGGCCATTGACCCGTGTTGACTTTGTAAATGCTGCAAGTAAACATATAGGACATTAGTGTCAGAACAAGAATCTTAAAAACAAAATATACTTGAGTAAAATCAATCATACTTTGAAAATGAGCTGATATACATGTACACATCTGCCTGCAAGGACACACACACAAAACAAATATACTCCATGGCCTGTAGTCCACAAGTCAACTACACCGACTGAGCGACTGCTGCTTGTCGGCAAAGTTAGTGCCAAATTTTGTGGATAGACGGTGTCGCATGGTCAGCGCAATGGATCCCAACGGCTGTTATTTTCAGTTTTCTAGACCGGAGCTGCTATTTCCTTGAAACAGCTCCTCAATTATCCTCATGAGGCTGACTGGATCCTGTTCCAGACCCACTACTTCTCAGAAAAACTGGTAGCGCCAGGAATCGAACCTGGACCTCTGGATCTGTACTCAGGAACTCTGGTCATTAGACCACAGACACTCAGTTGTTCATTACCATGTTCACAAGAGCTTGCTACTGGACCATATCCTGAGCCATATGAAAACAGTTCACATCCTGTTTCTCTAAGACCCACTTTAACATTAACCACCCATCTACGTCTAGGACCCCAAGGCAGTTTACTTTAACATCTCCAAACAAAATTCTGTGCATACGTTTCTAATCTCTCCCAAGCATTCTAAATGCCCTCTCCATCCCATTTTCCTTGCCTTGATCTCCTTGATAACGACTGATGAAGACTACAGCTTATGAAGCTCCTCATTATGTAATGTTCTCTAATCAGCTGTTATTTCCAATCTCCAGAGTCCAAATATTCTCCCTGGCACATTTTTCTGAAAACTCTTTTATCTATGCTATTCCCACAATGTGAAGTCAAATAATACTTTAATGTTTTCATCTGTAAACGTACAGAGTGGTTAGGAGGGGGGGGGAAATAAGATCTTCTATACTGAACATTATTAAGGATTCCCCAGATTTAATCTCCTTTTAAATTTCTTTCTGAATGTTGACATTTTACAGTGGTTTTCAATCACATTCTGGAAATATGGTATAAATAGCTTCTGCACAAATTAACACCATTAAAATAATTTAAAAGTTTCTATCCTGAGCAACAGAATTTCTTGAAGTTTATACTGAGTAAGGCAGGTCACACAGTAATGCTTCTGATGTGTATTCAGGGGTTGAACAGTTCAAATCTTGGTTGGGGCACCGTTTATTCTGATTGAGGTTTTTGCAACTTTCCTCAGCCCCTACATGCAAGGGGACAGTAATTCAAATTAGGCCATGACTGTTTCCTTCCATATTACCATATTTACGCATGTATAGGCCGCACATTTTTTGACAAAAATTCAAGAGGAAAACTGGGGTGCGGCTTATATTCGAAATATTCGAAATCAGACTTCATTTAAAAAAAATTATATTCATAATTAGTAATACAGGGTGTAATACTCCTGAAACAATATTCCAAGAAAATTATTTTTTCTATAATTTCTGTCTGAAAATTGTGCTGCGGCCTATACATGCGTAAATACGGTATTTCAAGTTCATTATTTACTAGACAGCCTATCATTAAACACTACACAGTCTGAACTACTAATAGCAGCAATAAACAAACCACAAGTAAATACATAAAATAAACTGATATTTACAAATGGGTGACCACCTTCCCAAGACACATGCTTTCTTGAAGTCTATAAATAGCTGACATACATTCCCACTATACTTCACTGTCTTCTGCTGTGTCTGATTGTCAGTTGACCTATTATGTTGGAATATATACTGATGGACCCTACTAATTTCATTTATGTGTGGAATTAACCTTTAGAGAAGAATGTTGGAGAAAATTTTGTGGAAAGTTAACAAGAGTGCTATTCCTCAATAATTAGTATTAAAATAACCTCCATGGCCTAAAATAATGAAAACATCCTTACCAACCTAACTATACAAAGTTCATGATGATATTATTGTGTAAAGGGGGCAGGGTATGTGCAAGTGTGCATCCATATCTTCCTAGGCACATTGACCCCACCCCCCATTGACTTTTCCACAAATGATTTGTTTTTTGTGAAGGTCAGCAACAAAGCAGCAGGAAGCAGGTAGCAGTTTCATGCTGGTTTCTTGCTTGGCTTATTGCTTTACCCTGAACAAGGAGGTGAAACATCAGTTGATTTTTGATTCTGTATCCCTGAAGATAACCACTGCTCCAAGAACATCAAATCCTACACAATAACAGATATGCCAGACAGAGTTAAAGAGTGTCATGTCAGTGCTTCAACAGCAGCCTCAAGAGTCTTCACAAGGTCAGCAGTCAGCTGCAGGTGACATGATTTAATATACAGGCAACTCATCGTGACCTGGAAGCCTCAAGTCAGGAGTTCAAGATGCAGTTGGTCATGGCAGATTCCTGAATGAGATACAGTGACAGAAATGCAGGGACCACTGCGATGAAGCTGTTGAAGACTGACAGATCCACATCCTGGACAGCGTTTCACCTGCAGTTCACAGTCATGGATGATTACAACGGTCGGACAGCCTGTTAGAAAGCCATGCATCTACTTGCCACTCTGCAGGGGCAGGCTGCCAACAACCTACACAGAGTCCAATCACAGTGCCATACAAAGACATCACTGAAGTGTTGAGCAGCTGTCACAGAGAACATGAGTTGGTGGTGGCCTACCAGTCATAATTCAAAACCAGAAATCAGCTGAGCAGTGAGTCACTATAAGAAATTACAGAAGCCACTGAACAATTGGCCCACCAGGCCCTTAATAGGTTACCCAAGGAATTCATGAGAGAGAGGCAGCTTTTGTTGATGGAGCGAAGGATTAGGGAGTAAAACAGCACTCCTCATGGGCACAAGAGGTCCCTCAATGAAGTCCTCAACCAGACCCTGAAGCAAGAGGCTGCTGGACCACCTGAGAGGCTGTAGGAGGTACAGGCTGGAGCTCCAGGGGCACACAGTTGTCATAGACCAAGCACCACAGTACTGTATGACCTGTATGCTGGCACTGTGGGAACACTAGGCACCTCAGAAGAGACTGTCAACAGGAAGGCAATGAGGACTGCTAAGAGGAAGCCAACAAGGACTAAAAAAACTAGCATAGGATGACATAAAGATGAAGGTGCCAGCATCATCACCCTCATCCCCTTGTTTCACAATCATGTACATACATGTGTTAGCCATGAGGAGTGATGACAGCCTATAAATGCATAGGGCCAGATAAGGTACAAAGCATGCCTTGTGACCACTAATATCAGGGCATCTGTGACCATCACTCAGTCTGATGTCACCACATGATTGCTGGAGAAAGTAGAATCCCTCCCTGTCTTGAAGGAGGCACTGGCAGAACTGACTCTAGGGCAGGGGGAACTACAAAGTTTGAGTGTTCATCACATACATCAGGCATGTCCAACGCGTCGATCGCGGGACGATTTTTTGTCGGTCTCATAGGCCTATAAGGAAATTATACATGAAAAGCATGTAAAGTCACTTGTAATACAATATGATTACATTCATGTTTTAAAGGGAAAACATGTATTAGTCCTTCCTATTTTTCTGTTCTTAACAAACAAGGTAAGTCTGTACTTTCAATGTATGTTGCTTTTACAACAAACATCATTTGTTGTGTTATTTTTACCAATATTTTTGCTTAAAGCAAGGTACGACCATAAGAGGGGGTGGTAGATCACTGGCAGTTTTGACACTAAAAAGTCGATCACAACCTGTTTGAAGTTGGACATGCCTGACATAGATCACAGATGTGTCATTTTTGGACTGGATGTCCTGAGAACTTACAACACAGCAGTGGATTTGATGTACCATGTGCTTCAACTGGTGAGGACAAAGTGTCACTGCGGCATTCCATGGCATGAACATGATCATTTCCCCATACAATGGCCAATGACAAGGTAATACTAGCTTGGTGTGGAAGTCATGACTGAATGGCTGGAGGGCCCCTGGAACAGCTTAGTGGGACTAAGTTCCAAGGCTGCCCATTGAAATGTACTGTACACGGCCATGATGCTAGTTGAACTTCAACAAGATACCTGTTAAGATGGCTGAACACTACTACGGTGGAAACAAATCAACATCAATGTGCTCTCTAGAAGACCCTGCCCAGAGGCATATCCTCAAAGCCAGAAAGTTGAACGGTAGCCAGGAAGCCTGAAGGTACAAGTTATCATAGAGCAGTCACTCTGATTGCTACCAACTTCATGCTGATTTCTTGGTTGGCTTATTCTCCAACACTGAAAGTGGAGATGAGTTTCTCCAAAATGTCAGAAGACTTTCTGCTGACTACACTACACCTCTTCATAACCACTACAGTGAGAACCTCTGATCCTGCATTTGGAGGAAATGGGTTCCATGCATTCTTAGGCTAGATTTACAGTAAGGAGAGAGCACAAACGTATGAATGCATGTAAAAGGGCACACTACATATTGGTTAAATAATGGAGGGCAGATAACGACGAAACCATCATAGCCTCATCATTAGTCAGTACTACTTCCATTTTCCAAAACATGAAGTCACTTAATGGCTAGATGAATAATTATTAAAAAAAAAAGTTTTGCACTTCAGTTCATGTCTAACTGATGGACAAGCTTCAGTAAATATGAGGGATGTTTGAACAGCAATGAGATTGGCAACAGTGATCTTGTTCAGTGGTACAGATCAAAATGGTGCATGTGCCATGTTGCTTCCTGAAGTGTGTTTAGCTGCTAGTGTAAAGGTCATCATTTTCCATATTATCTGTGTGTTTGTACGAGCTCTTGTAAGAAACCTATTCCGCAACAGGAGAGCTGAACAATACTTCATGTTTTAAACAACTGACTGAAGGCTTATCCCTGGGCTACAGACATGTCTTCTTTGGCCAAGAGTAATACACCCTCAGGAGGTGGAACAAACTAATTTGTCTTTCAAGAATAGATTTTTACAACTAGATCATTGCTCCTATAGGCTAGGCTCCACTACAGACACCTCCATTTAAACAAACATGTTTGAAAATATGGCACTCATGCCTTCATTCCTTCCTCGCAGCCTCATTACAGACTTAATCTTGGCAGGATAAAAGAAGTAAGTGCTCTTCTTCATGCTCTGTTCGTTTTACTCCTTGGGACAGAGCACCATGTACCCATGCAAGAGCAATGGCATATACAAAGTTATGAGTAAACTTTGGTATTAAATTTCAGTAACAGAGGCTCATATAGATCAAACAATCTTTACAAGAAAAAGAGCACCATGTAAAGATGGAGACCTCTACACATGACATTACCTTTACATAATATATGACAAGGCCACTGAACACAAAATATTATGACACAGGAAGGAGCATAGCTGAATTCTATTTTGTGCATTTTATGAAGATAAAAGACCAAAGTGAATTCTTTCAGGACGTGTTGCATAAAAAGAATAGTTATCACAACAAGAACGTTCTTACAGAGAAATCCTCCATGTGTTTGTAAAAAGACATCATTTGCACTACTGCCATTAGACACCTCTTGCAATTTGTCTCATCTATTGAATTTATGTGGAACTACACAGCCAAGTCCTCAAGTGTGATGTATCAGAATATTCATAAAAGCACAGGTAACTTCATACCTGTTATAGGGCTTGCTAGTGTCTCAAGGCAACTGACAAAAGAAAACTCCGTGGCCTGTAGTCTACAAGCAAACTATACCGACCAAGCAACTGCAGCTTGTCAGCAAAGTTAGTGCCAACTTTTGTGGATAGAGGTTGTCATGTGGTCAGTGCAACGGATTGGTATTCTACACCGGAGCTGATATTTCCTTGAAATAGCTCAATTATCTTCATGAGGCTGATTGGACACCGTTCCAGACCCACTTATTCTCAGAAAATCTGGTAGCGCCGGGAATCGAACCCAGGACCTCTGGATCTGTAGGCAGGAACTTTGAACACTAGACCACAGACGCGGTCAACTGACAAAACAGTATTTGAAATGTTAAAAGGGTCAGGTCTTTAGTTTTGAAGAAAATAGGAAAAAACCAACCAATCCTTCTTTAGACAGCCAGCCAAATGCTTAAATGACCTGTACTGTATGACTCATCTGAAATCGTGTTTCTTACACAATGAGCAATTTTTCATACAAATGAAATGCCTCTGCAGCATTTAAATGTCAAAATCAGCCAATATGGTCATGGATACTTTAATTTTTACTGCCTTAATTTTGTACTTTACTGCACTGTATGTTTGGTAAATTATTCTTACAACTGAAGTCTATTTCAGCTTGTCTCACCAGTCTAACCATAATTCCACATATGTGGGTAATTCCCATGATAATGGCCATGAGGATCTGTTGCACTGACAACACAACATCCTCATCCGCTAAATTTGGCACTAACTTTGCTGACAAGCGGCAGTCGATCAGTCGGTAGAGTTCGCTTGCGGACTACAGGCAACAGAGTTTTTTTTAACAATATACCTTAGAATATACAAGCATATTAACACTCCCAACACTCCTGTTAAGTGTATTATGGCTCTCATATATTCTTCCACATGCTATTATGGGGTACAATAAACTAGACAGCACGGTAAATATAAACTTGTCTAATTAAAAACTAGTCACAGGATTTATTCTAGTTACACTGAAAACCTAACGTAACACAACTGAAACTAATCTAAATGGTGCTAATGTAACCCACCATGGAATCTGAATGATGGAGAAATACAACAGTAACCTTTTTTTTTTTATTAACACAGTCACACCGATCTGTCAACGAAGTGTTTAACGACAACGAAACACTGCAAACAAAATAGACATACGTAACTAGTCAAAACATTTTAAAAATACAGCCTACACAGATATTTAATTCTGTAAAGCCTGTATATAACATCATCCGCCCACAAAAGAGTCTTATCATACGATGTTGTTAGTTATTTAAATGCCGCTTTATAAGTTTCGCTGGTTGCTCCATAACAAATCAGGTGACTGATGCTTAATGGAATATAAGATGTACGAGGTGGGGCATGCGGCAGTCTGAGGTAATTTACCCGCACAGCAAGGTTAGGGCATGTACGAACCGAATACAAGTCAGGAGCATTACGGCTGAGTCAATCTACTCACTAAGCTACAAGAAACACTACTCACTGTTTTCTATTGTTGGATCGTACGAGTCCACAAACTGTCCTTCAACGAACTGAATGCTCAATGATGACTTTCCTGTAACAGCAGAATTAAATGTGTACGTTAATAAGTATGAAAAAAATTTACGCTTTCATATAAAAAGTTAATTTGTATTAAACACTGAAGGTTATGCACAACTCACCCACTGATCTATAGCCCATTATGGCAATTTTCCTTTGCTTGGGAGGCATTTTCACTTCACGGAACACTTTATTATACAAAATAAATAAAACATCCCCGTAAAAACAAAGATATGTGTTGTCGTATCTGCTGTCAATATGCAATCAAACCACATAAATTTCCTACATACAACAAAGGTATAAGACTTCCTCCTTCTCCAACAGACTTTGCAACGACCTCAGTTGAATTTGAAATAAACTGAATCAACATACACCGATACGTTCCTTTTATGCTATCTATCGCGATGACTGAGATCTGTTGCTAGGCAGCGGCCAACTTAACGCATCAACAATGAAGTGACAACACGAGAATGCCCAACCAAATGTTTTTTCTTGATCCGACTGCAACTAGAAAAATCTGCGCAGGTTTTTAGTATAGATACAGGACTGTTTTCATTGCCATCCTGCGGGAAATAAAAGTCGCAGTCCAGCAACAAATTTCCTAACCACGTCACTTGTTCACGCTCTGTCATGCAATCCTCATTGATCTCCGGATATCTTCCGATGTCTTCTTGTGTTTCAATGCAATTTGAGCAACAGCTGCTTCCTCACAATCTTGATTTTGATTATAACATTGAAGAGTATTGACGATTCATGAAAACTCCTAATGGTTTTTGACGTATATTTCGACGTCATTTCCGCTATCGGTCTTATTTGGCTTCTCCGAGCATCTAATGTCCTTACTCCTACTAAATCTAACTTACATTTTGATATTTGTTTCGCAACTGTCATGAGCGAACCTGCCCTATATGGATTTCTTAAGCCGGGTCTAGACTTGTTACGTATCCCCGCATCGTATCTCCGTTGCGTATTATCCGATACAACGCGACAAAATTTTGCGTCCAGACTTGTTGCGTATCAACCGATGCAACGCGACAAAATTTCACCTTCCAAGAAGGTAACGAAGAAATGACGAGCTGAAACTCAGTTTCGAGCTACCTGACGGTAGCAGCGACCGCGTACATTTATCTTCACTGTGCTATAAAGGAAAGAAGAAAGAAATCACGACGTTTGTGGATATCACCGATCTATGCCGATAGGAAAGTATACAATGGGTACAATCTTTTGGCGGACTTAAATTTTCAGTCAGTAAGTCTGTTCAGTTCCTTTCCTCTCTCCTCCCATGCGTCCTGCTTTTTTGTTTTATTGTAATGTTCTGTGTTTTGGGGATTCCAAATCACGTCCCTCTTATATTCATCAATTAAATATATAATGTTCTCCTTACTCCACTCCATTCAGAGCATAAACAGAGAATCAAAAATACAAGACCCCACACTGGTGATGACTACACTCCAACTGTCTTTTTTGCAGACCTGATAGGCAAAGCGTGATTAAACTGTCTGCCTGTCCAGACTGGCACCACTGCAATGCATGTCATCCCCTTGATGCAACGGGAAAAGACCGCCAAGCGAGTGAACAGCCCATTGTGTATCACCGTATCAACATTTTGCAACAGAAGGATGATACAGGGTACCGTCCACACTGATACGATACGGGGATATGCAACAAGTCTGGACCCGGCTTTACATTCCACGTACGAAATCTCTTGCCAATTTTCTTTAGCTTCACTTGTTTGTCCAAAGAATCCATCCAGGTTTCAGGTCCTTTTTGATATTCTGTAACCCTCAAGGTGCAGGACTACCCGTTGTCCGCTATCCGTGACTGATTATTCAATATATTCACAGCTACCCTCCATATCTGGAGGCCATCTCTTTCTGCAAACTGAAGATGCACCATGTTGTAGTGACAACATGTAGCAGCTACTGACCCAATTAAACGGCATGGTGTCCCAAATAAGAGATGCAAATTCTTGTTATATTTTGTGATATGTCAAGCTGTTGTTGGGCAATGGGACGAGGAACGAGTTATCACGAAGACAGACTCTTTGATAAAACGGTCAGCTGCCAAGAATCTAAACCCTGCATCTAGTTACTAACACGTGACAATTTCAATTAATTCTTTTGAGATGTTCTGAACCCTGCAGAGTGCCTACTAAATTAGGTCCATCTGTACTCATGAAATTGGAATCATTGAACAGACTTTTGTGCCTTTCAATATTAAAGCATTGTATTGAAATTAAACATATTTCAGTATTGATTAAAACTGGGCAAAGCTAACAGACATTTTCCATGAATACGGTATATAAATGTGTATAAAAGTATGGCAGTCTACACAACAATATAAAAAGTAAAGCTATTCCTGTACCAGGCCATGAAGGCCCATAAAGTTGTGAGATGTTGGGGGTCCCACATTTTCTAGACAATCGGCTCAAAGATGGTGGTAAGGTTGTCAGCCTTACGCTCTGGCCGCACTTTACTCCCCAGGAAAATTATTTAATTAATTCCTGGTACTCATTTCTGTTAGAGGCTGAGTAAACCCCAGGGCCTAGTGTGACTGGAAGGATTAGGTCAACTGAAAAAAATCCAATGACCTCATCAGGACTTGAACCCGCGACCTTCCAGCTTGTAGCATAGGCCCTCAACCACAATAATATTCTGTATTTAAAAAGAAAGTAGACACTATTCCATCAACTTTTGTTTTTAATGATGCTTAAACCTTAAAATTGCCTACAAGATGACTAATACAATAAACACCATTTGAAACTTAAAGGAATACCAGGAGATATATACAACCTGAGTCGTATATACTAGCTACAATGCGGTGAATGCCCATTCAAATATATCGGACAGACAGGACAGACATTCAAAGTCTGCTACAGAGAGCACATAAATGCTGTCAGGACTAATAAACAACATTCTAAATTCACACAACACACTTTGGAAACTGGGAATACATTGGACACGATGGACCAGACCATGAAAGTATTACATATAGAAAGCAAGGGACCCAAACTCAACACAATATAAAGATATTATATATACAACATAAAAAAGAAAGGTCTACAGATGAACAATACATTTACAGATATACATAACCCCCATATTCAACATTGTAGTAAAAATACACACACAAAATAACTCCACTCCTTCCGCATATCTTCAACCACTCACAATAACTTACCCCCTACCTCATACAACTCGACTCTATACAAACATACCCATACAGATACCTCACAAGTAGTCTAGACCGAACCGCTACAACATAGCGACAACATCGACACAGGGAGCAGCCCATACACATACCATCATAAGAAGATCTAATATACGTAAGTACATATACTAAATAACCTAATAACAAGTTTAATAACAACAGACTCAGAAGCTTTGTCTTATAATAATTAAAAACTGTTATAGATCACTCCAAATAAACATGCTGGGTGACATGCAAAATAACGAGCACACGACCACACGACCTAACTTATGCAAGAGGATCCCGATACGCAGGCGCCCCACAATATAGTTGCTTCTACCACCAGAAAATCATGTCAACATGTAGTGGTCACAAAGTTTTAAAGAGATTTATCACAAAAATATTTCATTTCATTTTTGTACAATTTAATTTTTACATTAAATCTTTAGTCTTTAAATTCAAATTTTAACTGAAAGATTCAATTTATGCATTTAAAAACTCTCAAGAGTACAATATGGATCCTTAATGAAGAATTAGATGCAATTCAACAACTGAGACTGGTAGCATTGTAAGCCTGATGATAAACCAGTATAAGGGTTGAAACATGTAGCGTCAACAAAAACAAACGTTGATGCAATAGTGTCTACTTTGTTTTTAAATAAAGAATATTGTTGTGTAGACTGCCATACTTTTATACCCTATTTATAACACACACAACAGGATACATACTATTAAGATTTTCCATTAAGACCTTCATGCATTTCTGTATGTAGCAAAACATGAAACATTTCACATTCATTATAATTGTTCCATAAATCTTGTGGTTTTCAAGATGTCCTTCAGGGTTTGGATTTGTCTCTATTCCTCCAACTGGAATGTATTGCTGTACAGTAGTTTTGTTGTATTGAGTATTTAAATTTTGACGATGATGACTATCTGATTATGTATGTATATTTATATGTTATAATATAATATATTGTTGACTTGTTCTATATCTGAGGCAGATGCCTCTATGGAGTTTTTGGAACTATAAATAAATGAATGAAAAAAAAAAACCATAGCATACCTCTAGCATACTCTCAAAACCAAATTTTGTCTAATTTCCTTATAAAAAAAATCACTTTCCTCTGGTGCTGAATACCCGTTTACCTTCATCAGTGATCACAGCTGATATGTGGACATCTGCAACTAAACTCCTGGCAAGGACTTGTTAATTTATACAAAACTGGTTCCTTGCAGGGCAGCAATGCCTGGACAGAATGGAAGTATGGCACTATTAAGGGCCATGGATTTGTAACCATCGCGTCATAACAATGAGCTCTTATTATCAACTGTGCTTATTAATTATCCTTTTTATGACTTAGACTGGCCACTTTTAGTCCTACTAGTGGCCACATAAATTTGAGAGGGTTTGAGTTCTATTTATCTGGATTAGCTGCTGCTTGCCTCTTCCTCTTTAGTTGCAGAGATGTACAGATTCTCTGCATGGGGAAATTCAGATGGCAGAAACATTAAATGTTGATCATGAACGGTCAAAAGAAAACAAATTTAGAAGTCTGTGTCCTTATGGACTGCAAGGTTCAGTGCCAAGTCAGGCCCTTCATATTAAGCCAACTGGGGCAGGGTGAACCTTAGAACTACTTAGGTTGCACTTTTAGGTTTCAGCACGTGGTAATGCTATTTACCACAATTTTTGCCTCTACAGCCAATCCCTTGATACCTCCCACCAGCTACGGGATGCTAGCAACTCCTTCACTGCACTCTAACAGTGCTAAAGCAAACTCTGTCTCTGATGATACGTCAGAAGAAAAAAATATAAATGAGCCATAATACTGGATGTATCTTTATTTTTAAATTCTCACACAGAAAGGACACTTTAAACCATTGCACAAAAGTAAGCAAAATCATGCCTACCAAATTTTGTCATTTTTTAAACTTGCATTTATATACTACAATTACCTAGTACATAAAAATAACTCATTTAAATATTAATATCAATAATCCAAAATTCTAATTTTGAACTTCATGCCAAATGTTACATTATTCCCATAATTTTTTGAAAAGAAATTTTATATATATACATGAGATGAATCTAACCACCAAAACTTTCCTCTATACTCTTTATTCCCATATGAAGAGCTGATATATTAAGAAAAATACTCTGTTACTTCATTAGAATAGACCCTGCAAATGCAACCCAAAACTTGGGACTTTGAAACACAGACCTCATTAGTGAGCAGTTCTTCAAAACAGATCACCTCCACTGAAACTTTAAAACCATTGGAAAAACTTATTACTTCTCACACTGGTAACATGATACATTAATTACAGATATTATCAGCCAAATAAGACAATGTTTCAATATTCCATACACACTTAATAAAGTTACACAGAACAAAGTCTTCACTCTTTGTTTGAGACAGTTTTAAACAGGCAAAAAGCATTGGAATGCTTCTACAAAATAGTGAGTTAACACAATATATATATATATATGTTTCTATTGACTTTCTTTGACATTGCTCTTCAGAACTAAATTTCTATAATGATGCTTTCGTAATGACTGGCTAGAAGCTAACAGTTCTTAAAGAAGCTCCAAATGCATGTGAAGTAACATACAGCACAAGAACAATGTTGACACTAGACAACAATAACTTGAACAACACAGGAATTAAATACTGATAGTTTCAATTAATATGTTCTGGAAGAATGAAGCAGACTTATTTCCTTTTGAGAACCATTATAATATAATATTAATAACCCCGATACCTTGGGTTTTCCAATTCAGCTGGGTCCTTCAGTAATCTCTCATATCCATCATACAATAAAACATGTTTATCAAGAATGCTGTAATATTCAATACCACAGTGGCATACAGTAAACAAATTTATATACTCTGTGACCTCTCATGTATTTGGGGCCTTTATATGTAACAAACAAACCGTTATAAGGATTATGATTACTTGAGTCACCAAAGTGTAGAGATGCTATCTCAAACATAAAATTGAATCTCAAACTGTGCAACAAGAAAGAAAATGAAAAAATTACATAGTCACCATTTCACACATACCACACATATAAGGTAACAACATTTTTGTGTCTGCATAGATAATGTAACATGAACATCATTTAGAAATGGCATAATACATGACCACTAGCAACCATTGTTTTATACATTAATACAAACACACGCTGCCTTTCAGTTTAATAAAAAATAAATATACAAAGTCTGGTCAGAATACCCATACATTATAATATAAGCCATGGATAATATTTCAAAATTATTTTATCATTTGGATGAAGACCTTTCAGTAACATTTTAGTAAAATCAGGCAGTTCTAATTTCAATAATTACCACATATTGTTGAGACAACTACTCAATGAAGCTGTCAACCAAATATTGATTCACTTTCTATTATAATCACCTAACTTATGGAACAATGGTTGTGCTTAAGATGACAATAAAACAAACCAATTCTTCAGCTGGTATTCCCATGAAGCCATTTATTTGGGCCTCAATCTTTGAACCATAATGTATACTTTTATTACATATTAATAACAATATAAAATGACAAATTTACGGTGGTGCCAGTGGTCAAGATCATACCAGACACATGCAATAAATGCTTTCTACATTAGACGGAAAAATCTGACTCAGAGACAATTGTCCTATCATTCATTTTTGTAAGTTGTAGAACACTGGTTCAGACATGAATTACATTGGAAGTTGAAGGTCTGTATTCTTTGATATGATGTGGGAAGGTTGTACAGCTCGCTAACAGCACCTTCACTCAAAGCTGCCTTAATATATGGTGTTCTAAAATTCAAATAGTCTAAAATCTCTACTGGCCAAAACATTACAAGAATCTGGACTGCATGACTGAAGATATGACTGTGTTAGGAGTTAACAAGAGAAACACCACGTCATTCTACGGATTGAATTCTGAGAAGGAAAGTGAAAGAATGTTACAAAAATGTTCACAATAATAGCATATATGCAGCTTCTTTCATTTCAAATATTCTTATCTGAATACAATATAAAAAGTTCCCTTTTACACAAACCAATGTCCCTGTGCAGCAGTTACATAAGTATATTTCTTGGATTTTTGTGGAAGAAAACTCTATTCCTTTTCCTTTTAAATTAAGACCAAAATGATTTTTCATCTCTGGAAAAAAAAAAGGGGGGGGGGCTATACTTACTTACTTACTTACTATGAACTTATAACATTGGTCTTTCACTCCTTTCCCAGAAGTTAGCTTGCTTTCACCCACTTCAACCCATCATATTTTGTACTCTAATATATGTACTAAAATGGAGATGTGATCTCAGGTGTTTAATATTAATATTCTAGCATTGTTTTGGAAATGCAAGAGGTTCCAAGTTAATATAAGCTCTTCAAGTCCTGATATGTTCAGGATGATGGTTTCCATTTACTTAATAAATATTAAATAAATAAGACATAAATAAATATTATAGGGTAATCATTTAAATCAAATAATTTTGCAGCAGTATTGACCAGCGGTATGCAAAAGTACTAAAGTCCATCTGCTGTATTACACTACTACAAATTTACAGTTAATTTGTTGTTATGATATATGCATATAGGCATACAACAAACAATGCAGTACAGCAATGAATTCTATGCACAGAATACAGTGCAAGTAACGATGTCAGGTTACCAAGCTAGGTAAATGTTATTGCAAATTATTATTAATGGTTGTATGAATAAAGTGCATATTTGTTATGCACATTACTTATTCTTACTGCATTATGAATGCTGTCTGCTGATGAATGGCAAATACTGCAAACCTACATCAACCACAATGATGCAAAGACAAACACCCATTTTAATAACAGATGTCTAGCCAAGACAAAATAGTACTACTGCTATGCATTTCTGGTACATAACAGTAAGCACCTCATACTACTATGGTCCTGACCTGCCCAAAAATCTGTCATGGCACTAAGCTAGGATTCCTCACTACTCTAAATATTTTTGATCAATATCTGTGAATAATTCATTATTCATCTAGAAGTACAGTGTTATTATATCACCCACAATTAATATATTAAATCTACCACAGCCCATTTAATTAGTATTTCATATATAATAAGTTATGAGATTGTGCGAGTGCAAATGGGAATATGTAATGTTATTACACTGAGGTCCTGTTCGGTGTTATCCAACACCCAAGAGGATGAATATTTTAAAGGATTCAAACAAGCGTATCAATCATATTGAATATCCAACACATACAACTGCACACTGACATGAATGAATTTCAACAGAACACATTGCATGTGTGTCTAGGAGAAAAGAGGCACGACGACTTAGCCTAATGGCAGTTTTTACAAGAACAGGAAATCTACCAAAACATTCAGCAAGCCTAAAATAAACACCAGAGCATGCTGGCTGAAAAATAATGTCCAGGACAATAAACCAACTCCTTCTCATTATTGTATCACAACCATTAAGTCATGGCAAATATGCAACATGTTACACTGCCCCAGATAGTTCATACTGCACCAATATTATGCTTTAAAACAATGTAATGATATATGGTAACTGTAATAAGTAATGGAAAATAAGTAAAATTCAGCACATATAAGTAGTCAATATTAAACATGTACACTGGCAGTCCCAGAAACATTAAAGTTCCAGTTAATTTCTAAATGAAACTAACTAAAATCCAGGCTTCCTTTGCTTTTAATAACATAACTGAACTATTACTGTAACTACCTAAAAACTAAGTATCAGGTAAGCGGTATTGAACCCTCCTTCCACTATCTTGCAAGATGACATAACTTGTGCTGTGTAATGTCATGTGCAGTGTCACTGCAAACAGTGGTATCTCATGCAAATTATGCATCCACTTCTGACATGGACAATTACTAACTATCCAGGAATGATCACAAAAATTTACACCAATAAAATCTGAAATAAAATCACCTAGTTTTCAAGTCAGGATGGAAGCATTTATATATCTTTATATGGTTTGAAGCTTACACAGCAACAGTACACAATGAAGTCTTAACATGCAATCAGCCCTGTCACCGTGGAGTTACTGTCTGACATTTCAGAGCCTGTTTCTGTTTTCACCCACTGTCATCACATGGCACATGCTGGGGCAACTGGCTGATGCGTATAAATATAGCATGCAAATACGACATCACATTAACGCCTGATGATGGAGAATGTGGTAGTCCCTGATATGCCAAGCACTAACTCTTCGATGACACAGTCGATCACCTGAGGTGACTTCATTATATATATATATAAATCTTGCACATAACCCCTTGAGAAAATTACTTCAGTGACAAAATATTTCATAGTATTAGTATTATAATTTAAATATGTCAGCATATTTAAAAATAGTTTAGACAGAGACCAAGACAAATGTTAACTAAGAACCTTTGGTCAAGGAAAAAATATTAAGACAAGAAAAAATAATAAACACATAGCCACTTACAAAACTCAAAATCACTTCATAAAGACTTATGAACACAGGCATCAGCATTTACAAGTATGTCAATGAGCATTTGATAACTTGAATATATCGTTAAAGTACAAATAAAAATTCATTAGGAAACTGCAGATTCTCTGAAGTTATTTATCAAGCAAGAAGGATCTAGTCCCTGAGTACTAACGGTACAGGCAATCTCCCAGACAGAAGCACCGCAAATTATTACTGTCGCATATAAGAGAATTTATTTTACCATTGTTCCCAATATCACATATTAAAATGTACAAGTAGAAATGCACTTTTATTAACAAATCTCAGTTCTCAGTGTGGGAAGTAATAAAAAGTAACAGGATAAATAATAAAGTTTTCAGTAAAACTCTCCGATAAACTAAGAGATTCAAGATAATAACAAAAGGTACACCATTAATGTTCTTTTAACCTAAAAATAACACACAACTGCCTGCCAGCAACAATGTGGCAAGAAACTTAAACAATCGTCAAACTGGAAGCACTTATAAAATGTGACTCAATAATAGGTAATAAACATGAGTCCTTTCCATGGCCAAAGGTTCGTACACTTAGTAAACATCCTAGCGCAGTATTAACAATTATATCTGTTGTGGTCACTATACATTATATAATCCACAAAACAATTTCAATACTTAAATCAGTTTTTGTGCTCCTACATCACAACTGACTTCCATTTAGAATCACGTACTTACAATGGTGTAACCATATAATATCTAACAACAAGTTGCAAAGCTAATTTTTCTAACACTTTTAACTTTAATACAGTAATGATATGGTGCAATAACTTTACAGCTATGCTGTCATGGAGCTTAAAGTCACACACTTACAAGTATAAAACACTGGTTATCATCATTTCACACTAAAAGACTGGAAATAAGTTTTTAAAAGATATTTTAGAGTTATACAAGCAGACTCATCATGCAGTCCTCCATAAAAAAGTTACCTTTAGCTAAACTACATTCCTTTGAGAAGTTTGGTCTCTTCGAGTCATATTAATTGATATCACATGCATTACGTTACGATTGTCCTCTATTAGTTTTGACAACTAGCACTTATTTACCTAACATTCATAAAACTTAATTCAGATTGTGTAATGAGGGAGAATAAAGATCTAATCCAACCTTATATATATAATATATATCACAGTTTAGAATGTCAGCAATGCCGGAGAAAAAGCACCAAACCAATGGATCGATGAGAAGGAAGCACACAAGGCTTCCTGCTCCTTCCAACGTAATTTCTAGATTTTGCATGTGCAGTTATTTTGCCATTTGTTTAATACTGAGGTGCAATACATCCTAATACAGTCAAATACGAGGGAACATAACTTTTTCTACACAATGCACAATCCATTAAAATTCAAAAAGCCTATTTTTGATGGGAGGCATTGACAAGACAAACACATTTGAGCATACAGCCAGAATGATTAAGTTACAGCTTACAAAGTGCTCCCAAAAATACGTTCACATTATGTGGCTATCAGTGGCTTTTGAACAGCAAGTAAGTTTGGTTCAAATAATTTAAAACAAGATAGAGAAAAAAACAATGCAATGAATAAAACTGAGAACATTCCTCTATGTCTTCCATTATTACCTTAATAGCAACAAAAACTGTGTGCCAAAGGAAAGTAAGACAATTACCATAATCAGTCTTAGGAAAGTTTCACTGCAAAAGGTGGTCATGACAAAAGTGTGATTCTTGTTATGCTATATAAGTTTTGAGTGGAGCAATCACATATAACCGTTTTTTTTATACCAAATTTTGTAGAAGTAACCTCCAAATGTCATGACAATGTGTAAAAAAGCAGGAAAATTTTAAGGATGGTCAAACACATTAAGCTAGCAGAGTGCAATTTATTCACACAAAACACTGTAACTCGAAGAGAGCATTTTAAAAGACAACTGAGCCGGAACAATTGGCAAAACTTTGGCAATCGAAAGGCTATATGTTTCCATTGCAATTGACTTTTCCTTTAACATGACCATCAGTTACGTACAGTATAATGAACAAGTCTGACCAAAATTTTATTTATGAATGAGGTTTCTTAAAGTCCGGTTTTTAAAATAATGAGCATGACTAGTCATCGAACACTGAGGCACAGGAAATCATTTTTTTAAGAAAGAAGAGAAATATCATACTCACATTTGTGTACTAAAACCTTACATCATATGAAAACTAGTAACAAAAATCTAGCCCATCTTCTTAGGCAGTTTATATAATGTTAGCAAGTGGACTCTGCAGCCATGCTCTCTAGTCTATATTCAGTAAATACACATATCTATCTAGCATCATTGTTTAACATTAAGTATCATTAGAATATCTTCAGTAACGTCAAGAGTATTTAAAATCAAATAAAATCAGTGCAGGTAGAAAGAACACAGTAACCTGCACCAACCAAGCCTCAAATTCAACCATACTGATCATTTCTCCTTCACAACATCTATATTACAGAAACAAGACTATCAAATAATTGCCAACAAACTCCACTGCATAGACTGCTTTTCTTTTTGTAACATCCACAGTAAAAACACGTCAGACTGTTAACTCTATATGGGAAACCTACTCTATTTCTTGTAGGAATTCTAAACTAGCCAAATATGTAAGGATGTAGGTTAATAAATAGTTGTTAAATAACTTAGATAAAAAGTGTGATAAAGAATCATGTCAATGCTTCTAAACAAATGCAATATTGAGCTAGCCTCATAATCAGCTCAACTTCAAGATTCTGGCCTCTAATTGTTTTGTAGCTCCTCTACTTGCCCTGCTGTAATATCAGCAGCAGTAGTGGTGGTAGAGACAGTAGAAGTACTAATAACAACTGAGCTAGCAGTTGCAGTAGTGGATGGAGCAGAGGTAGCATCCACCTTGTCACTTGCATCTCCTGTTCCTGTAATTTTTGACTCTTTGCTTTCCCCTTCTTGTTCTTGCATCAGCAGTGTCACGCCTAAGGCACACCACATGCCCGTGCGTGCCTTTCGGGATCCTGCCGTCAGTTCCTTAATACTAGCTGCCAGGGCCAGTATATCTAATTTAAGAACAGAGACACAGTGTACTATTAATGTATTATAATACTGCATTCTGTAATACACTTTCACTGAGATACAACTTCCTGACTGTTACCAGTTGTGTGGTCAGGTTAAGTAATTTAAATTAAATTGTGTTATTTAGTGTGAGTTGACTTTGTACCAGTTGTATGGTCAGGTTAAAGACAAAGGTGAAGTTGTCCCTGTGCTTTACTAACTAAGCACTACATCATGAAGGCACAGGGGGAGTGGATGTACAGATCCACATTTTCTTGACCTCAGCACTAGCAGGAGGTGAGTGATCAGTTTCACGCCCCGGCCTTTTTACTCCCAGGGAAAGAGCAACCAGTACCCATTGGAGAGGAGGTTGGGTGGACCACAGAGCCGGTCCAGATGATGTGGAGAAAATTCTTGAATCTTCCAGGACTCAAACTCCAACCCCTCCATAATCCAGCCCATAGCCAGCTCCATATGGTCAGCTTAAGCAATTTAAATTAAACTGTTTGTGTTATTTTATGATGATACATCGACTAGTACATAGCACAGTTGGTATAGTGACTGGTTACTGGATGACCAAGGGATCAGAGTTTGAGTCCGGGTGGGGGCAAGAATTTTCTGTTCTCCAAATCGTACAGACTGGCTCTGGGATCCACCCAACTTCCTGCCCAATGGGTACCAGGGGCTCTTTCCCCAGGGATAAAGCGGCAGGGGCGTGAAGCTGACCACTCACCTCTAACTAGTGCCGAGGTCAAGAAAACGTGGATCTATACATCCACTCCCCCATACACCTTCATGGCGTAGAACTTTACCTTTACCTTTTTACAGTATACATTGACTACTACAGTTATAGAGAGAACGGACACAGATTCTCCCCACTCATTTGCCTCCTCTTTGCATGCCTTTTCCATTCCACTGCCTGTCACTCAAATTCTCACTGTCTCTATGCTTCCCAGGTTGTTATTCATGCGACGAAGGGTAGGTGTCCAATGCAGGAAGTATGGGGGAGGTGACCTGCTTGAAGTCCTACCTCTCTTTAAGAGAGTTCATTTTCCTGATATACCGCTCATGGATTGTAAAGTTCTCCTTTAATACAGAACACCATCTGAAGATGGTCCTGTATGACTGAAATATGTTGGGATTTTAACAACACATACTCAGTGCTCCAAAATAAGCTAGATATATATTAAGATGGTAATTTACATCTAAGCCTAAAATCCTACAATCCTTGTTCATTCTTTTCCTGACCAAAGTGTAGGCACATCTGGCACAAATTAAAATAATGACTGGCAAAAAGGAAGTCCTGACAGAAAGTGCCCAACCGGTACCTTTCTTCTCCACAATAACCATACTGATGAACTTAGTTTACTCCTGCATCTACTTCATTTGAGATTTGTGTCAACTCTGAGAATAACTCCATTGTCTCAGATGTATAGTGAACTCTAAATAAACAAAACAAACAAACTCCATGGCCTGTAGTCTGCAGGCAAACTATACTGACTGAGTGACTGCAGCTTGTCAGCAAAGTTAGTGCCAAATTTTGCAGACAGAAGGCGTTGTACGGTCAGTGTAATGGATCTCCACGGCAGTTAATCTCAGTATTCTAGACCAGAGCCGCTATTTCCTTGAAATAGCTCCTCAATTATCCTCACAAGGCTGAGTGGACCCCATTCCAGACCCACTACTTCTCAGAAAATCTGGTAGTGCTGGGAGTCAAACATGGGAACTCTGACCACTAGACCACCAAGGCAGTAAAGTACATAATAATGTCACACCAAATCGAATACCTTTCAACACTAAATTTTATTTGAAACAGAGTTGGCAAGTTACTTCTACAAGTATTATTATTATTATTATTGGAGGGGGTGGGTTTCCCCATGCACCGCGACCAGTGGTCTACTGTACGTCCCCCTGTGATATTCTACCAGTCTCTATACCCTACCAATACTGGTGCGTGCCATCAGTCCCGACTCAGCCAGCGAGTTCGGCCTCTACTGGCTCAGCGGTATCTACATGTACTTCTATAAGTAAGAAGTCACTTTCATTACTTCTAAAAGTGAAAGCTGAAGCAGCTGACCAGGAAGACAACATTTACCTTTTTTTTTTAATGCTAGTGGGGTGGGACTAAGTCCCTTGTACTGTGGCCACTTCCGGCCTATTGTACCAGCCCCAGATGATAGGTGAGGGTGATTGTGGAGCAGTTGGTGGAACGAAGAGTGGCAGGGGAAACCGAAGTACTCGGAGAAAACCTGCCCCAGCTCCAATTTGTCCGCCACAAATCCCACTTGACCAGACCTGGGATCGAACCCAGGCCGTTGCGGTGGGAAGCCAGCAACTAACCGCTTGAGATATGGCACAGCCTTACATTTACCTTCAGAAGCAGGTAGAGTGACAAGTATACTTAACAAAACCAACAGAAATTTGAATGAATTCATAGAACTAATCACAGAAGGAACATTACAATAAGAAATCACATCCAGAAGTCAGTTCTATTATTATGGTGATTATCTCTGAATGCTGTCAATACAATCTGTAACTTCCGTAACACAAACTGCATCCGTGAGAAAGAAATACTGCTAAGTCATAACTGCAGTTGAGGGGTACCTGGTATTGGAACATGCTGAATATTTTGCATCGCTGCAATGAAAACTGATTTATCAGTTTAAGATGGTACTCTACTTCTTCTTTCAGGTAGAAAAATATCTAATATTTGAAAATAGAAATTGTGAAAGGTGAAGCACCCAAGTTTGTAGTTCTCTTCCAGTCCACAAGACAAAATCATTGAAATGTATCAAGAACTGAAAATTTGGTTAAATGAACTGTTACATTTGACGAGATGCCTATATAGCTGTGCACATACAAGTAAGGAAAGTACAGCAAACAATACTGATCAATATATCACAATTAGGATGATACTGATGATCTCTTTTGTCTTGCAAATGCTTACTTACATTACAAAACATGTATGCCATCTCTTGCCTTATTTGGTTTAATTTTAATAATCATGTATTATTGAAAGGAATTTTTACAGAACTTTTACTTACTTTAAATCCAGATGAAATTCAATGTGCTAATATAACTGGAAGACCTTACATTTTGAATTTGGGTTTGAATCCACAGGATTATTAATTATGACATAAACATATGAAATTTACCATTCTACTTGCATATGCTTGTGCAATCTCAAAAATGAGAGAAATATATAATATGTCTTATGTTACTGTTTACTTCTGTCAGTTATGTGGTACTATCAGAAGTTAAAACTGTCCCTTAGTTACTCTGTAAGCCATAATTTGACATTCATGAGTTTCATAAATCTAATAATAGCCACAGTGGTCACAGTCCTTGCCAAATCTCCCATCATGTGGGGGACTGGGTAAAGAGAGAAATATAAAATTTTAAGACAATTCAATTACACTTTAAACAACTCCTCTGACACCGAACATCAGATTTTACAACAGTTCATTGAGCCAAGCACATATAAATATGACTGTTTATAAAACTCAAGTGCAGTAAAACACATGGATATAAGCAAATCACCCACCTTTATCCTCTTGGATACGAGGAGTCTGAATCCCAGCCACAATATTATGATGACGGTTGGTTGAATTGATAATTTCATCACGGCGCCGAGCCTGCACTTTTTTGATGGCATCAAGCCATGTCTCCATGGATGCATGAATCTGTGGGCTGACAGCCTCACCACGTAGTTGCTCCATTTTGGCAATCAGTGTGATCACCTGTTGGTACAAAGTATCCTGGATTACTTTCATGACAAACCAAGAGTAGAACATCTATGCAATGAAATTTTGTACTGAATAGGCTTGTGTAGCAGTAGCACTTCTTGATTTGTGCTCAGAAAATGGTCAGTCTGAAACACGGCCAGGACGCTAGCTACTGACTAAGGTTTTTCACCATTTTCCTTGGTCCCTCTAGGCAAACGGTGGGATAGTAACTCAATAAAGCCACAACCACTTTTCTCCAAATCCTTTCCAATTCATCATTCACCTATCATCAAACCATTTGACGATACAGATTCTAACAACAGACGGTTTTATAAAATAACCCACAAAGAAGACACAGTAATCAAACTTGGAGACTCAAATTTTTCAACGTTTTTGTATTGTGGCATATAGACCAGTTGCCAGGCAATGGCTGTGAAACAAACAAGACAACAGCCATTGCTGGGAAGCGGCCATATATATCATATCAAAAAAATAAACAAACACACAGATAACAATAATTAAAACTAATTGTTTATGTTATGCTCCACATATTCAGAAACCGTATAAAAGGAATTATTCATAAGATATAAAGACAGCTTATTTTTAAAACTAATTCTATCCTCTTTAAGGCTTTGAATGGTTATGGGCAATCTGCTGAATAGTTTAATAGTGGTACACATAGTACCTTTCTGAAAACCAGAAACATTCGAGTTTGTCAAATATAATTGCTTTTGATTTCTCGTGTTCAAACCATGAACATCTAAACCTGAACAAAATTTAGTTTGATTATCAATCACAAACATCATCAATGAGAGACTGTATTCACATGACAATGGCAGTCTATTCAATTTCTTAAAAAGATCCCTACATGAGTCTCTAGGTCCCACTCCAGACAGTACTGACTTATTCATTCATTCATTCATTCATTCATTCATTCATTCATTCATTCACTCACTTATTCAGCATTCCATAAATCCTTACATGGTTAAACACCAATGGATATAGAAATAGTCAACATGAGTAAACATGATCACATACTGCATCAAAATTGTGTAATGTCATACAAGTTAAATATATATTAACAATATACAACATGAACAAAAACCATCATCTATAACAATAAAGTGCTATCAACTATCACAAATCCGAAACTTTAATTGTTGTCACAATTAAAATATTCGTCCAATGAATAAAATGAATTTAAAAATAGGAATCTTTTAACAGCAGACCTAATTTTTTTAATCTCATGAGCTTGGTCTTTTATATTAAGTGGAAGTTTATTAAAAATTTTAATTCCAAAATAATACGTTCCCTTTTGAAAGGCAGTTGAGTTAAACGAGGGATATTGGAGGTTATTACTATGTCTTGTGTTGATCATATGAAACTCAGAATTAGATAAAAATAGATCTTTGTTTTTGACAAGAAATAACAAAATGGAAAAAATGTACTGAGTAAAGGGGCAGAATCTTTAGTCTCTTAATCAACTCCCTACAAGAATCTCTACTTCTGGAATTGGTGATGACCAGGGCCCGGATTTTGATGACCTGAAAATATTTAAAAAAATAAAGACCGAAAAAATCCATAAAAATGTCCTAAAATATGACCCAAAAATGTAATATGCAGAGGCCGCATTTTGATGACCTGAAAATATTTAAAAAATGACCTAAAGGAGAAAGAGAAAGAATGCTTCGCTTCGATGTTATTCACATTTCAGAAAACATATGAAGAAAAATTCCCTAAAATGGCCAAAAATGACAAGAAATACCCTTAAAAGCCCAAAAATTTACCAAAAAATTACCCCCAAAATGAAAACGTGACCCTATAAGAATCTCTACTTCTAGAATTGGTGATGATGCTTATTACCCTCTTCAGTAGTCTAAAGATATGGATGCAGAGGGGCGAATTAGCCCAGAAAATCAGGCCATATGTCATATTAGAATGAAAATATGAAAAATATACCGATCTCATTGATTCTATTGACATATAGGGTTTTTAATAACCCCAACTGCATAGAAAGCTGAATCCAGTTTGGACATGAGCCAGTCAATGTGTCCTTTCCATGATAGGGTATTATCAATCAACAGACCAAGGAACTTAATATCAGCGGTTGTAGCAATTTGACTGTTACTATAAATGATAGGTATGTCCATTATATTACTATTCTTGGCTGAGAAATGCATAAAATACGTTTTATCGAGATTCAATGGCAGTAAGTTAGCCTTGAACCATCATTTATATTTCTGAACATTAAATTTAGTTTGTTTTCATACTCAATACGATTAAAGTTCTTGACAATAATTCTGGTATCATCCGCGAAGAGAATAGGGATTGATTTATTCTTTATAATATTTGGCAGATCATTAATTTATAACAAAAACAATAAGGGACCTAAGATTGATCCCTGGGGAACACCACTGGCAGTCTTACCCCAACTTGAGTGGGTGCACTTCTCATTAGTTACAACTCTTTGATGTCTACCATGAAGGAAGGATTCCAGTAATGCATTAGCTTTTCCTACTATTCCATAAAATTTCAATTTAGATAATAGAACATCATGATTAACACAATCAAGGCTTTATTTAGGTCACAAAAAATGCCTCCAACTGGTATTTTACTATTCAAGGCCTTTAATATTTCATTAAGTTATATGAGTATGAAACAAGTTCTGCAGATGAATCACACCTGAAACCATATTGGTGACTGGATAATATATTGTTATTCTTCATGTGATGGAATAATTTTACAAATATAACCTTTTGAATAACTTTTGAAAAGGTTGTAGGTAACGATATAGGTTTATAATTCATCATTATATTATATTATATTATATTTATAATTCATCATATTCGTTTTATCACCATTTTTAAATAATGGTATTATTTCAGAGTATTTCAAANTAAGGCTTTGAATGGTTATGGGCAATCTGCTGAATAGTTTAATAGTGGTACACATAGTACCTTTCTGAAAACCAGAAACATTCGAGTTTGTCAAATATAATTGCTTTTGATTTCTCGTGTTCAAACCATGAACATCTAAACCTGAACAAAATTTAGTTTGATTATCAATCACAAACATCATCAATGAGAGACTGTATTCACATGACAATGGCAGTATATTCAATTTCTTAAAAAGATCCCTACATGAGTCTCTAGGTCCCACTCCAGACAGTACTGACTTATTCATTCATTCATTCATTCATTCACTCACTTATTCAGCATTCCATAAATCCTTACATGGTTAAACACCAATGGATATAGAAATAGTCAACATGAGTAAACATGATCACATACTGCATCAAAATTGTGTAATGTCATACAAGTTAAATATATATTAACAATATACAACATGAACAAAAACCATCATCTATAACAATAAAGTGCTATCAACTATCACAAATCCGAAACTTTAATTGTTGTCACAATTAAAATATTCGTCCAATGAATAAAATGAATTTAAAAATAGGAATCTTTTAACAGCAGACCTAATTTTTTTAATCTCATGAGCTTGGTCTTTTATATTAAGTGGAAGTTTATTAAAAATTTTAATTCCAAAATAATACGTTCCCTTTTGAAAGGCAGTTGAGTTAAACGAGGGATATTGGAGGTTATTACTATGTCTTGTGTTGATCATATGAAACTCAGAATTAGATAAAAATAGATCTTTGTTTTTGACAAGAAATAACAAAATGGAAAAAATGTACTGAGTAAAGGGGCAGAATCTTTAGTCTCTTAATCAACTCCCTACAAGAATCTCTACTTCTGGAATTGGTGATGACCAGGGCCCGGATTTTGATGACCTGAAAATATTTAAAAAAATAAAGACCGAAAAAATCCATAAAAATGTCCTAAAATATGACCCAAAAATGTAATATGCAGAGGCCGCATTTTGATGACCTGAAAATATTTAAAAAATGACCTAAAGGAGAAAGAGAAAGAATGCTTCGCTTCGATGTTATTCACATTTCAGAAAACATATGAAGAAAAATTCCCTAAAATGGCCAAAAATGACAAGAAATACCCTTAAAAGCCCAAAAATTTACCAAAAAATTACCCCCAAAATGAAAACGTGACCCTATAAGAATCTCTACTTCTAGAATTGGTGATGATGCTTATTACCCTCTTCAGTAGTCTAAAGATATGGATGCAGAGGGGCGAATTAGCCCAGAAAATCAGGCCATATGTCATATTAGAATGAAAATATGAAAAATATACCGATCTCATTGATTCTATTGACATATAGGGTTTTTAATAACCCCAACTGCATAGAAAGCTGAATCCAGTTTGGACATGAGCCAGTCAATGTGTCCTTTCCATGATAGGGTATTATCAATCAACAGACCAAGGAACTTAATATCAGCGGTTGTAGCAATTTGACTGTTACTATAAATGATAGGTATGTCCATTATATTACTATTCTTGGCTGAGAAATGCATAAAATACGTTTTATCGAGATTCAATGGCAGTAAGTTAGCCTTGAACCATCATTTATATTTCTGAACATTAAATTTAGTTTGTTTTCATACTCAATACGATTAAAGTTCTTGACAATAATTCTGGTATCATCCGCGAAGAGAATAGGGATTGATTTATTCTTTATAATATTTGGCAGATCATTAATTTATAACAAAAACAATAAGGGACCTAAGATTGATCCCTGGGGAACACCACTGGCAGTCTTACCCCAACTTGAGTGGGTGCACTTCTCATTAGTTACAACTCTTTGATGTCTACCATGAAGGAAGGATTCCAGTAATGCATTAGCTTTTCCTACTATTCCATAAAATTTCAATTTAGATAATAGAACATCATGATTAACACAATCAAGGCTTTATTTAGGTCACAAAAAATGCCTCCAACTGGTATTTTATTATTCAAGGCCTTTAATATTTCATTAAGTTATATGAGTATGAAACAAGTTCTGCAGATGAATCACACCTGAAACCATATTGGTGACTGGATAATATATTGTTATTCTTCATGTGATGGAATAATTTTACAAATATAACCTTTTGAATAACTTTTGAAAAGGTTGTAGGTAACGATATAGGTTTATAATTCATCATTATATTATATTATATTATATTTATAATTCATCATATTCGTTTTATCACCATTTTTAAATAATGGTATTATTTCAGAGTATTTCAAATGAGTGGGCAAAACACCCGTTGTAAAGTACTCTGTTACAGATATAAGTTAAAGGAGAAATAACAGCAGGTGCGCTAGTTTTTAGAATATTGACAGAAATTTCATCATACCCGTTAGAATTTTTGGGTTTTACTGACTTAATTATGTTTCCAGTTTCTTTAGTAGATGTAGGTTTAAGTTTAATTTCANATTGTTATTCTTCATGTGATGGAATAATTTTACAAATATAACCTTTTGAATAACTTTTGAAAAGGTTGTAAGTAACGATATAGGTCTATAATTCATCATTATATTATATTATATTATATTTATAANCTGAGATAAATAACCCCAATGTTTATCAATATCAAACTCTATAAAATGATCACTCTTAGCATTATTGCTGTTAATTTTATCTACTATAGTCAGAAAGTAGTTATTTAAAGAATCAGCAATTAATTTGTGACTATCAGTTAGCTTCCCTTCAACATTTAAGAACTGCATTTTGGTATTATTGATTCTCTTACCAGTAACCGTTTTAATAATATTCCATGTGGTTTTAATTTTATTGTTAGAATTCGAAATTAATCCATTATAATAAAGATTTTTGGCTGCCCTAATGACATTAGACAGAATTTTAGAGTAAGTTTTAAAATAGGATTTAAGGTCTGGATCATTACTGGTCTTCATGGACAAACAGAGCTCTCTTTTATGTTGACATGAGGTTTTTATGCCCCTCGTCATCCAAGGGTTATATTTCATATTATTCATAACTAATTTTTTCATTCATTCATCTGTAATCTGTCAAGATGACATGTCCACAGTCTCTTCCAAAACAGTTCCTCCACTTTTTAGGGAAGCTAAAATTAAATATTTTTAAATAAGTATTAAGAAATTAGTTGAAAATTGAATCAATATCCTGATCAACAAATATGCTATCCCAAGTTTCATAACTTAATTGAGTCAAGAACTCATTTCTAGAAGCTTTACTGAATTTCCTCACAAAATGTCTACAGCTATTTCGGTTATGTAAAAAAATGTTATTCATGTATAAGATCTGGGCATCATGATCAGACCATCCATTAACATGAGGACATATAGTATAATTTCCATGTCTGTGAAGATCAATAAAAATATTATCAATAGCAAAGCCTGAGTTGGTTTGGATCCCAGTAGGAAAATCTACTATACTAGAAAGGTTAAAAGAAGATAATAGAACATTCAATTGTTTCTTGTTATTACTATCAATTAAGTAATTTATATTGATATCACCACATATTATCAATTCCAACTTAGTATCGTGCAAGAAATTTGAAACGGCGTCTAATCCCTTCAGAAAATAAGCAAAGTTACTGGATGGTGCTTGTAAATAGATAGAACACAAATATTATCATGCAGCAATGGAAGTTTCACTGCACAGACTTCAAGGTCTTTATCTTTACAAAAGGCACTTAAACTGACATCTAAAAATTTTAGTTTTTCCTGCACAAATATGCAGGATCCACCTAATTTAAAATTTTTCCTACCATAAGCAGCACTGAATTTATAATGGTTCTGTGGGAACTGCCCACATTCAAGCAAGTGTGACAACGCAAGCGTCATTGCTTAGCAACAACGAGTAAACAACGGTTGCTAGGCAAAAGCGAGTAAACAGCGGTTGCTAGGGAACTTGTAAACACGGTGTCTGGCAACAGCAGTACCTATTATGTAACTCAGTGTATCTTCTTATGTAGCCTGGAGTCGGACATATAGAAAACGGTGATGTGGGAACTGCCCACAGTTCTATATAAGTACAGCTCAGATCATTATAATTTAAGTGGTGTTCACTTAGACATAACACATGCCGCAGTTCAGGATGTAGGGAGCTAATTAATTAATTGGTTTGTAAGCCCCTGATATTCCTTTACTAGAGAATCAGTACTGGCAGTATGATCAAGTGTCCCAGTAACACTCATGACTTGTATTTGTGAGGTATTTGGTTTGAATCTTGGCTGGGACACCAGATATCCTTACTGAGTTCTTTTATGGATTTATTCAGTCTCTCCATGCATTTTCTGGGAGAGTATCTTGATTAGGCCATGGTCACCTGTTTCCAATCCATTCCAATCTGTCACTCATCCTATCATTTGATGCTGTACTGTCCAACTACTGGTAAATGTCATAAAATTAACCATAAATTTGAGTACTGTTATCAGTGCCATTTAACAAATTAACTTTGTATAGTACTGCACACTTAAGGTAACCAGTATCTCTTTCTACCAAATTTCATATTTAATAACAAATTTATCCTATACTGCACAACCGGTGTGCCACAGCACACTGGTGAGATGTGAAGGGTCTGCAGATGTACCCTGAGAGTTTGGGGGGAGGGAGAAAAGAAGCAAGAAAAAAGTGAGGAGTAAAAAAATTGTTAAAATCCATGATCAACATTATTCTTAAAAATAACACAATGATTATAATTTTATCTATTGAACTTTTAAGCACAATCTTATTGATAATATTTTTTTATAATAAAAATCTCTCCTTAAAAATGACAATTTTAGCACCTTATTTGGTGTGCTGTGAGTTGAAAAAATGCTGAAAAAATCTGCTCTAATGTAAGGGAAGCATCCTTCTGTACAAGATGCAAACTATGTGCAGCTGATCCCACATTCCAAAGGTAGTAAAATGATGTCCTACATAACCAAAGCAATGACAATATATTCTTTTATGATGGGGAGGTTTCCAAAATCCTTTTCAAAACATTCACCTTTATTACACATTGTGAGATATAACCGTCAAACTTAATATTTAGCAGTCAAAATTAGTAACCTCAGAAAATGCCTCCTATACAATGGGTACAAGCAGTTCTTTCTCCTGGGTAAACCAGTTGGGGCATGAAGCTAACCACCCACCTTCATCTAGTGCTGATGTCAAGAATGGTGGAGCTATACCTCCATTTCTCACACATCTTTATGGTTTATGGAGTGGTTCTTAATTAACTAAGAACAGGGACAACTTCACCCTTCTTACTGTCAGAAATGATCTGATCCCTGAAAAAGCATGCTTTAATCCTCTGCTCCTAATGCAATGGAATGTAATAAAATTAAAAAGGACCATGTCCCTTCCAATGCAGTAAACTGTAACGAAAAAGGTAAAAAAAAAAAGATAAAGTTGCCTCTGTAACAGTACATGGAGGCCCACACAGTTGTGAGACATACAGGCTCCCACATTTTCTCGACAATCAGCTCACAGATGGCAGTGAGGTTGACAGCCACTCTTTAACCCCAGGAAGATTCCTGGTACTCATTTTTGTTAGAAGATGAGTCAACCCCAGGACCACAGTGCAGCTGGAATGATCAGATCAACTGAAAAATCCAATGATCTCATCGGGATTCGAACCCGATACCTTCCGGCTTGTAGCATACTGCCTCAATCAACTACTCTACTGTGTACCCCCGAACTGTAATGAAATCACAACTTAAATACCTAACAATGGCTCCCTTTAATTATTTCACTATTCCAGTTTTCAGCTGTCATGTCACAGTATGTTTAAATACCAGTAAATGAGTTGTGAAATACTCACCCTAGCACGTTCGCGCAACTGGTCCACAATGAGGCGATCAACACGTGATGGACTGGGTGGGAGTCTTGGTACAGGAATGTTGTTAGCAGATGACACTTTCTTCCCTGGATTATGACGGGCAAGTTCAGCCTCTGTTTTCTTGCGTTCCTTCTCAAGATTCTTAAACTGATCGCAACATTCTTCAAGACGTAAGTGAAGTTCACTGGATGGTCCACTGCGTCTGTAACCATCTCAAATCATTGCAATTTGGCAGTCCTCTCAAAAGTGCAAGAAAAAAAATGGTCGCAATTCTAAGAGAATGGGAGTCTCACTAAAAAAAATCATTCATCTTGCTCTATCCATACATGGGAGTAACTGATGAAACTGCTTTGATCCTTTCACTAGAAGCAAATAAAATCAAATTTCACAAAAACAGTTCTATAAAACATTCCCCTCATGATAAACTTGTCAATTTTGTTACACATTTTTCAAGTTATTGAATATTTAACCACAGTTTACTTCTACTCATCTATGGATTCAAAATGAAAAAAATCATGAGTACTGAACATGGTCATAAGTCTAGGTGTTCAAAGATAAATATGTGATGAAGAATTACACTTCACTCATTTGTTCATACAACTATAATAAATTCAAATATTTATGAGAACTTGAAAGCAAACAACTCCCTACAAGAGAAACCTTAAACCATTAAATGCCTCAATACATAAGCAGCAGAAGTCCATAATGCACAACTAATTAAATACAAGTAAAAATACTGCCTTTATATGGCTCGACCATTACTGGCCATCATCAGAAGGTGAAGCTAACATTATAAAGGACTTACTTTATATACTGTCAGAGGTATGGGTGCGATTATATAGATGGCTTGGATTGGTAATTGGATTTATTGAACACTTACAGACTATAACCTCAAATAACTATAGCACTATCGCTAATTCACACATTCTGCAGTTCACTATAGCATGTACTAAGTCTCCTCAGTCCACTGTGCCTTCACCAGTCACTGCCTGGTGAGGGATCCTCTGCTTCTGCGCTAATGTCCTTATTGGTTGGTGACTCTCCCACAACTACCTCCAACTGACTATGGGTGGAGGGGTGTGGTGCATGGCTTGTCCACTCCTAGGTGTTGCAAAACTTCTTTATCAGCTATACTATTGCAGATGCTGAATCCAGCAGGTGGTTTGTCCCTGAAGTTCTTAAAGCTCATAAGCCACATTAATGAAGAGTAGCTGGTGTGTAGGTAGAACTAGTTCCAAAAGAAGCTTTTACAGAAATGTTCGAGCATCCTCATGATGGTCAGTAGCTCCTACCAGGTGATACAGTAATTTCTCTCGACCTTATTCAGCATCTTACTGTAATGGGTTATTACTCGCACCTCTCCATCCTGTATTTGTGACAGCACTCTTCCAATTCTGACCTTAGATGCATCTGTGTCAAAGACAAACCTCTCTCTTTACTGCAGGTAAGCAAGAATATGGGCACTACAGAGGTCCTCCTTTAGTGCTTGAAAGGAGGCATCCACTTCTGCAGTCTGTTGGAAGGCTTGCTTCTCCTCCATGAATTTGATTAGTGGTTTCACAATGTTGGTGAAACCAGAAATAAACTGCTTGTAATATATGCAGAGGCCCAGGAAGCTTCCAATTTCATGTTTGTTCTCCAGTGTCAGCCATTCCCATTCGGCTCTCAGCTACTCAAGGTCTGTGGTTACCCCTTCAGGTGTTACAATATGCCTAAGATACTGTACTTCATTTTGAAAAGTTGGGACTTCTCTGGATTGACCTTTCGACAAGCTTCTCAGAACTGGTGGGCAGTTTTCAGATGCTGAACAAGTGCACTTGGAAAATGCAACCAATGACAATCATGTCATCCACATAAAAGACATGATTCATAAGTGAGGCTTCTTAGGACAGTCTCCATTAACCACTCACACATCGCTGGAGCGTTGCAGTCACAAAGGATTGACCATGAACTGCAATAGCCCTTCATCCTTTGAGAACATAGTCTTCTCCTTGTTGTCCGGATGCAGATCCACCTGCCAATAACCACTCTTCAGGTCCAAAATGGAGAACCATTTGGCTTCAGCCAGCATGTTCAGAGTGTCGTTAATCTGGGGCAGTGGGAAAAAGTCTTTGTGACATGGTTCTATTACCTGCCGTCTACACAGAAGCACAGGTCTCTGTTCTTCTCCTGGAAGAAAATGACAGGGGATGACCAGGGTCTGCCTGACTCTTTGACAACCCCACATCCTTGCATGTCCTAGAGCATCTTGCTAGGGGGAAACTCCTCAGGGGTTGGGGGCCCGGTCGTGCCTTTCCCATATCTATACAGTGGTACACTCTGTCGGTCCATCCACAGTCATCACTCTTCAAAGCACAGATATCTCTGCACTCATTCACGTGCTCTTCCAACTCTTGGGATGGAGTGTATTGTGGCCTCCATCTTCTCCTGATGCATACCCACTTTAGGTCTCATTTCTTCTTGAGTGGACTATGTCCTGGCTTGGTGGATATCCATCCAGGAGACGAGTATCTTGAAGAACTTCATACTTCTGTGATGAGAGTCCTTCTTGGCTTCCAACCTTTTTTCTTGGTTGATTTCCATCTCAGCCTCCAGCCTTTCTAGACTGGTGTCCACTTTGGCTTTGGTCCTTTCTTCATGGTATTCATTTCAGCCAGCAGGCATTTTAGTATCTGTTCCACCATCATAGTGTGGCGATATACATAACATATATATATAACTACACGATGTAATCTTCAATCCAATCCCACTTCTGACACCAGTTGTCACGAGTATGAGTGACCATATATGGGGTTTGGATTGGTAACTGGATTTATTGAACACTTAAAGATCATAACTACATGTAACTACAGTGCTATCTCTAATTCACACACTCTGCAGTTCACTAGAGCATATACTAAGTCTTCTTAGTCTGCTGTGTCTTCACCAGTTGTTGCCAGGTGATGGATCACCTGCTTCCATGTTCACATTCTTACTGGATGGTGACTGTCTCACAACTACCTCCTATTCATCTAACTGCCATCTCAAGACTAATGGCTGCTGCTACCCAGTATGGAACTCAAATATTCATTACTCCATCCAGAAAAGACCAGCTATTTATACAAGACATACCTATTCATTCTGTGGGATGTCAATATATGAAGAGGCAACCACTAGTTGAACTGTCCTACAGTATCTATTACAGTTGCACTGTATAGACAGACGAACTTGAGTTTGAAGAATTGAAGAATAATAATAACAATAGTGAACTCCTTGAACACTGAACTAGAATTGTAGAACTGTAGAATACTAGAACTGTAACTTCCACTCAACATATCTTCTTATGTAACCTAGAGTCAGACATATAGAAAACATGTCACTGTCTGTATTGCTGTAGGCTTTGCCTAGCAACCGCTGTTTACTCATCGTTGCTAAGCAGTGAAGCTCGCGTTGTCACACTTGCTTGAATGTGGGCAGTTCCCACAATTCCTTAATTTATGCTGTTTCCTTACCAGCAGGATCCGGTGACATAGGGATAAGGCACTAACCTTCCATACAAAATGTTCATGGCTGGCTGGATTCAGTGTTGACTGTTACATTTCACTTCGTCAATGTAGGCCAAGGCCTTTACTCAGATCCCAATATAAGCTGCAGTTTCCCTATGCCAGCTATCATCATTACTCCAATATTGAGGGGGAAAACAGATACTTCAGTTTACAAATACTTCTTTCTTAAATGTGGATTCCTACCTTTAAAAAGAAACTGATACCATCAGAATACCTCATGTTAACATTTTATAATGCCTACTGTGAACTTAATATTCAATGGCTCCAATTTTTAATCCATATATCAGAAAATATCTTACACATAAAGTTTATTGATTTTAGTAACCTCACTAATTTGTACACCTGATGTCAAGCACAATATTCATCTTTTGAAAATTAGGTTCCTTTAATTTTTACATCACTTTCATAAATGTTTTAGTCTTTTGGTACTTACCGAAAAGACCTGAAGCTATACATGTGTGGTGGGAAAGGAAATATTCCTGAAACATCATAGAAGGGCATCATATCAGATGATGATGACGATGGAGGACCTGGCGGTAGATAACCTAGACTTGATCTGTTCTTCATCAGTTCCGCATACAATTCTGTTGGATAGGGGGAACCATCCAAAGGTGGTGGAGGAATCAAATGGTGTAATGGAGGCAAAGAATTGGTATTAGGTGGGCCATATGGCATATGAAGGCTTGGTCGAGGATCTACTGGCAGGAAGCTTTTGTTAGTTTCCAGTGTTGGTGGAGGTGGATTACCAGACGTGAAATTTGGGTTACTGAAAACTGATCCACCATTACTACTGGAAACTTGACTCAGTCGTGAAACTCCAGTCAGGCCCAGTACAGTCTTTCCTCCCAATTCGTTGTCATTGTTATTGTTGTTGTTATGGTTCAAAGGGTAATTACTCCCTCCACTTCCATCCATGCCACTTGGTCCTCTGAACTTTATTCCATTGCCATAACCAAAACTTCCAGATTCTCCTTTGGTTAGACCAGAAGAAAATGACTGAAAGAAATATGTATATATGCTTTTGTAAGGAACACATTGTGCTAATAATTGCCTTCTCATTAGACATACAAGAATTGTTATACTGTTTAGGGTATAATACTATTTACATAAACGTTTTATCAGGGTTAAAATATAATTAAAGATTATAACAAAGATACTGAGACTTTCACAATAAAGACATGCATATTTAAAGTACAGCTGTTATAACTGTCAACAAGCACCAAGGTTAAAAAATATGTGGAGCTATACCTCTACTCCCCTAATATGTCTTCATGGTATGGTGCTTATTTAAGCACAGGATAACTTTACCTTCACCTTCTCTATTTGTATTGTTGTACTGTGCTGAGATAGGTGAAACAATGAGACCTCTAAGGGTCCACTGTGTCCCTCCCACATTGCTTGGGCTCTTTAAAAGCTTTGGCCTTAGCCTGAGCCAAAATCATCCAGACTGAGGGCCTCTTAAAATCCACTGGTTCTAGCCATGGACATAATGTCATATCTGGACTACTGGCACCAGGATATCCCAGACCAGCACCAGCATAGATATCCGAGCTGTCACCACTGGTACCAACTGGACCCACAAGTTGAGCCTCAGCCTCTCCCTCAGTTTTCCCCTGAAAAGGCCTTTTCTGCTAGTCAAACATTCCTTGAAGGACGGGCTATTCATCCCCATCAAGAGATCCCATTCTGTCTTACACTCATGGGCCTCTCTAGAAACCTTTACGTTTAGCCAACACCGTTTTGCATCCAGAGTGCACTGGTATTCATACAAGCAAACAACTAACAGATACTGACAAAACTGTCAACAGCTACAGACATCATGCTGCATTGTCTGTTCTGAACTTGATGCTAAAACTAAGCACAAGACTACCAGCAAACATATTTGTAGAAAGAAAAGAGGTCTTATGATTAATTAATCAATTATGTAATAAGAGTTTTAAGTGGTAATCACAGCTACATATCAGTCCTATTTTAACCTGAGAAATAACAACTTAGAAGGTATAGGCAGAGAGATTAACGAGTTCAGACAATGGTGTACAACACTCAGGATTACCAGGTTTTTGGGCTCTGTCCATTGTCTGGTATTCTAAAAAACTAGATAATATAATGTTTCAGAAACTGGATATGTTTCCATCCTCAGGTGAGCAGGGAAGACATCTACTCTGCTGGGTCTCTTACAAAGAGCTAACCTCAATCACTGGAGAAACAGAACACCAGATGGACAAAGTCAAAGGGGAAAAAAACAAAAACAAAAACAAAAAAACTAGTAATGCTGAGATGTAGATGTGTTGGACAATTTTTTATCTCACTTTATTTCTGGTCACCTTATTCAATGGAATATTTAAAACTTACAACTGTAAGAGCTTGTTTCTGTTGTGTGTTACTTTTTATGGCTCCAAGCAATGAAACTTTGGATTATATGAATGTTATGCAATCTAAGCTATTTTATTGTTTCTAAAATGTTATAATTACACACACTATCCGTGTTACAACAGTGGTATTTAACAGACTGCAAAGAAACTGGCTCCAAGTTGAGGGTATAAATTCAATGAAGCTAACATGACTGGTGGTCAGTTCTGTTGTTGTAAACAGGACAATGACTGTTATAGAGATCAACAAAAGCAATATAACCTGAACAGTATTCTACTTGTAAAGTCACTAATCAAATGAATATCTACTCCTTCTACATGAATACCATTTTTGAGAAGCCTAGTAACAAATTAGTGCTGTAGAGCATACCTATTTTAATGCATTCCAATGCTATACAGCCTCGATACTGAGACCGTTGTTAAATAACCAATGGAAGGAAAAACACTAGGGTTGTGCATTCCAGTAGCTATGCCAAATGAGTCGGTAGCGCACAGCATTCACAAACCTTATACTCTGAATGCTCCACTGTCAAATAAATTTGTATGCCTTACTGATCAGAGAAATATGTGATAACAATTTAATTTAAGTTTATGCACTGATTTATTATTAGGTAAACAAGAAAAAGGCACATTATATTTTGAACATATTTTGCCATATTCAATATTTCCAATTTCATGTCTAGTGCTGACATAAAAGCATACTACTTGTCACATGTGAAACATTTATGATAAATTGTTTAATTAATTTGTATACATTTAACTCTTTGTATCCTCTGTCAAAAGACTTCCACCACTTCAGCTTTCCCATATAGGTCCTTTGTGAGAAGCCTTCTGCCACCATCTATGAAGTTACTGCCATGAAATAACTACTGAAATTTAAGTTAAGTACTATTCATACTGCCTTGCTGAGAGAGCCTAATCAAAATTTTTAAATGGCTAACAATTTGGGTTCAAACATCAATTAGAATCATACTACTATACTCACAGCGTCTTAGCTGAGAAGAGATTAAAGAATACAACACTGTAAAGCTCACTTTGATTTTGATTTTTGTACATATGGGTCTTGTAATCAGATCCTTCCTCTTATCCTGTTTTATGAAATAAATAACAGCAATCTGGGTTACAATCGAGAGCGTAGATAGTGAATGATCTGATATATTTATACTTCACAATTTAAAGTGTTTTGACAGAAACTGTAACTATAAAATAACTGTAAATCCTAGCAAAAAAATACTAAAATTAAAAATTATTATTACCTGTTGGCTGTGGCTTGAAGATCGGCTGCTAAGGTTTCGAGGAAAGCCAATGGGAGAGTAGACTGGTGGTGACTGGTGGGAACTTGAACATGAGAGATGACCAGAACATGACACTGGTACCATATTTGAACGGGATTCTGTGTTGCTTGATACACATGACAAATTATTCTTCTGTGCTGATGAGTTTAACTTCATGAGGTTAATATTGAGCTGCTGGTCAAGGATATTCAGACTCCCATCACAGACAGTGCTGTTATTAGTTTGAGAGACTTCTTGCTTTGTCATTCCTCTATAATCATTGGCCAATTGCAGAAGATTTGTTGGGAATGGGCAGGGCTGAAAATGAAGATTTAATGTAAAATTATTTATGGTATTTCAGGCTCTATCTACATAAATACAAACAAAGTGAGGATGCAGGCACGCGCACACACACACACTGTTTATGAAGTGATGTCATTTTGTAACCACAGATGACAGAAATATAAATTAAACTCTCATGATGTCAATGGATGAAGCAATAGGAAATTTTTCATTTCTCCTAAATTACTAATTGCAGCTAAGTTTGATTTTGTATAAAGAAGTTCCAGGCTGCTACTAAATTTCACCCGTTTGAAGATTTAGTGGTTTTACAGAATGCAAATTCACAGACTGTAAAATATGGTATAATGTCTGGAATACATTATGAAACATTCTTTGGCAACAGCAAATTCACAAAACTTACAAAACATTTTGTTAAAATCTTCATTACTGTCATATAATCTTGGAAACAATATCATTTAAACTGTCCCTCTAAGCCAATTAAATTGTGAATGTAATAAAATGAATGTATGTACAATGCAAACTCACAGTTAAAGAGACAATGGGGACAAAAACCTCCTAGCCATCCACATGCTTGTCAGTTTAACTTATTTATGCAATAATTTTAAGACAACTCACCTTACTGGAATCTTTTTTGGGTAGGACAGGATTGATTCTGTCAAGAGGTGAAACCTGTGGCCGGTTTGGTGCAGAGTAACCTGTCACACTATTCAGTGCTTCTGAACCTGAACCTGAGTTCAGATTCAGCTTGGCAGTATAATTTAACATCTGGACATAGTTGTACATTTGTATGTCATTTGGCAAACCCTGCCCATACATTACAGGACCTGTGGGTAGAAACTCAATTCTAAATATGAAGCCAACCTGAACACGCAAGAGCCAACAATTCATATCATGAAAATAATGCACAATCACCATTTTCTTTCAGTTTGATACATGAACACAAACACAGTCAATAATTATAGCAATCATCAGACCCTGATGATTGGGACAGAGATAGTCCCTGAAATGTCAGCAATCATTAACTGACTGATATAGATGATAGCCCAAGACAAAGTAAACAAGTTTAAAGAAATGTATGCACAACATATCAATTCTGGCATGGTTGCTCACTTTTGTTTCATTACCTCAAAAGAAAAAAACAATGCTCGAATAAAAAAAGACAGTAAATTTACTAACACGTTTAGAAGAGTAATGACAGAAAATAGCTATAAACTGCTGTCCTTCAGTTTATGTCCGGTATGTAGCAGTAAATATCAGTCAACATTTTAAGTAAGGTTTGTGTAAAAACAATTCTGAATATTTTTCCTTAAGTAAAAGGTAAAGGTATCCCTGTAACAGGCCATGGAGGCCCATAGGGTTGAGATGTTGAGGTTCTCACATTTTCTAGACAATCAGCTCACAGATGGTGGTAAGATTGTCAGCTCTACGCGCTGGCCGCCCTTTACCCCCAAGAACATTCCAAGAATATTTCTGGTACTCATTTCTGTTAGAGGCTGAGTCGACCCAAGGGCTATAGTGTGGTTGGAAGGATTAGGTAAATTGAAAAAAATCCAATCACCTCATTGGGATTTGATCCTGCAACCTTCTGACTTGTAGCATAGTGCCTCAACCAACTACGTTACTGTGTGCCCCCAGATATTTTTCCTTACAGTAAAAAACTGACACTAAAGTAATTTCCCCCCCCTCAAACCCACTTTCTTCATAAGTAAAAAATTATATCTCATGAGGCACATCAATATTCCTGATAAAAATTTTTGAAACGACTTAGAGACCAAGTATTGGTGTCAGAAATGTACATTTCTTTATTCAATAAGGCTCAGTCATGGATGTCATAATTAAAATCAAGTACAGTAAACTCTCCATCATCCAGTAACCAAGCATCCAGAATTCCCACACAACTGCTACAAATTTTTAGAGAAAATGTATAATTTTTATAAACTTTATTGGCCTACTGTAAGTACTCCTATGTAACCAGAATACTTCATTCCCAATGCATGATAGATAACCAGGAGTGTACTGTATAATGTTACTGACCACTTCTTATCTTCAATTTTAATTTTTCCTTCAAGTGAGAGATGCAGTCTACAAGAGGAGGCCATAGCTTAGTCACACTACAGATTACTCACTGTGACAATGTGCCAGTGCACAGAGTCCCAACATAAAGAACAATATAGCAAATTTCAGGTCAGTCAACTGGTTCAACCTCTGTACTCTTCCACCTTCTTCTCTTCTCATTACCCAAGTAAAGTAAAAAAAGTAAAGCTTTCCCTGTAACAGGCCGTGAAGGCCCATAGGGTTGTGAGATGTTGAGGGTCCCACATTATCTGGACAATTGGCTCAAAGATGGCGGTAAGGTTGTCAGCCTTACGCCCCAGCCGCGCTTTACTCCGCAGGAAAAAAGTAGGTTAATATCATCAAACAGATTACAACACTCAAAGAAGTACCAGGACAGTACTGGAGGCAGAAATGGAGACACATAAAATTAGTCTGAAGGGATGTAATACTTTTATACATTTCATATCTCTAGTATCTTCTTTCCATCTGTCTGGAACTATGGGTCACACATCAAAATTATTATGTTATAATAATGTTCATCCTACCTTGAGCTGGCTGCTGAGGACCTGAACCTTGTGGAACTGAGTTAGGTGAATACAGAGACAAAGGTGAACCAGACAAAAAGTTAGAGTCAGATGAAAAGTCCCTGACCATAGCAGAGGGAGAATTGGAACCCTGAAACATGTATAACATTAAGTCCTACAAACCATCTTCTCAGGGTCATATATAGAATATTAAACATAAAAATTTGATTCAGCAACAGGAAAATAAAACACCATTTTATCTGTTCTTCAGTACAACCTAAAATGCATTAACACATTTAATAAAGAGAACTGAAATATTCTGAACAAGTTCATTATTCTCGTCCTGTGCCTACACCTAACTTCATCTTTCAGGCTTTTGAATAGCAAGGCAGAAGATGGAGGCATGGTTATAACCTACAAAACCATTCTTAATCATTTTAACACAGAATCAATGGTAATTTTGTCTCCTGAAACTGAACAAGTTGACAAAAGTTAGTTCCATCTGCCTTATGCAACACTGGCTCTAATGCCGATTCTCTGTGAATACTGATAACAGAATACAGAGGGGGAATGGAAAGTGGATGCTGCCATGAAGATCTTCAAGGACCGTCTACTGTCTAGTTATCCTTTCTTTGGCTTTACAAGCTGAAGAAAGGACATGGTGAAGTTAGTTTGGAACCAAAGCACAATACAGGGCCGCGCCACAGCTCAAGTGGTTAGTCACTGGCTTCCCACTGTGGCAGCCCAGGTTCGATCCTGGGTCTGGTCAAGTGGGATTTGTGGTGGACAAAGTAGCACTGGGACAGGTTTTCCCCGAGTACTTCAGTTTCCCCTGCCAATCTTCATTCCACCAATTGCTCCACAATCACCCTCACCTATCATCTGGGGCTGGTACAATAGGCCAGAAGTGGCCGCAGTACAAGGGACTTAGTCCCACCCCACTAGCGTTTAAAAAAAAAAGCACAATAGACCACCGTAGGTTGCGGTGCAAGGGCCAAGGAGGCCTACCCTTCATACATTCATTAATTAATTTGGAACCACTGTTGCAGAAGTAGGGACACTACACTAGCCACTGCAAAACATTTGTCATATGTCAGGTGGGACAATCGCCCAGAGGACCACAATGTAAATCTTTCCTACCATGGATATTACAGACCTCATACTACCAAAAATTTTCAAGAGACAATACATGTTCACACAAAGACAGGTAGCTGATTCAATCCAGTTGACTGTTGCATCTGTTGAATTTCAGATCTTTTACTATACTAGCACAATAGACAAATTGATTGTGGAAACCCACATTCATATACAGTGATTTACTGGAGCTAGAACACCATGATATGTTACATTTAATAGCTAATGACAGCAAATACTGTACACTGAATTCAAACCTGCTGAAATAACACAGACCAAGTAAGACTGTGCTATTAACTGAAAATGTGTTTTTCATGTTCAGAAAGCTGTGTAACTGGAAACTTTGTTGATTATGAACACTCCACAACCAATGAACTTGCCATGCAACATATACCTTTAAAGGTAAAACGTAAAGCTATTCCTGTAACAGGCCATTAGGGCCCATAGGGTTGTGAGATGCTGAGGGTCCCACATTATCTAGACAACAGGTTCACAGATGGCAGTAAGGTTGTCAGCCTTATGCACTGGCTGCCCTTTACCCCCAGGAAGATTCCTGGTACTAATTTCTGTTAGAGGCTGATCAACCCCAGGGCCATAGTGCAGCTGAAAGGATTAGGTCAACTGAAAATATCCACCTCATTGGGACTCAAACCCGTGAGCTTTCGGCTTGTAGCATAGTGCCTCAACCAACTATGCTACCATGTGCTCCCCCTACCTTTAAATTAGAACCATAAAATACAAAATCAAATTCATATCACATCCACACACCAAGACCTTTTGACAGTAGCAAAAGGTCATCCTAACAGAAAAACAAAAACAGCACCAAATCAAGAAATTTACCTTCTCATGACACTTTACTATTAGCTGAATGGTACTTATCCTGTTTTTGTGGGTGCCATGTTAATATTGCTGAAGGGAGGAATTTGTAAATAACATAGCACGAGTGGCAGGCTCATATGATCTTCATATTAAAATTCATGGCAAATAATATACATACTAAGTAAATAAGAGCTGCAAATACTTTCTGCACATCAGAAACACATTTTCAATTAATGCACAAGCAGTCCCTCCTTTCACACTTGTCACTGATTATAACAGATATTCAGCTTGAAAAAAAAAAAAAGTGGTCACACAATATTACAGTAGCACAGTTTCTTCACTTGCCTGTTGATTTGATTGGTACTGTTGCTGTTGAGCACAAAGCCAGAGCTGTTCAGCATATAAATCCGAAGGTAGGGGCTTTGTTTGAGGGTGATGGGTTGGGGGTGGTAGTGTCTGCACTGGTTGCTCTGATCCTGTTCCTTGCATTGCAGCAAAATGTAACACATCACAATCTGCATGCTCTATTGGCCCTAGATTTAGGCACTGGTACTCTGAATTTGAAGTCAGCTGAAATACAAAAGTTAATCTTCTTCAGTCTTTAAAGGCCAATTAGCTGCTTTGATTTCATGTTTATTCAAAAAAATCATAGTTCATTACAATCCTATAAATAGTTTATGAACTTCCCACAGCAGTGGCAATATTATATGACATCATGAATAATATCCTTTTCTGCTTTATGCAATTTGAATTCAACTTCTGAATATTATTTTAACATAACTCAAAAAAAAAAAAAAAGCATTTTAGTGAAATGATGTAGTTCCCTACAGCAATAAAATCCAAATATGGAAGCTCCTGGGCTTGAATCCTTGTATTTGTGAAGCAGTGGAAAACCTACTCATCAAGATCAAGTAATATTCACAGTTTTCCAAAACCGATATAACAAAAATTCAAGGCCAATACAAATTTACAAGACTGGAAAGGTGGTCTATATAACAGAATACAGAATTTCCACATGCATCTTTATTTAATACTCTTTATGAGGAAATATTCCTATGCTATACAAAAACTGAAATGAGCCTCCAACATTTTTATAAGAGCCTATCACATCAAATTTAATCAAAATCCATTCATCAGGTCCTAAGTTGAAACAAGCTGATGGCTGGATGTGCAGATAAATACAATCTCCCATAGATGTGTTCAGTTTATGCAAGTTCAAAGCATTGACAGAGCTTGGGAAACTATTAAATAGAATTTCAGCCAAGAAAACTGTTGATTATTATAACCTGAAACAGCATAAGAAATGGTTCAAAGGATTTTCAAAACTATAAATAGAATTTCAGCCAAGAAAACTGTTGATTATTATAACCTGAAACAGCATAAGAAATAGTTCAAAGGATTTTCAAAACTATCAGATCAAAGGAACAAGCCAAACTGAAATGGTTACAGGACCCTAGCCAAACAAATGGGGATAACCTGAATATTGTAAGAAATGAACCTAGCACACATCTCAGATTCCAAAGAGGCAATGTCTGAAAGACTAAATTAATGAGCTTGCAATACATAGTAAGAAAAAGAACATTAGAGATTTATGCAGAAGAAAAAATTAATTTAGGAAGTGTTACCAACCTAGTAAGTAAAGCTATCTATGAGCCGATTGTCTAGATAATGTGGGACCTTCAACATCTCATAACCCTATGGGCCTTCACGGCCTGGTACAAGGATAGCTTTACTTTTTTACCAACCTAGAACTAGCATGGTAAAGGATGAGAATAGCTCATTTATTTTAACAAAAAAAAAATAGAACAGATTATTATCAATAACATTATTATGAAGATTCATTACTCACAAAATCTTTCCCAATGCCAATTTGTGACTGCAAGAAGTCTCCATCAATTGTGCCCAAGCCGTCCTCACCATTAGGAGTGAGAGAAGTTCCATTCAGGTGATTATGAAACTGCTCTGACCAATGACTGCCAAACATACTAGGGCCTTTGTACAATGAGAACATGTTTGATTCCTTCTGGGATGATCCCCTGAATTCAAAAGAAAAAATAATGTTGATGTTGAATATTAAGAAGTCAATGCTACATATAAATTAGAAATAAATAAAACCTTATATACATACTCTGACAAGTAGTCATTGGGCACACTGCCAACTAAACAGGCATCATCATCCAATATCTTTGCCACCAGATCATCCACCATGGTGTTATCAGAGTATGGGACACTATCTTGGTTCTGCAGATCTCTGTCTTGTCCATTCTGAAACTTTAAAAATTAATGAAGCCAGGAGAGTAAGTGGACTGACTTTTTTCCATAGTTAGGTCACATACAGCCTTCCTGCAAATATAACTTGTTACTACATTATGAAATTTATGATATTTTGTGTTAGGTCTTTGATAAATGTCCAGCTTTCATGAAAATGTGACAGGTGTGTAATATCTGTATTTGCAATATCTCACAGCAGTAACAAACAAACTGGAACTTGGACAGGTGGATCATGGTTTACTTCATGGTGCTGTATCAAGTGCACAGGTTATTTAGTGATTAGTGACATAAGAGGATAATTACACCTTGCAGATTTGAAATCACAGGGGAAGAAACAGTAATGGGCTATTTCAATGTACTATCTATCGCAGAATTTGCCTGCAGGGTTTGGTTAGGTCATTTATATCTCACACACTTCCTTTTCAGTTACTTCCAATGTTTCAATGTTACCATGGTTATTTGTATATGTATGGTACATGAATGTTGAGGGCTGTGTTTACATGCCATAGCACTTAAACACAATGCTCTCCAGATATTTTCCTTGCAAAAGGACATAACTACAACACCAATCGATTACACCGTTCATAACTGCAATCGGTATGTCATCAGTTATGGGTTCAATCACATACGAGGGGGACCCAAAAATAACCGGAACCAACCTGTTGAGCACGCATGCTTTGTAGTTACGAGTTGTGCTGCTAGGTGGTGTTAGCTGGGGGTCTCCCGCGACTGTTAGTGAGCTGGCGTCAGTCTGAGTTAAGTGGTTTGTCTGTGGTGCTCTGTTGTGTGTGTTCCTGTTTCCACCCTTTGGCGATTAGTGAGATGGCCGACCAGAAGGAACAAAGAGTGTGTGTGAAATTTTGCTTTCTGTTAGGGAAAACTGCAGCCGAGACTGTTGGGAAGCACAGTATAGCGAATTTTAACCGAAGGTTTGCACATGAGACGGGTGTCTGCAAAATTTGTTCCTCGCTTGCTCGGAGATGACCAAAGAGAAAACTGCGTGAATGTTTGCCGCGACTTGAAGAGTGAAGTGCAGAACGATCCAGAATTCATCCAGCAATCCAGCAATCATCAAGCCAGTGGAAAACTCCAACTTCACCACGACCGAAGAAGGCCATCTCACTAATCGCCAAAGGGTTGAAACAGGAACGCACACAACAGAGCACCACAGACAAACCACTTAACTCAGACTGATGCCAGCTCACTAACAGTCGCGGGAGACCCACAGCTAACACCACCTAGCAGCACAACTCGTAACTACAAAGCATGCGCGCGCAACAGGTCGGTTCCGGTTATTTTGGGTCCCCCTTCGTACTGCATTCCATGCTTCAATTCCAGTATGCTGCAGGAATGTCTCCTGTAAACTTTTTTAGGTAACCCAAACGGAAAAAGTCTGGTGCATTTATCAATTCATGTTCTGTAAAGACCACTATGTAAACATGCTGCAAAACGTTTCCCTGCCGCAGTTGCAAAATAAGGCACCTGATACACTAGGCAACATGTGGTTTCAGCAAGATGGTGCCACCTGACCACTCGTGGCATTTATATGGCAGACATTTGGTAACAGGCTCATTTCATAGGTTGAGCAATGATCTGTGGCCATCTCGATCCTCAAACCTCACTGCACCAGACTTCTTCCTTTGGGGTTACCTTAAAGAACATGTCTACAGGAGATATCCCTGCAAATGACTTGAATTGAAGCACTGAATTCAGTATGCCACTGAAGCCACACATGATGAGACACTGACTGAAGTTATGAACAATGTAATCCATCAATGTTGCAGTTGTGTAATCTCATGAGGAAAACATCTAGAAAGTATTATGTTTAAGCACTAGGTCATGTAAACATATCTTCCAACATCCATACACTATACACGTAGAAATAACCATGGTAACACTGGAATATAACAACTACCCCAAAAAAGTAAACGTCAGATATATCTGGCCCACCCTGTATTAAATTTGTTGCAATGGTCGGCTTATTATTCCAATAATTCCAAGATTATAGCTGACAAATGTAATAGTCATATCTCTGAGATAATACAGTGCAGTTCATTGCATGCTCTAACTTGAGAAAGTGTCAGTCTATCCAATATTAAATGTTGGATATGACAAAAATGGCAATGCAGTCAGTTAAAACCAAAATGATATATGTACAGGAAAAGGTGAGTATGGTTTGTAGCTGGTGAAGTAAACATACATGGAAAAGGTGAAGTATGGTTTGTAGCTGTGAAGTAAAAATACATGATTGGAGTCCAAATAGTGAGCCATACATTCTGCTTATGGCTCCGTTCAGCGGCTTCTTTCCTTACCCCCTTTCTTTTTTCTCTTTCCCAGGAAGTCCTACTGTTCCGAAACTTGTTCCGTTCCATGCCTACCATGTGACCCCCCCTCCAGCTGTTGCTAAGATCTAATGAGTAAGAAGGAGGTGGATTAACTTCACTTGTTGTATAGCATTTGCATAAGAAGGGTAGCGTCTCCCTTGGGGTTGAGGCGACTCGGTAGCTAGCAGTCAGAGGACCAGCTGGCAAAACTCCATTTGGATCTGGCCAGTCTAAATTCGGTTTGGTTTCTTCTTCTGACTGGGTAAGGGTAGCGTTTCCCCTGGTTTTGGGATGAGTGGTAGCTAGAATTAGCTTTTTCTTGGGGCACTTATTTTACTTGCCTGGCGTTTTGTGTATTGCCCTGACTTTAAGAAATGGGGCTGTATTTGACTTGTTAAGAAGTGTGCATGTATCTCTCGAGAGAATGTTTTTCTATGAGGGAGTGGCTTGCCATCAACGCGGTAAGTGAGAGAAATTCAGTTTTGGGCTTTTTTTTTTTCCTTTTTCTTCTTGGTTGAAAATTCTGGTTCATTTTTGGTCAAAGTTTTTAGGGGCGTTGATGGTGAGAAATCTCCAAAAATATGCAATGTTAGTCTTCCGGCGTTACGAGTGGAATTGTATTTCTTGGTATTCCATTGTATTGTATCTGAGTCAATTTTATTATATTAAATATTTACTACTGTTTTTATCTGGTTACTGTTGGTCAAGACCTATAGCTTGGACACCCCACTCTATCTTGGGGATAAAGGCATTGTGAAACAATGTAAAGGAACCAGGGACGAAAGCAGCGTCTCCCCCCCTTAGTTAGGTTAAGAGGGGAGGGGCTGCTCAATAGTATACTGTCACAAGTACAGCAAGGGGGCATTTTCTGAATGCTCATATCAGAAACTTCAGTTCCTCAAGACAAACAATATGTTCCAAAAGAAAGGAATTGGATGTTCTTCCATCTTTAAATAAAATGTTAAATGTGTACTGGCAGTGAACCTACAAATATATTTCTTCAGGAAATATATCTGTTGAGAATAATTTGAGCTGCCATTGCAAACATCAACCATGTACAAGGTTTTGTACAAGTCATATACACAATATGCAAATAGTGCAGGCAAGTCACACAGAAGATCTGTCTGCAAACTTCATAGATTAAGATAATGTTATGTTTTCTGAGAGTCACTTTAACTGGATAATTTACTGAGAGAAGAAGCCCATCAGGAGACCCAAGAATTGAAGCTTTAATACATGGTGTGGAATGATATTAAGATACCAGCCCATTCTTTTCTGCAGAACCTGAATGTCTGTGCATAGACAGCAAAACATTCATGCACAATGAAAAAGTCATATCTGCATCTACTTGGTTCATCATCAGTAATAAATTTTTCTTTTTAAATGACACAATCAGAAATTGTTCTGTGATGGATTAAGTATTGTAATTATGTAACTGATTGTATTGATGTAATCCAACTGTATTTGTGTAATCGATGTGACTTGTCTTCTCACTGACTATTTATATTTCCACTGATATTCCAGTTATATGGGGAACCATGGAAATATATAATAATAATAATAATAATGAATAAAATTACTCATTGAAATCTGATTAAACTTTATATTGATGAGCCCACACTTCAGAGATGATCAAATTTAATTTTTGTCCATACTGATCCAACATAACCACTCTCTTTCATGAAACACAAATCAAACCATAAGGATAAAAGGATAAATGTCATGAAATACAGTGCTCCTGAAGTTCTACACTGTTTTCAGAATGGTACAGGTTATGACAGAATACAAGGAAAAATGACTCATGAATGATTGAGTGACTCACTGATTCTCTTAAGGTTTTGACAATTGCCTGTTATTAATTATAAAAGTATTATATTAGGCACTGTCTGTTGTCTTAGTTAAACTAACAATTACATGACATTTTAGAAGGTGGATCTGCTTCTGCCATCAGGTATGAAAAGGGCAAGAATCCTATTCAGTTGGGCTCATTAGACAGAGCTTGTCTTGATCCTGTGTAATGAAGGGAATTGTAGGCTATAGGCAGCCTGCATATTCTATGTAACTACACTCAACTCTCGATCATCCGGGGGCGGATAAACCGGTCTGCGGTTTAACCGGGGCGACTGGGGCTTTTTGAGGCTTACATGTTGTTTAATAGTCATTCACTTTTGTTTCACATGGTGAGTTGTAACACTATTTTCGCACTAGTGTGAACCGAGCTCTGCATTTTTTGGTCCCGTTATGCTAACACAATGTTCTAGGGTAGGGGTGAAAGACTGCAAGGATTTGTGGAACGCTTCAAGGACAGATACGCCTCCCCAGTTAGTCTCTTTGTATCAATCTTCTAGTGCGTTAGCAAAATGTCAGGGTGTAAAAGGAAGCGTGTTGTGTTAAGTATTCAACAGAAATTTGAAATTATCAATCAGTTGGGAAAAAGAGGTATAGTTAAACAATTAGCAATGCAATATGGTATTAGAGAACAAACTGTTCGTGATCTGAAAAAACAAAAGAATCAATTAATCCATGGATTCAGTGAAAATGAGACAGCCATAGAACTGACAAAATTGGCTAACCAAATTCATGGTGGTGAAGAAGTCAATGAGGAAAATATAAGAGCGTGGTTTGACTGTGATTCGTGTGAGCTGGGCTTCGAAATGTTAAGCAGTGACAAAATCATAAGTTCAGTGGGGGTGTAGCCAGAAGAGTGGGAAGAAAGTGAGAATGAGGAAGAGGTGGACTATGCTGCTAGTAAGAAAATATCACATGGTGCTGCTCTTAATCATTTGGAATCCTTACTAGACTATCATGAGAGTGAAGAGAACATTTGCAAACCTTTGTGTAGGGCTAATCCAAATTAGAGCATTCTTTCCACTCATGATTCTCTCCGATTTCTTTTCTTTTCTGAATTTTCATAAATGAGAAGTAAAAAAAAAAGTATAGGTATCCCTGTAACAGGCCATGGAGGCCCATAGGGTTGTGAGACGTTGAGGTTCCCACATTTTCTAGACAACCGGCTCATAAATGGCGGTAAGGTTGTCAGCCTTACACACATTGGCCACCCTTTACTCGCCAGGAAGATTCCTGGTACTCATTTCTGTCAGAGGCTGAATCGTCCTCCGGGGCCATAGTGCAGCTGGAAGGATTAGCTAAATTGAAAAAATCCACCTCATTGGGATTTGATCCCACGACCTTCCGGCTTGTAGCATAGTACCTCAACCAACTACGCTACTGTGTGACCCAATGAGGAGAAGTAAGGAATCAAAATCTGCTATGAATACTGCCTTCAAGCAAATGACATCTGGGGAGTGGAAGGAGATCTTTCTAATTGAAGAGACGTAACAAAAATCCTCATGCTGGAGAAAAATTACCATTTGTACTCAAAAGGGTGAGATATAAGTAATTCCTAGAAAGAAAGCAGGTAGGAAAGAAAAGAAAAAAACTTCAATAGCAACAGTGCAGTTTTCAATACCAGTCAATACAAAAATCTACAGACTTGATATTTATGCCTATTATGGAGTTATCATTCAGTACTGACTGCAACATGCTATTATCTGCATATGCAACCTGCTCTTCAGCATTTCTTTATATTTGCAACAAAATGGTGCAAGCCTTTACTAAACACATCATTACCAGTGACATATGTTTCATACTGTCATGTGTTAGCGACTAAAAATTGATTGCTGAATTTACTGAATATCATATTACTTCTAACTACTCTCACTACCTTACACAATCTATAAGTAACTGTAGGTGCCAATAACTCCTATTTCTTCACTATTCACTGCAAGATAATGGGTTCTAACAAGAGGGATTCTTTTTAAGGCTTCTGTCCTCACTGGCTGGGACTGACTACTAACCACCAACTGCAGTATTGGCCTGGTTTTGTGCAGTAATTTGCTGCCAGACCTTACCAGCACAGTCATTCTTGGTGCCAGGTCCTGCAGGACTCATGACCATATTTTCTGTCTCATTACTGACAAAAAAATCATTTTACAAATACTAGATTTATGAATTTCTGCTATGACAAAGTGCATTATTTTGTACATAGTTGGTGGTGTCTCCACCTTATCGTGGTGAGGGGGTTTGAGAATGCCAAGGACCTTGAGAGCTATACCAGTGGTAGCGTAGCTACCGGCAGGGCCACCCATGCTGGACAGGTCAAAGGGTAGGTATCAGACGAAGTGAGACACCAAAAACCAAAAACTGATGCCGAAAGCTGTGTCATCAGCAGCGACTTGAAGCACAAAGCAAATGATGCTCGAGATGGTTCAAGTTCATATAGCAACAGGCATGACCAGAGTGGTTTGAACGGCTGTTGTGCTGTGATGTGGAAAGCAAATGGAAAAACTACCATATTATCACTTTTCCTGGATAGTCTCCTTCTGAAAACAGAGACACCATGTATGCGAACCAGAAGATGAGGAAGAGGACGTAAGAAGATGCTGGATGACCTTGGGGACAGAAGAGGATATTTTTATTTGAAGGAGAAAGCTCTGGTTGACATTAAGTGGAGGAACTGTTTTGGAAGAGACTGTGGACCTGTCGTCTGACAGATTACTGATGAATGAATGAAGTTTTCACTTAACAAACTGCATTTTCACTACAATGAACAACTTACGTTCATAAGTTTGGTGACATTTACACACAGAGTAATGGGGATTTCAGTTTGATTTACGAAATTTCCCCTTATGATCATTTTCCATAGAACAAATTACCTTCCTAACTCAAGGCACACTTCTACTTCACACATAAAAATGGAAGGTTCAAGTTATGAAGAAAATAAACCAACAGCACAGAAGTTCCACATGAGACTATAGCAAACCAAAGAAACTGGAGAGGTAAAAGCAAAACTCAGCAATATGACCACTGTGGACTACAGGTGATTGAAAATATATGACATTTTGTACATGAGAGATCAGGAGAAATTTCTCTCTTTAGCTTCCTCCAGAAGTACAGATCCACTCTACTTTGCACATTTCCTTTGTAGTCTCATACATATTTCCACATTTGTGTCTTATAATCGAATTTTAAGTCTCATATAAACTTATGAATAAAGATTATTAAAGTAGAATTATTGTGTAACAGTTTAAGTAACAGTACTATATGGAGCAACTCGGAAGGGAATATTCTTCAAACTGTAAAAAGGGTATAAGCATAACATTTTAAATAACATGAGATCATATAATGCAGTATTTTCAGGAAAAGCAACATATGAGAAATCACTGTTAGCAATGCTTCCATCTATCTTTATTTATAATTAGCAATGCTTCCATCTATCTTTATTTATAATCTCCGGCACCATCAGGGACATGTGCACATATAATGATGCATATGCATTATCCTCCTTTGATGTATAATTAATTACATAAAACTTCTCTGGTCATTTTAGAAAATGTGCACATCTTACAGATGTCAACATCCATGACAACACATAAGTCAAGCAACAACTTAATTCTGATGAACCACTTTTAACTTCTTATCACAATATATATGAGTACTTGTGCTTCACATTAATGTACAGGTATATGAACTTTCTGCTCACCTGGGCAAAGTCAGAAAGAGAACCATGAAGTGACCAGGGTGGTAAACTATCTGGAACCAGATTTTTATCCATAATTCCACCACGTGAAACTTGCCCATCCTGTTCACACTGCAAACATGAAATCAAGTCCAATTTAGGCTATTACAAAAGTACTGATCTCATACTCAGGACAGCTCACAATCCTTCAGTTACAGTGCTCATAAATTCGTTTTCCTTATAGAATAAATAATGGCAATAATGAAACATCAATACACAAAAATATAAATTGTTAAAGAGTTGAGGTTTTCACGGCGGTGCTGTCTTCTACAGCCACCTGCTCACGCTTGTTCCAAGTTCGCGAATTTTTCTACCCTGATGATTGAGGCGATACGTTTCTCCGAAACGTCGGTTCATACAAGAGCCACATGGTGCCACATCGCGGAAGATGGCATTCTTTAAACATATGAACTAAGGCAATTCAACGGCTCTGGCTTAGCCTTGCTCTAATATCCTAAAGGCACTTTCAAACAGGCGAATTAAACTAAATTGGAGGTTGGATTAATTGGTAAAATTATTTAAGAAGCATATGGTAACTAGACACAAACAGTTGGATAATAGTATTTATAAATGCACATTACGTTCATTTGGTGAATGGGCTTACTTCTGGTGGTGATAAATCTCTTTTTCCAGAATGTAATTCTATACAAACATGATGCGCTCATTGTTTTTAGATGTTTACCGTACGTGCCACCTAGCTGACAGCTGAGACCAAATAAGTAAACCGCCCACGTCACTTCTCGGTTTCCTGACTCCTACTTGCAGTTCATCACGAAAAGCAACAAGATACCTCAACATCTACGTACAAGCGTGTAAGCAGTTACAGATTATCTATTAGTTACCCATATTCGTCCACCTGCACAGAAAAAAAGGGTGCAATAACTCAATTTATGTACAGACATCTAGCCAAGTCAGTTCGAAAATGACACATTAAAGCAGACCTATATGGTTATCACCAAATCTAGAATCCAGAAAAATAAATTAACTTAATGTTATACCTTTCGAATGGAGATTTTGTTTGCTTCCAATAAATTACCTAAGCCACGGACTTCAGACACTGCCATTTAGATATCACACTCATACTTCATGCCTTAACTTTACGGGATTTAAGATGCAGAATGAATTGGCTGTTCAAAGTGACGTGTTTACCCCCTTCTCCCGATTTATTAAAGAATTGTATATAAGAACACCCAAATAAAAATATAAAATACATTTTTATAAGAAAAATATACTGAAACTCATATTATATCTGTATTACTGTTTTAATTTACATTTTTTAGAGATTGTATAAAGCGGTATGAAGTGACGGAAGTGACACTTATCTAGATTCGTGCAGTTCCAGCCTAGCTTTGCTAGTTGGTAGCGATTGTAACTGTAAGGTCTGATCGGACCTGGTAGGATTGCTTGATGTCCTTTTATTTCCTTTATTTTCCATATATCCATACAGCCAAAAATCCTAGAATGTGGAAATAGTCCTTTGATTTTAGCAAACGTGATAGTGTGACAGATTTGTATGAAGTAAAGTTGATCGTGTGTGCCTATTCTAGGCATTCTAAGCCACTTTAGACAGCTGATCTTACAAAGAACCGAAATATTAAATTTGGTTGCATGTGAAAAACTCCTGTATGCTGATAAAATTTATGGTTTAAGGATCCAATCCGTTTTCAGAAAAGCTTTAACAGCAATTCTTCAACTACAATGATTCTGCATGTATTGCATAAGCAAATTTAACACATGAATGGGAAAGCACACTTTCGACTCTACACTAAACCCTCCTGTTTACCCGAATTCCATTTTCAAGTAATGAATGTAATTTAAGAGGTGCAAATGTGCAAATATTTCTGTTTTCTGTTAATGGTTTTTGATACCAGTTGGCCAAAGAATACAAATATTTACTTTTTGGCCATATCCGTTTATTTATTTAGAACAGTGCAGCCTCTAGAACGTTTTAAATACCTGAGGATGGATGCCGAAAGGGTCAATAACTAAGTTCCCGGAGCTTTGCTCTTATTAAGAAGCCGCCAGTTTTGCAGCTTTTCAAGAACTTCCCAACATTTTATGGAACCTGAAGATTCATTAAAGTGTCCTCGAGTGCCTTCCATTGGTTTTTATCCTCAGTCAGATCAATCCAGTCCATACCAACCCAACCTAGCTCACCAATATCTATTTTAATATCAATCCACAATGTCTTGGTCTTAGTAGTGGTTTCATTCATTCTGGCTTTCCCACCAATATTCTACATGCATTCCTCTTCACCCCATTCATGCTACATCCCATGCTCATTGCATCCTTCTTGACTTGTTCATGTTAATTGGTCATGGTGAAGAAGTTGTGAAGATCTGTATTATGCAGTTTTTTCAACCTCCTGTCACTTCATCTCTCTTTGGTCAAAACTTTCTCCTCAGCACCCTGTTCTCAGATACTGTATTCTTCCCATAATGTCAGAGACCAAGTTTATGGTTAATAACTGTAGCACAAGCTAATGAGGCATGGTTCATGCTAAATATAAATTATGAGATGGTAAATGTCATCACCTGCCTCAAAGCATCAGACTTCATGCAGCTAATATTAAGTCACCAGGTAGTAAACGTAAGCAGTAACAATAATAGTGAGATGACAAGGTAAAGGTGAGGTTGTCTCTGTGCATAATTATTTGAGCAGCATGCCCTGAAGATGAATTTGGGAATATAGTTTCATACATTCTTAACCTTGGCACTAGATGGTGGTGAGTGGTAAGTTTCACACCTCAGCCACTTTAACCCTAGTACCCAGTACTAGAACTACTTTCTCTAGGTTTACAGACCTTCTGGGTTAACAACTTATTGCCCATTCAGGATTGCATGGCCAAGGAATGGCTTTGTAACATGTCACATTCTTTGCACAAAGAGTGATTTGCAACACCTGCCCATGTAAAAACAGAAACTTCAATAAAAGTTCTTTTCACTGGTGCTGTGCAATTTAAAGCATGAATATTGATATTACTGTACCTACCTACCACTCAGTGCTACAGCCCTGGGTGAGCCTTGGCCTCCTCTACAACCAGTCTCCACAACCAATGCTGCCATAGGAATGGATCCATGCATGATGACCCAAGGCTGGTTGTTAGGTTTCTGAACAAAATTCTTTTTACAGGATGAGGTTGTTAGCCTCATGCCCAACCCCCAACCTGGAGGGCCAGGGTATCTCTCTTAGTTAGTTAGTTAGTTATTAGAGAGGGTGGGTTTCCCCATGCACTTAGACCTGTAGTGGTCCATTGTGCTTCCCTCTATCATTCCTACCAGCCTCTATATCCTACTGGTATTGGTGCTTACCATCAGTCCAGCCCAGCCAGTGAGACCGCCTCTACTGGCTCAGAAGTATCTCTAATGCTTCCCCCATCTACCGGAGGTATTAGTGACTGCTGTTGGGCGGAAAACGTCCGCAATTTTGCTCAGTGACCTCTTTTGGAGGTATGAGGTTCTTTTACGTGCTGTAAAGCTACGACACGGGACCCACGGCTCAAAGTCCCTCCCAGAGGACTTGTTCCCTGAATTTTTCCGCCCTTAAAAATTCGACGACCTCCGCCGGGTATTTGAACCCGCGTACTACGAGTCATGAGGTGGGAACGTTACCTCTAGACTATGGAGGCCGCTAGGGTATCTCTCTTAGTCTGGACTCTACCCTTTGACCTTTCCAGCATGGGTGATCTTACTGGTAGTTAAACTACCACTGGCATAGCTCTCCAGGCCAGAGAGTCATGCAAGCCCCACCACCACGACAAGGTGGAGACACCAATGGGGGGCCATGTTACTATCCTGAACTGAAACCACTTAGAAATTGTATTGGCTAGCCCATACATGCCATATTTTCTTTCCATACTGTTGTATATATTGTCATGTGGCTGGGGTTCTGTGACTAATAATAATGGATTCTGGATTTGATAATTGGATTTATTGATGCCTTCTTTTACAATCACAACAGCTCCCAATCAATCTACTGCCAAGGAGTCACCCCATTCTCATTCCCCTACAACTTCTTAACTGCCTCAGCATTCTCTATAACTTCAGGAAAGACTGAATAGAAACCACAACCTCCAACGGTTCCTCTATTATTGTGCGTTTATTCATTGCTATAGAAATCTGTTTAGCGACCTGTTACCCGACAACAGATGGCCTTCTATTATTGAGAGCAAAACTTTGGGAATGTGCTTACTGAACCGTTGCCTACCGACGGTCATATGCATTACAATATATACACATACATCATCTGTGGGCAGCATTTTCTTATGAGTTTGCAAAGGTCTTATGGTTGACTGTATAATTTAGGAATGACATGATACCTTATTTTCATTCTGTTTTTCACACTTACCATACAACATGGCACAAGAACTGAAACCCTGTTTCAGCAGGCTGAAACTCAGGTGGCATTCCCCAGTAATTCATGGGCTTGCTTACACTTTTTATTGGTCCATACCTTGATGCCACATGAGAACACAAACACTGTGCCACACATACAATAGAAATGTAATAATCTATGAAATACTGATGCCACACCTAAGAGTACTTTGCTTAACCAAATTGTTACTTGCTGGTGTTCACATATCAGTACAGGAAACCTCTGAAATATCCCATGTAGAATTTCAGTTATCCAGCTGTTATTGTTGGGAAGTCAATTTGTAGGAGAAGGAGCAGCCTTGTGTTCTCCCTTTCATGTGGGGTCTCTTTTTGCCCTCTGTTGATAAAAATCACTGAATGTTACCTGAAGATAATTACAGGTGCAACAGCATTCCACTAGATGCCCTGAGCTTGATTCTAGAGGGTCTGAAAGAAGGGGGGGGGGAATAAAATATGCGTGGATAGAATTATTTTATAAAGACAGGTTTTGAGTAACAGTGGCAGTTATTAATATTATAAACTTCAACTGACATAATCTGTCCCCACACACTGATGAATATATCTGTAAGAAATACATTGCATGAAGTGTATTTGATTTTACTTTTTGATATTTTACAACTCTCTTAAAGCAGAATTATGCAAGATAGAATTAATAGATGTCACAAGGTTCTTGAAACTTCAACATTATTTTCAAACTGAGTCAAAATATTAACGAGTGACCACAGATATATATATATATATATATATATATATATATATGGAATGTGTTATGGCCGAACAAGCACTGGAATAGTTTCCCTGACATTTATTTTCCCCTGTCAAATCATAATTTCACCCACATTCCATACTCATCCACACCACTCTTGAAATGTGTGGCAGGCCTGACTAGCCAGAATGTTCATCATCATCTCAGTCCTTAGACGGGACGTTACTTCTGACCTGACATACAGGAAGCTTCTTTTATGAATTATCAGATAACTGAAATTGTTTATGCGGTCTATACAGTATTACTAAGCCAAAAATTATAATTACTGAAAGGACAAGAGCTTGTTGAGTAAAGATTTTAAACCTTCATGTCTTAAATATGGAACTTGTAAAAAGGCTACAACACAAGTCAATTTTGAGCATAAATTACATAAATACATTGCACAATAAGGAACTTCAAACTAATTATGTTACTGCTTAGGTGTCATCCCATTCTTTTGTTTTGTGTAGTTATGTCAGTGGACTCTGCTAATACATAACATAAAAAGTAGACTACTATAAGAAATCAAACATTTCATTACAGTATAAGTCCTGAAAGACAAAAAGGAAGATGAATATATGAGGAGGAAAGAATGAAACCCGAATACACGTATGCAATTGTATCGGTGATGTGAAAGAAAAAGTCATCTAATACTATAGCTGTAGATTACTCCACAAATATAAATGCTCGCTTTCCTTCACTGAAGCTAATGTTAGAGAAGGGAAATTAAAAGTTTACCTAACTGATAAAAGTTAGAGAAGAAAGAACATTTTATTTTAACTGTCCCTTACCACACTCTTTAACTGCTCCAATCAGTTGAAGATTCTTTTATTAAGCATAGGGGAGTTTCTGAGATATGACAGTAAGAGATACGGACACCATAAATGCAATAAGCAGTGCTGATGAAATGGATGACAAGAGTCTCTTCCGATCCAGAGCCCATGCAGCTGTCAAATAAACATAAAATACCAATCTCTATTCACACATGCTAACAACTGTTCTGGTAATGACAAGATTTGATAAAATTTGCATCACCAATACACCCCCTGAAAGAAAGAAAGATTAGTTTAACCCTTTTTATGCCATGAGTTGATCAGATGGCTTGGGGTACTTATGCTAAAGCCACCACAGCTGAAGAGATCAGATTGTTGTTAATCAATTAAAAGAAATTAAATTTGCTTAGTGGGGGGTGGAATCCAACTGGGTCCACTAGGCACGGAGGCCACTGGTTGGCCTATTGTAGCCTGCCCTGAGTGATTATGATGGACTGAAGTATTCGGAGAAAACCTAACCCAGCGTCACTTTGTCCACCACAAATCCCACTTGACCAGACCCGGGATTGAACCCAGGCCGCCGTGGTGGGAAGCCAGCGACTAACCGCTTGAGCTATGGAGTGGCCTTGTTAATCGAATACTACAGCATTTCTCAATAGAGAGTATCAAGTGTAACATACTGATGTTCGGTGGACAGTAGAGGCTTTCACATGATCTATATCTATGGTTGTCTGATGGTTGTTTTGGGAAGTATTGTGGGTTTTTCTGTATAACTGCATTTACCCCTGAGTAGTTCTGTCACTCCTAGCAGGTAGTCATGGGGTAAATAAATAGATGCAGACTTTTTTAATAACATACGTTACAATTCTTAATTACTGTGAATGGAATGCATATGTTACATACAGGGGCCTAGTTACAAATTTTGATTTGCTATATTTGTATTAAAGGTAAAAGGTAAAGCCATTTCTGTAACAGGCTGTGAAGGCCCATAGGGTTGTGAGACATTGAGGTTCCCACATTTTCTTTAGACAGTCAGCTCACAGATGGTGGTAAGGTTGTCAGCCTTACGCGCTGGCCGCTCTATACCCCCCAGGAAGATTCCTGACACTCATTTCTGTCAGAGGCTGAGTTGACCCCAGAGCCATAGTGTGGCTGGAAGGATTAGGTAAACTGAAAAAATCCACCTCATCAGGACTCCAACCCACAGCCTTCTGGCTTGTAGCATAGTGCCTCAATCAAGTATGCTACCGCGTGCGCAATATTTGTATTACACTAACTTACAGCTATTATTTCTTCAAATGGTATGTGTACCTCAAGATTAACTATCCTGCACTCTCCATTTAAACAAATTAAATGGGAGGTCACTAAAATACATTTTAAATGAAGGTAACAGAAATTTCACACAAACATTAATCTAAAATAATCAAAGGACACAAACTGTATACTCTGTGTTATTTTAATATAATAGGGTAGGATCACAGGCTTACCTACTTAAATTAATATGCCATTAGAACCTAGTATTTTCTGGATTATATTGTGAGTATTATTGAATGGATTAAATTATCATATTTAAATAAAGATACTTTTTATTTGAGTAAATGCCAACTGCATTTGGCATTAACAAAACCCAGGAAAACTAACTTTACAGCACAAACGAGACAGTCTTTCCTTTGCCAGATTAAAATGGATCTGTAACCTCCACACAGTATAGAAAGAGACAAAAATATACATATGGTAACTGAGCAATACTTTCACAATTATGATATTACAGTACAAAGAACTAAAGGACAATACTAAATTAAAATATTCAGGAAGTAAAATAATTTCCTTAATTATGTTACATTATTATACTGCATATATGTAGCCTCAGTCGAAATATAGAAGTGTTGAAACGTATGTGAACTGTCAAGATTTCATATAACAAATTTCAACAAGAACTTTTCATATCAATATATAAGTACAAGAGCTCAGTCTGTTCTTAATGGACAGCATAAGTAGCAAAATGTTCGGAAATTACAACAGTGGACCTGCTGGTAACTCCTTATATTTTCATAACTTCCAATCACAAATATTTTGAACCTGATATAGCAAATATAAACAAGTCCCACTTTCATAATTATGTACAAGGACAGATATTCCAGCACTGCAGTCATTCCACTTTCACACAAGAACTTACTCATACTATATCAGGTTTGTAAAATAACTGTATATCACATACATGATAGCGTATCCTCACAATATCAGGGAACTTGTGAGAGAAATGTCTCCAGTCAAAAACAGGGGATGAAATATATGACTCTCAATGATATATAATACAGAGCATTTAACAGCTTTAACTTGAATCATCATTGATGTGTCACGTAATGCTGTGTAAGTTTTGGACACATACTGTTTTGCTCTGTGTTATGCCAGAATGTTCCGTTATGTTTATTCAGGGGTATGATATTACCTGATGGTGTAGAGGGAGGTTGCCTCTCACTATATTTTTAATACCAGCTATCTAAGATTCATGAATTAAACCTTGTTAGGTTATGTAATACTTAATATGTTTCTTCTTTTCTGCCATTATGAATTTCCTCTACACTCTAAGTATCACAAAAAAATTATTATTTATGAAATGGCACTTAAGCAGTAGATTCTGACAGCGCTTAAGTATGAGACTAAGAACAGGTGTTGCTTTGACCATAAACTGTGAGTGGAAGCTTCTGTCCTTCCAGACCCATAGTCCTGATTATATCATAGGACCTAAGCTGGTATACAGAACTATGCGGTATTAAACAGTGTGCTGAACAAAGTATATGGCATCTGCTACCACACAGAGTGGACTCAGGATAGCTCAGTCAGTATAGCGATAGGCTATGGGCTTGACAGCCCAGGTTTGAATCCTAGCAGTGCAAGATTTTTCTCTTTTCCACTGCATTCAGACCGACTTTGGGACCCACCCAGCTTCCTTTCTGATGGGTATTGGGGACTTTCCCCAGGGGTAAAATAGTAGGGGCATGAAGCTGACCACTCACCTCCATCTAGTGCCGAGGTCAAGAAAGGCTGAGCTATATAGCCATTCCCCCATATGTCTTCCACATAGTGCTTATTACCTTTACCATACAGAGTATTGTAAACAAATGTGTTGTCATTTCAACAATTATTTACAATGAATGGACTTCCATATTAGAAATAACATTTTGTTATTTTGTCTTTTACCTACTTTAAATTTAGAAAAAGAAATATTAGATTTGTATACTTATTTATATATTTATAAACACATATGCTTTTAAAACGGTACTTTACAGTTAGGGCATAATCCTTAAGTTGGTGCAGATGTAATGAAGAATCATTCTCAACACTACTGGCATAGACAAAGAGACAAATTTTAAACAAACTGCATTATAAGATATTATTCATTTAAAATGCAATGTAAATTGTACATATACATACAGCGATATGAAAATATTAAGATTTTCTATTATCTGTACACCAGCTACAAACTTTCATCATAAATACTATTTTCTTCAAAATTTAACTCATTTTACAAGAAAATACACAATATCTTACAATTACAACACCATCAATTACGCCTTCTTATAGCAGATTTAGAGCACTATTATACTTTAAAGCATACCAGCTTTAACATTAAAAATCTCTTATTTTTACTCTCAGTGTATTGATGTTTTGCTTACTTTTCACGATAAATGGAAATTATTTCGTTTTCATAATGGAGACAGTGAATTTACTGCAAGGTAGGACATTTACTTAGATGAAATTTGTGCTTCAAAGAGTTAAAACATTACGCCAATCCATGAAAAAGCTGTAGAACGTAAGGTTATCTTATTTGGAATCCTGTCAGTGCTCATCCTGTTAACATGTTCCTTCCAAATTCTTCTGTGCTGTTCTATAAATTCTTATATTTGTGGAATCTGTAGTTCCTCTTAATTTCTTCATTCAATCCATCATTCATCATAAAATGCATTTCCACCGATATCAGTCTTCTCTTGTTTGTTTTTACTGTCCATGGCTCAATACCATAAGATAATGGTCTAGAAAGTGGCTTATAAATTCATATTCTTGTAGGCCCAGAAATTAATGATGTTTAAATATCTGATCTGCAATTAATAATATTTTGACAAAACTTACAATTTTACATTTAAGCCCTTTTCTCCTTCATAGGATACATTATGCTACACATAGCTTGAATGACAGAATAGTTGAGCCACAGATGTCCAGTGCTAGGCAAAGTCTCAGTAAACATGTTCCCACAGCAACAAATATGCACACAACAATAGAGAAGCTGCTGGAAACAGTGTTTTCTATGTAATCCATGCTGAAGTTATATAAAGAGGAACTGCCAAGAGTTGTGTCATGAGAAAAATATGGTTCATGGGTCCTGTGGGGCCAAAAACCAAGAATAACTGTGCTGGCAAAGCCAGCGGCAATTTACCCCAAAACAAAACAGGGCTAGGCCAAAAAGATGGTTATAGGTCCCACAGGGCCTGAAACCAAAAATGACTGTGCTGGTGAAGGCCAGGAGCAAATTACAAGACCAGACCAGGACCACAGTCAGTCAGTGATTAACGCAAAGTTTTGACTTTACAAGTTCTTTCTACTTTATGCCAAATAATGCATTATTCAGGTCTGTATGCACTTTTCCATTTGAAAACAATTTATTACTTTACATATTAACATAAAATTTCTGTCTGAGTGATGATACAGGGAATTTCAGTATCAATAAAATGATGACTACCCTTCCAGCCTCACTATGGCTCTTGGGTTGACTCAGACTTTAAGAAAAATGAGTACCAGGAATCTCCTGGGGATAAAGGGTGGCCGGCGTACAAGGCTCACGACCTCACCACCATCTGCAAGCTGACTGTCTATGCCTGTATGTTCCTGTCTTTCATAGACACACCCAATTTTCTCACTATTACAGACTAAAAATAATATTGAAAAATGGATTGGCAATAATGTTTTGTCTGCTGTTCCCTTGACAGTACATATACTCTCCATGAAAAGATCTCAAGGATCCCGTAACAGTCACCCTATTCTACCACTCAGTGGGGCATCCATTAAATCATGCAAACCAAGCAAAATATTTTTCAGATGATGACTCTCACATTTCAATTTCTATTTAAGTCGAACAGGATTCAAGTAGGTGAAAATCACATACCATTGTAAACTGCTTACTCTTACATTAACATGGTAATATGGCTTCGCTGCATGTACTGAAGACCTACATTAGAGACTTTTATATTTTATTTTATGACTGTTGACTGTATCTTATGTTGCAAAGTAAAAATGAAAAGTCCTAAGACATAAAAATCGCTTTGTCTGGTTAAGCTTCCAAAATTGTGATTTAATGTGAAATGCAGTCAACTTTGAACAAAAATTACGACTAAAAACAGGAGAAGACTCTTTATCAAAAGAGTTATTATTATTATTATTAGCATTATATTCACTTATTTGACAAGTAATGTAGCCAAGGATGAATTCAGCACATGTGTTGAAACTGTGCTCATCTACTAATGGCTCTTTAGCTGCTATTCCCTGATATAGCTGTATAAAAGAGGATGTATGCAGCACCAGAACGAATATCATTATTAGAGATTTCACTTACTTCATGGTCATCAAACTTATACCATTTGTTGTAAAGTTCATTTTTGCAATATGCAGTGTAATGACCGCCTTCCATGGAGCCATAATGATTTGATACACCATATAATTTATAACTGACATACCGCTGGTCTGGCACCAATGAGAAATGACGCATATCCAGATTAAACGGAAAATCCACATATGTCTGTCGCTTGCGCCACCAGCCATCATGATAAAACCTATGACAAAATATGATGTTTATAATTCTAGAGGTTTATAATAGTGGTATATTACACTTAGTATCACTAGGTCTCTGGACTTTGTCCATCATATAGTACTCTGAACAAATTACAATGTTTCAGGTATTGACAATCTTGGATACAATCATCAGATTGAATAATATCCCCAGTGATTCACTCATTCAGTTCTTAGTAAACCCATGGGATGAAGTTGTCTGGAAAATTAGAAAATGCCCGTTGTTTTTGTGTTTGTCTGCTGAGTAAATGGCATATCTGTGAATTTCAAATGTGTCAGGAAGCACCATAATATTTGGCCAATCTTCAGAACAAAATACAATCTTAGGAACTTATGAGAACCACACAAGAAGAAATTTTTAATAGACTTCATATTGCATCTACAGCATCCCTTGTGAATGTGGCAGAAGCTGTGTTAGTGAAACAGGCCTCCAGTTTGGAGAATGTAGGTACAGTCTCAAAGAGGGTCTTCCATAATAATCTAAACTGCCTGAACCTGCTTATAAAGGTCAACAGATTGGAATGAAGCAAGGATTTTGCAGATTGAAACTAACAGTAAGTATAAGAAATCTGTGGAATTGGCCCACATGGCATGTCTGACAAATCTGACCAGCGAAACTAGTTCAAAAATTTCTTCATATGAAATTCTCCTATCAGCAAGGAGGTTAGCAAGTTACTAAGATGTCTGGTAGGACTTGGCCTGTTCTTTATGCTTATTTCTCTAATTTTTGTCAATGGTTCCCATTTTCTTCCACAGAGGATGCTAGTGGTAGGCAGGTATTGTATAATAATGTGAATTTGAGTTCCATCCACATCCGTGTTTCTGGATTTACTTTCAAGGGTTCATCATTTTTTACTTCCATTTCTCTCTCAGCTTTAGATCTTCATGGAATTTCCACAATTTTTATTGTAAATTTCTATCATCTATTGACAAAACCTGATCTTGCTCACAATTTCATATTACATGACTTCCATTGTCCAGTCATTGGGATTATTTCCTTTTAATGGATCTGAGTAGGTAACATCCTATTGTTTTTTCTGAGGACTTGGAACTGATCCAGTTTCTCAGATGTTGTGTTCTGTTTGGAATATAATGGATGAGTCTAAAAACCCAGCAATATTAAATCAGACTTACAGTGCAACAAGTTAATCTAAATGCATGACATAGTAATTTGAAGCCTGGGAAGCCATAAATTACACATAACACGAACTTCACGCAGCTCTTTTGTGTTCTTCCATACTGAGAAAGTTAGTGTGCTTGTGTTTTATGGCCAGATTTGTCAATTAGTTCATTACTGTATAATAAACCATCTCTGATGGGTACTGTAAAGCACATAATCATTTCTGTTAATATGCTCTAATCATCTTAATGCAGGATAGTGTCGTTCTTTATACTGGGAAATTCTGAGAAGTCTGTACATCATTTTCTTTGTGGATGACTATCGTGAATGCATGCAAATTCCAACAGATTTCATTTTTATTCCTTAGCATAACTGCTTCTACTGAAGAAGCATGATGTTGAGATAATAGTGAACAGTGTATGAGGAGAAATTTGACTATATATGGTAAAATGCCTACTTTAATCATTCAACAGCTGACCTGGAACACCCAATGCAACTCCCAAGAGAGAGTGAGGGAAAACAGAAAATAAATCATCCAGCAATGCTAATTTCCTGGCCAATCTCCTGAACACATGCCAAGCACATCAGTGCTGGCCTAAACCTGTTCTGTATGGATACTGAGGTAACCCTGCACTCAACGATTGTATCAAAGGAGCCACAGAGAATAAACAAACTGAATGCTCGAGAATTTCTGTCTACTCTGGCATCCACATACTGTACACTCTATAAATGCTAAATGTATTGGTTTAATTAAAAAAAGTAAGAATTTCACAGAACAAAACAGTGAAACATGGAATTGATCCTTCTGATGGGACCATTTAAAATGGATGTAAACTCAAGGAAAGGAAAATTTATTTATCTAATGAAATTAAAAACACTAAAGTGAGGATTTATTGCACTAAAAGTGTAACCTAATTCAACGTATTGCATTACAAATGTAATCCAGCTCACTTCTTCCACATATGCTTTAAAGCAAGCTGCTGCTACTTTGCTTTCTGCTGAAACTTGTACGCCTTGTTCTCAATACTACTGACATTAACCATAATGTTATCAACATCAAACTTCATGAGGTATTTCCTCACAGTGTGGATGCCCTTCAGTGCTGATTCAAATGTTGCTAAAGGTTCACTTTTTCCACCATCCTCCTCTTCCTCCCCCCACCTCCTCTGCAGACACATCAGATGTAAACTTTTCATCCATCATTTGCTCTAAGATCTGCGCCTCACACATACTCTTAAAATGATACACCTCCTTTTAGCTGACCTGTCATCTTTGGCTTTGCTAAGATCTGTTGCATCTTCACCATCATTGGTTTGATTTAAACTGAATCCAAGTTTCTGAAAGCAGTTTCACTACTGTTGTACATGTGACACAGCACCATGATCTCACAAGGAGATGTTCTGCATCCAAAAGATGCATCATGAAACAACTGTTGATTGATCATAAAAATAGTTTTGCTTATTAGTTGGGTGTGATAGTAGTGTTTGAATGACCTGATTATTTCCTGGTCATGTGGCTTGAGAATGTTGGTGCAGTTCTGGAGAACAAGCATAAATTTTGTATTATTTAACTAATTTTTGTCTCAGGGATGAGCAGCGCATTGGTTAATGAAAAGTAAAACCTTTCTGTTTTGGGAATAGCCAGTAAAGATAGCCTGTGTAACCCAAGCTTTTCTCTTGGCTACATATTCTTTGGGCAACCTTCTCACATTTTTAAAGCAACGAGGTTTTTCACTCATCCCACTAACTAATGTTGAGAGTTTGTCAGCTCCACTAGCATTGCAGGCTAACAGAACTTTTACTCTCTCCTTGAAAGTCTTTCCACTATTGCAAGGATCCCTTTTGAAGTGTCTTGTTAGGTGGAAGCCTGAAGAATAGCCCATTCTTATCAGCATTCTAAATGTTATGTTAGTAAACCTCAATAATTTTGAGTAAAGTTATCCTTTCTCCATTCTCCCACTGTTGAAGGTCTACACTTCTGAACTCTACTGATATAGTCTATGCACAACACTGTGTCACTGATTGAAACTGCTGATCCAGCCATTAGAAGCTTCAAAATCTTCAATGCCGAACCATTTGGCAATGTGCAGAGTGTTTTCTATCACCAGTTTGCACTGATTACAGCACTGCTGCCTTTAGCTTGTTTAAACCACGCACCCAATAAATTTTCCAGTTCTTGAAATGGATCTTGTTGCAGGCTCTTCCTTCGACCAGAGAACCTACCACATCATGTGTAACACTTTCCAGTGTCCTTCCTGGTTTCAACAAAAGCAGTCAATGTTGACAGTGTAATTCGTAATCTGGCAGCCAGTACAGCATGTTTCCTTCTTAGCATATGCTTGGGCTAGAATGTCCTTTCTTTTCTTTTCTTTTTTTTTTGAAAAGAGAATGCTTTCTTCTTCTTTCATTCACTCATTGTGATTAAAAATGAATCCTAAGCAGATGATAAAACAAAACTGTTTGCCAGTTCGATCCCAGTAGATTCAAAAAGCAACACTAACATAGTGATTTAATAAGTATGTGGAATTTGTGGTCACTTGTAACTCACATCACACATCAATTGTCACTACACAGGCTTGGCAATGGCAGGAACCATGACTCCCCTCTGCTGACATGACCTTGAAGACACAATAGTAAGCCTACACAATGACAATAGAGGATGCATAAAATTATAATTGAAAATATTATCTTTTTCTGATCTCAAATTGAAAGTATTTAAAATGACAGCAACAAGCCAATTCACACTCGATTTGAATGTATAACTGAGGAACTGAGTAGAAAGCAGAAACATATATTCCAGGAAGATTTAACATTGTTCTTATGGAAATTTTTGTGGAACCAATAAAAACGTTCACAGAATTAATGAAAATGTATTGTCACGTGATAGGTGACTAAACATGGGATTTGGATTGGTAACTGGATTCACTGGACTTCTGAAACTTGTAACTACAATTAATTATACCACTATTGCTAATACATACACTCTACGATTCACAGCAGCACACACTAAGTCTTCACAGTCTGCAGTGTGTTTGCCAGTTATTGCTTGGTAATAGCTCCCAATGCCGTAGATTCCTCAGCTTCCAGGTTCATGTCCTCATTGGCCACCAACTGTCTCATAGCTCCTCACTGCTGCCACTCTGGGCCATTGACTCCTAGCTGCATCTCACAACTGCAATCTATTAGTCGCTTCTGACTCAGAACTAATTCACTATTGGTTCCAGTTCCCGATATATAGCTTCAGGGTTAACCCCACAGAAAACCACTTCCAATAATTCTTCTATTATTGCATGTGCATATCTGTTGTGAAGGAGACGTGATTACTGAGCCACTTACTAGCAATGGCCGCCTCTTCTGGCTCCACAAATCTGGTTTTGAACTCTCATGTTGTGGCACAATTCTGGCTTTGAATTCTCATGTCACGGTATATTCAAGGAATATAAAAATTTAGGTTTCACTGTTGCAATTATTGATGGACTGTGTTATACATAGATGTTGAAGAGAACACTTACCTGTTCAAGTGTATGACAAGAATGGGGGGTAGTCTCCAAATATCAAACTTCTTGATGGCATCACGCTTCTCCTTACAGCATGGACAGTTCCACCCAGAAATTTTCTCACCATTCAGGTACAACTTCATACACTCCTGCCATACAACACAATTCACAACATATTATTTAATGATGTAACACCTTTAATTTACTTTGGATGGATGACCCTGCGACATTTTGTTTATGGTTTATTTAATCACAATGTCAGTAGTTCAGACTATACATATACATTGTCAAGTGATAAAAAAAATGATTACCGAATAATGAACTGGCAGGACGCAGAACAAAGTGGCTGTAGCCTAATTTTAGGCCCTATTCCAGAATTTGTTTCATTGAGATTGGGGGGAAAGCCACAAAAAACACCAGCCAAAATAGTTGGCCTTTGAACTGAGATCTCAACCTGGGGTCTCATAAACAATGTGATGTTCAGTACCTTATAATGTTAATGAGTGTTATGAAGTGGGAATGGTGCAATGCTTTGCAACATACAGTTACTTATGATCAGTTAAGAATAATGGATAGCAGTACTATTGCAGAGCAGAGGTGATATTTGAACTACTAGCAACAGAACAGCTTAAGAGTCTAAAAAAGGCTATATTCTCATATAGGGTTAGGAAGTTTCAGAGGCACAGTGTACTGCTAGGTGGATTCAATGTATACACTGAGAATTGATGTACCCTGAAGTTCGATCCAGATGCTGGTGACTGCAATCAACTCTCTAAAGAGTTACTTTTGTACTATCAAGAGTGTGTTAAATTTTTCCTGAACACACATAAAATGTGTGATGGAATTATGGGTAGTTTGATGCAGTTAAGGGTCTAAATTAGAAGGTAGGCAGAAACAAGTTACAATTACAGATACTGAAATAGCATTAGATGGATAGGGTGGCTACTTTCACTACCAGTTTTTCCTTATCTAATTCTTAGGAGGGTTGGAAAGGCCAAGCATGTTAGTTGTTTTCAGATGGAAGCTATCTGGGGAGGTGTATCACAGGAGTAGGTTTGTATGGTATGGTGACAGCACTGCTGTTAGGAGTGGTATTTATCCTTTGGAGCAGAAAAGGTTATTCTGTGCTACCCTGAAGATCATAAATCCAACCACCTTCAAAGAAGATGGCTGTGGGTGTGGGACTAGAGTGAATTTAGGCCACAATAACAGAGCAGACGAGACACTGCTGTTAAACGCACTTTTGATGATCTCATCGTTTCATAATAATAAGAGAATAATTTAGCAAACGGACTAATGGCATGGAAATTCCTTGTCCTTGGGTTTCCACAACCCATGTCTAATGTGTAACTTCAGCTTTTGGGAGTTTAACTATGTCACATGATGAAATTCAATGTTTTGGCATATATTACATTTGCTGTCTTTTGGGTGAATAAGGCAAGAGGATAAAGTGGATGGATATACAGATCTTGTAGTGGGATTAATGATGGGGGGTGTAGAGTGTGGTGCTATCCAATTAGAAGGGAGCATGTGATTAAGGGCAAGAGTCGGAGGAAAAGAGACATAATCAGACTATTCTTAACCATTTTAGTCTTTAACAATGGTTAGTTATTGATAATAATTCTGTTCTTGGGTTCTTATACTGTGTGGCTGTGATGGAAGTTGCCGCTGTTTCAGAGAGATACATAATCAGACTCTGATGTGCCCCTGATGTGTCAGCAACATTGCCCACAGCCATGTGGCATAACAATCCAAGAACAGATTTAACAGAGACTTTTCTCAGTTTGTATTTATCTATATAGTGAGAGCTGAGGGGAGGGGATAAACACCCCCACAACTTCAACTGTGAAGGCAGATACAAACTTTTTTTTTTCCAACCCTTATTCTTAACTACATGGCTCCTTCTAACTGGACAACACCACTCTTGACACAACCACCCTTACAGGTAACGCAAGATCTTTATATCTGTCCACATTCTTCTTCAGCTTTATTCACCATGATGATGGTGGCCGCAATATCAAAGCTCGGTAATGTGATCTGGATACACACAAACATACATACCAAACCCACAAACTAATATATGCAGACAGAAATAGCAACACCTGATAGGGTTATCATAATGGCATTACATGGTATGTACTGATAAATATTTAGCAAGTTAGGTGTCAATTATGCTTGAGATGAATGCAGAAACACATGTGGGTCTTCATGCCAAGTGTCCATAAATGTCGAATTTCGACCAAAGCTGAGATGTGTTACTAAATTTTAGTAGATCTCCTCAATATCACAGTTCATGGACATCTCTCTCCCATCTCTTGAGTTCTTGCATGCAGAGATGGTTCAATGGACAAACATAACAAAGCTAATAAGTGCATTTTCGAGGCTCTTCATGGCAAACATACAAAAAATGAAGAGAGAAATATGTAACATATAAAAATAAAAAATAAGAATAACAAATAAATAAGATAAACAAACATTGCCATACTCACACTACTATATAAATCTTAGTTGTGTGTAGTAATATCAGTATTAGGAGTTTGAAGTCAGACTTAAAGATTTTTCGGATATCAGGAATATCTGTTATATTGACCATTTCTAAGAATTTCATCAATTCTCTTTATATAAAGGCTGCACTGTACCAGAATTTAATAATTCACTTTTTTATTGTAATTATTTCTATAATTTCATAGTTATTTATACTGCACCATTAAAGCTAAGATTACCAATATATCTTAATGTAATGGGATCACTGTTCAAAAACTCACAACAAGAGAACACTTGTTGCTGGAGCTGGGGAGAGGCAATGACAGATCTGAGAATGCTTCAAATGTGACTGATTCTTCACTACACTTGCAGCAACGAACTGTGGATTTTTGCTGGCCATAAAATAAACTTCGAATTAGTGACTCATTACATCTCCGGAACTTCTCCCAAGCTTGATCTGCTGGCGACAAGTTGTCATTACTTGTTTCTTTTAATGGAGACTTTCTACTCCTCTGAAAAGAGAGAGAAAATGTGTATTTTAAACATTTAGCAGGTGTCATAAGGAACAAAACTCACAACTCATTTAATGGAAAAATGAAAACATGAAATCAAAGATAACAATCTCCTGAATAGAATAAATAATGCAAATTTCATGCTATATGAAGTTTATGAGCACAAAAATTTCCTCAGATTAGTACTTTTCATAGACAAAAATTCATTCCATATTGTGACATGACAGCTCAAAGCCAGAATAGTGTAACAAGACAAGGCCTCCACTGCTAGGCAATGGCGTGGTAAACATGCTTCAGCATTTTAAATTTAAATTTTAACTTTTAGAACAATTTTAACTTGTGTTTTATAAGAGAGCTTGATATATTATTGAGCATGAGCCTGAATAAGATACAGGATCGAATAAGTGAGAAGACGAATGTGATTGCATGTAATTATACAGCTGTGTTCGTACACCTGAGGATGACCTCTTAAGGTCGAAACATGTAGTGTAATAATAATAAAAATATTACAAATTATAAATCACTCCGTCCAATGTGACCTGTAAGTTTTTTACTACGTAAAAACTTAACACCCTTACATGTTTCGGTCTCTGTGGACCATCTTCAGAGGGCAAACATCACTACAAATAGGAAACCACTATCACATAATTTGTTTACACGCAAAGTATGTACACTTATATGTTACAACACACAGTACACAGAATAGAACGTTTCACAAACACAGCAGTTTCCTGGGAATGTAAGTTTTAAAAATGTATAAGATTCCTTGATGCTAATTAAAAGTTTTTATTAAAAGTTTTTTAGATTGTCAATGATTAAAATTCGTAAACCATGCAGGCTCGTGTTCGTCCTCCCATCGTCTCTCTTATATGGGGCAGATATTGTGCCACCTGGCTATCTTGAAGTGGAGGTTCTTTATATCGTCCAGGGTTTGCTCGTGGCTGTGTTGTTTTCACTGTTTCTTATACATTTTTAAAACTTACATTCCCAGGAAACTGCTGTGTTTGTGAAACGTTCTATTCTGTGTACTGTGTGTTGTAACATATAAGTGTACATACTTTGCGTGTAAACAAATTATGTGATAGTGGTTTCCTATTTGTAGTGATGTTTGCCCTCTGAAGATGGTCCACAGAGACCGAAACATGTAAGGGTGTTAAGTTTTTACGTAGTAAAAAACTTACAGGTCATACTGGACGGAGTGATTTATAATTTGTAATTGTTATTGTGACGGACCAGAATGAAACAAATCAAAATAAAAATATGTTGTGTGGCCGGTAAAATTGACTCTAATGTTGATTAAATACACAACAGGATGCAAGAAACAATTAAAGTTAAAAAAAAATCTGGTCATGAGCCCCAGCTGAGGCTCGACACCAAGACAGACAGACAGACTAACTGACCATCAGTCGTAATGTGACTTGGACTTGGACAGCAGTTGTCCAGTGATTGATTTTTAAGGGACCCAACAGAGTAGGTGTCTTCCCTCACCTGACGATGGAAACAGATCCAGCTTCTGATATGTTGTGTTTCTTCTTAGTTATTTAGAATCCCGACGATGGACAAAGTCCGAAAACCCAGTATCTCTGAGGACATGTCTTGTCATAAATCCATGACAGACTGGGATGGGATATGGATCTGACACCCTGGTGCCTGTCTCATAACATCTGCCCTATTAACTGCAGCACCAATTAAGAAGTACTGCCTTGAATCTGCATGCATTACCTCAGGGAGGCATTTTTGGGGCATTAATCCATACTTTGCTGCTACATACTCCATGAACAAAATAAATCCTCTCTCTATATACCACATGTTGAAATAACCCTTAAACATACTGTGAACTAGGTGAACAGACATCTGGTGAGAGAATTCCAGACAACAGAAACATGTTCATGTTTCGAGACTGGGATAAAGCATCAACAGCAACAATAACAAAGAACAACAATGATGATTATTTGTGTTTGCCATAAGTGAACGTCTCAACCAATGAAATATACAAAATAGCAAAGAACATGAAGTAAACACTTTTTACCACTATATTTTTATCAAAACAGGCATAATAACCAGACATGTTATACAAGCCATGGGTACTTTATAGACTGTCATAAAACAAATCTTTTAAATATATTTCATTTTCTGTAACAATGCAGTTCCACAGTATAAGCATTCTTCAAGTATTCTGTGTGAATGAAGTAAAGGTGATTGCATGTAAATACAATCTCCTCCCTCACTTCACTTATATAATATTTTAAATTCATGTTTCACTTCAGTTTTTACCTTGTTAAGATCTTCATGAAGCCAATCCATTAGAATGGTAAGAAATTCATGTGAATCTTGTTGTTCACAGCCTTGGAACTGCTTCCTATGTTGACCCACCACATTCTTCAGATCTCGACATGCGATGGATCGGTACTGACCCGACCACAGTGCACTCACCACAGCTGCAACCTCCTCAGCAACTTCACCCCGTGTACTGTTATTGTCATAGTTCACATCCTCATGGTAGGCTCCCTTCCAGAAGTACAATGCTAATGGAGTGGTGTTGTTAATACATTGGATGATAGAGTTCATGTAACAGGAGTTGCCGAGATTTTTCAATCCAGTGATCCCTTTACCCTTCAAAATAAAACACATCATTAGAGAGGCGAGGTGCAAGCATATACCGTAAGATATTTTGCAAGCATCACTGAAAATTGTTGAACCGTCCATGTGTTAAGAGTCAGAAGGTACAGTCAAGTAGGGATAGTGGAAATTCAGACTGCTAGGGGAACTAATAAATGTACTGTCCACACACATTACAAATAGAACTTACTCATATTGCAGCAGATGCCAAAAATGCTCTCCAATGTTCTGAGCACACTCCTGGCACTTCTGTATGAACAGAATGAAGTTGTGTTGGAAGATCACATGCTATTTATCTTCATACATTTGTCACTCTAAAAATGGACAGAGTATGTGTTCCATGCACCTTTCAGAATTAACTGTGTCCTCAGTCAAAACCAGTCCAATTATTCTATCTGAACTGGTTATGGCACTAGACACATGTTAGAATTTTGTAAATTCACCTCACAGTGTAAATGGAATGAAACCTCACTGCCACAAAAAATCAAGTGAGAGTCAATATAAAGAACAGATATTACTACCAACATTAATGAGAACAGAAAGGTTAGATGACAGGAGGGAAATATAGCGAAGTACACAAGAGGGAGAAGGATAAAACTTGAGGGAGCTGCAGAAGGAATCAACACTTGGGACTTCCTTCCATGACATCAATATGGTCATGAAAGAAACATAAAATAAAGGCCGAGGATGAGGAAATTTAGAACCTGGACTTATGCTGACATATCACGGCAAAGAAAAAGACCAAGTGAACACATTTCAAGATGACAGTTCAGTAACCTCTAATGTTCATACAGAACATCTGTTCCATAATGAATATTTTAATTTCCAGATGTACATGTCTGTCCTGAGTGCTTAAAAATAATGCTGGGGTGGGGATCAGTATGCCATAAAATAGGCACACAATGCAGGACCATTAAATTGTGGCATGTAGACCCATTGATAGGCAACGACTGCAAAACAAACAATAAGACAATGGCAATTGCTAGGCAACAGGTTCATAAATATGCAACAGTACTGGAGCTGTTGTTAGGCAGCTGTCTGCGCTCAATGATGGAAGTACTTTTGGAAGTGGTAGTTTCTATGTGGTCCACTCTGAGGTTATATCACTCGACCAACCATGTGGGCTGCTGAGTGAGTGAGTGAGTTAGTTAAAAAACTGCTGTGGTTCTTCAGTCCTTGTGAGCTGTTGCTGTTAGAAGCTGATAGCTGAGGTAAGGGGAAAGTTCAGAGGAAGGGGAACATCCAACAGTGGAAGCCATTACCAGAAGACTGGTGAAGACACAACAGACTGAGAAGACTTAGTACATGCTGTAGTGAACTGCAGAATGTGTGTATTAGCAATAGTGCTATGGTTACTTGTGGTTACAATCTGTGAGTTTTTAATAAATCCAATTACCAATCCAAACCCCTTCTATACTCACTCATACACATGACAATATGCACATGACGCACCAGTATTAAAAAAATTTGTTTGTGTGGAAATCAATGCAGACTCAAGACTGGATACTGTAGCTGGTAAAATGTTATAAAATTTATTATCTCATGGATCTTAGACAGACAGGAAGGGATGGTATGGATTGGATTGATCTGGCTCAGGATATAGACCAGTGGAGGAATCTTGTGAACATGGTAATGAACCTTCACATTCCATAAAATTCTGGGAAATTCTTGAGTAGCTGCAGATTTGGTTTCTCCTCAAGGACTCAGCTCCATATTTTTTTTATTTATTGCTAGTGGGGTGGGAATAAGTCCCTTGCACTGCGGCCACTTCTGGTCTATTGTACCAGCCCCAGATGATAGGTGAGGGTGATTGTGGAGCAATTGGTGGAATGAAGATTGACAGGGGAAACCGAAGTACTCGGAGAAAACCCGCCCCAGCACCACTTTGTCCACCACAAATCCCACTTGACCAGACCTGGGATAAAACCTGGGCCGCCATGGGGGGAAGCCAGTGACGAACCACTTGAGCTATGGCGCGGCCATACTCAGCTCCATAAGTAAGTAAGGATGCTTAAAACTATGGTTGACATACTACTGTCTTTGATAAAACTAATATAAATAAAATCATCTTACCATGTTTCCCCATACAGGATTGAAATTTCTACGACGTGCTGCACTGACCTCGGAACGTTGTGGCTTCTGAAGAGGTTTTATAGTTCGATCATAGTGTGGGGTTTCATGTTTCACATTCAGATCAGGGTCATCCCGCATCTAAAACAATTAAGTTCTTTCTGGACTTTATCCACTGTCCTGGTTTTTAAGATAACAAATAAAAACACGACGTTTCGGAAACTGGATCTGTTTCCGTCCTCAGGTGAAGGAAAAGGGAAACACCTATTCTGTTGGGTCCGTTAGAAAGAGCTAGCCTCAATCATTGGACGATTGAGGCTAGCTCTTTCTGGATAAAGTCCAGAAACCAAATATATCAGTGTGTTATACACCATTGTCAGAATCCTATAGTAACTAATTAAGTTCTTATTTACATTTTAAATGCATCCATGTTTGAAATGGGCAGCATACCAGGTGATGCTTGAGCTTACTGTCAGCTAACAAGCTGACAGTAAGAAATTCAGGCAATTTGGTTTTTTCAGACAGTTTCTGTATATTCCATATAAAGAAATCATGCAAATAGTTCCACTTTTGACAGGAAATAGGTCCTGTGTTCATAATGGACAACTTACCATCGCCACATACACACTAGTTCTATCATTCCTGTTAGTGCTAGATGCTCCTCTCAAACTCTTTTTTTTTTTTGAATCATCAACAGCTGCTTCATTGTACTTTGTCCACAGGTTTCAATATCATAAAATTGTTTGTCTTTCAAGGATTTCTGTTTGTTTAGGGAAAAAAGAATAGTTACAGGGATCCACATTTGGTGAACACAAAAGCTATTTCACTTGTGGAATACTGTAATTAGTTCCAATAGCCATACAGGCTTGGATGAAGGAAAAGTGCTTTGCCATCTTCAATCTGCTACATGTCAGATTCCCTCATTTGTGGATATTTGCAACACAATACACAATGAAAACATCTCAGGCTTGTAAACATAAATTTTTTAAGAGTCTTGTCATTTGGAGCATATTCAAGCTGCACAAAACCCTTGTAACTGAAAAAGACAACCAATATTAATTTCGTTGTGATTTCTGTTCAGTTTTTAATCCATAACTAAAGACCTATCTTTTATTACATCAAATTATGATATTTAAAAAGTCTTCATTATGTCCTGCACACATAAGCAATTCTGAAGTAACATACAAGTGTTTCTTTTCTGCTCCTGTGTCAACAGTTATGGAGTTTGGTTCAAATTGCCTGTCATGATCCATGAGAAACTCTTATCTCTTCAGCCATTCCACAGTAAAGTTTTTGTAATTTTAAACTAAGTTATGTAACTGAGCCATCAATTCATCATTTCTTCTGATTGATGGATGTTCAGGGTACTCATCACTTTCAACATTCGCCTCACTTTAATATGACAGAACCAGTCAAAACTCAGGGTTGGCTCACTACTATATTTTCAAATGCTACCTGTGTCAGCTGATAAGTTTCAGTCACAACCTTTCAAATGCACATGTATCATTCTGCACTCTTGGACATTGTTCAACCAACGTATGATGATAACATTCTAATTTTAAATGGTGATCACAAATGATTGACATGATGGAATAATCTGTAAACATATATGAACATGCAGTAACATATTAGGAAATGCTTATGGCATAGGATACAGGGAACCGTGAATATGCAGGTTCAACAAATGGCAGTAAATATGTTGTAACAAACAGAAGTAAATTGAAACATTGAAACTTCAGCAGTACATCTATGAATGCATGCTCTACATTCAGTCTTGCACTACAGAATATCACTTCAAATTAGGAGCAAGGGAGTCAGACATCCTATATGAAGGTGAGACACAAACTATGTGAAAGAGATGGTTAGCTACACTGACTGTGGTTTGCTAGAATGATGTTAAGAAAATAAACAAGAAGAAGAGTGAAGTCTTACCTGCGCAATATTGTGGTATGAGTGAGAGCGCTGCATTATACTTGGGCTTGCTGGAATGTCGCGTCTTAACTGTGCATATGTACCTGAAAGGAAATGAATCATTTTCCAACATGTTCTACTTATGTAGGATTTGAGGTTCTCACAGATGTTTTTATCTTCTGGGATATTATGTCATGTAGCAGCTGCCTGCTTCTTGATCATTTCTTACCTGGCTCACACTTCAACCATATAGATGTCTGTGGCATATTCCTCCAAAATGTCAGTTGACTTTCAATGGATTACACGGTGTTATACCCCAGAAGACAGAACTATTCATGTTTACTTACTTCACTCCACTGTTTAAATGTTTTTATCTCACAAAGCATAAAACCAGATGATTATCAAAAAGATCACATAAATATATTCCTAATGAAATATGTTTATACTAGGGACTCTGCTTCATGTACTCACAGTTAATTTGAATGTGCTGTTGCAGAGAGGGACACAAGTATTCTTCCCTGAGATAATGGTGGATCTGTATTCTCTAATGGTATTATTTTTCTTATTTCGCATATTGGGGGTGGAGTCCAGTTGGGTCAACTCGGCACGGTGGCCACTGATTGGCTTATTGTACCTGCCCGGGTGTTTATGATGATGAAGAATTTGGTGGAATGAAGATTGGCAGGGGAAACCAAAGTACTCAGTGAAAAACCTGCCCCAGCGCCACTTTGTCCACCACAAATCCCACATGACCAGACCTGGGTTCGAGCCTGGACCACCACGGCGGGAAGCCAGTGACTAACCGCTTGAGCTATGGCACGGCCTTCTTCTCTAATGGTAAATGCCTGTTTTGGTGTAAAGAAGACCCTCGTCTCATACAAGAAATGAGCGAAAATCATCATAAAGAATCTTGTATGTTGCAATAATTGACTCCAGTTACTGACTCAGTTCTCTTTTCACATTTAAGGGTTCAGTGGAAACACTGATTCTTTCCCTCAGATTGATATCTATTAACAACCTCACTTTAGGATTCATTATTTTTCATACACCGTGGTAATTTTTAAGTTGCATTTTTCTGGCATATAACACAAATCAAAAGTTCATTTTTTTCTCTACCATAAAGCCAGGCCAAAAAAGGGCGACATAACATAGGTTCCTTCATAATAAATTATACTAACACATGTCCTCAAAACTGCTAAAGAGTTTCACTCGTTTGCTGACAACTGCTCAGGTCAAAATAACAACCATGCAATAGTTTGTTGGTGTATGGTCTTGGAAGACAGTCTCCTGGGATATGTCACTTAAAGTACGAATGATGAGAAGGCCAAATGACACTAATACCATAATACTGTTTTTGCCAGCTTTAATAGACTTTAAAACAAAAGATAATAATTCATAAGAGAATGATTATACTTCAAATTACCACCATAATTACCTTTCTCATGCTCTTGCCTCCCTTTCTCCTTTTCTTTTCGAATCTCCACTTCTATTTTCCTGGCTTTCTCAGCATCTTTCATTCGTTGCCTGTCCTCTGGCATTTTCCTGGAAAATGTGCACCAAATATCTTGTAAAGACATGTTCTCACCTTTTTACAAATTTGACATTTAATTTTAACGAATTATATCAGTTATTATGCAAGCCTTTCCGTTTAGCTTGCAGGTTCACAGACAACTGACATGCTACAGCAGAAGAAATGTTAAAGATGACAGATGCCTTAAAAATAATTTTATTGGCCTTCCCTACAAGTGTATACAGTTTCTTTTGTGGCATTTGTAGACCTCATCTGTGGGCAGTAATATAAATTGAAACAGTCACAGAATACAGGAAAATAACAAATAAAAAAGCACAAAAATTTTCCAGGCATACTGAGAAACAGAGACATGAAGCCTATAGAAATACCATTATTGGTTATTAAAGGATTTACTCTCTTTTGTGTTCCAGAGCTGAAGAAAAATATTAAATGGGAAAACGCAGTAAACATGTACAGAATCAACTCTTTCACATGAAGTCTTGAAATAGAAGTAAATTTTCCCAACACACATTTCAATCTGTTTCAGACAATGGAAAATGAAGTGGAATAAGGAACAACTGTAACTGAAAGATCTCCTTCACTTCCCATGTAGTTCATCATGTGCAAGCATGAGAAACATATGAAAAAGAAGTTTTCTGAGTTTTTCCTATTAACCCTCATTGCACATTTACTGCTGTTATTGCACCACAACTGTTTCTGGTGAAGACAGCGAGACTGACTCAGAAGCTACTCTGATAATGGACTGAACACTGGTTACAGTGTTCAGTCAAGTAGATGATTTAAGGTTTTCCCAGCAGCGAAGATTAAAAATGTGGTCTTCTACATTATAGCACCATACAGTTATGTGCCTAACATTCTGGAGGTACCTACTGCTTCTATCTTTTATTGAAGATGGAAGCAGCATGTTTCTCTGAAACACTGGTACCAATCTATGAAACTGCAAGGCATCATAACCCAGCAACCTACAATCTTAATTGTTCAATCACAAAATCAATATCATTTCTGTCTCATGAAACTATATGAGCTGATAAGATCTGGTTCAGGCAACCATATTATAATGTCAGCTTGGATACTCATTCTTTGTAAAGAGCAATCACAGAATAGCCAGGTGGAGGGGGATGTGTCTCCTGCCATTAAGATCTTCAAGGTCTGCCTATCTTATTACCTTTTCTCTGATCTTACAAGCTGAGAAACAGAGAATACTGTAAAGTCAAAGTTTGGGGAAGAGTGGTGTGAAAGTAGGGGGTTATTACTGGTCAGTGCAAATGCAACTGCTGCATGTTGCATGGGACAGTGAATTAATATTTCAATTTTTTAGTTCTATACTTATAACTCAACGTCAATGTATTTATCGTCCGTCAATATTGCAACACTTGTTTATTCACTATTTAATCTTAATCTTAGTTTAACATTTTATACACTTTGACACAACATGTTTTGGCCCCAAATGGCCATCTTCAGGTATCTTGATATGTTACAAATATTTTATTAAATTATGTTGAAACTGCTATACTGTGTTAGCCCATGTTAAAATCACACGCTGTAGTTCTCTTTTCAAGGTAAAACAAGATAAAATCCACTAAGATTTCTACTTCACTTCACAAGGGGTGATGTCCATTGTTCATAAATGCATGCCTGTCCCAGGAGTTTTGTTTTGGCAGCTTTCCCTTCATGTTCGTAGCCTACTTTTCAGTTGTCTGCAATATGCCCCTGTTTTGCATGTTTTCTCCCACGCTGTGGAGACAGGCCTTCATCTGTTCTAGGTTGGCAACCATCAGGGTTTTAATTTTTTCTTGACTGGCTTTAATTATAGCCATCAACTCCTCGCAGTTAGGTTCTGTCTTGGCTTGATGGTCATTCATCCAAGAGGCTTGAAAATCCAGCTTGGCCTCAAAGTCTTTCAAGATGTCTACCAGACATTTGGAACGTGTCATTATTATCCTTCACTTGGGCTCCAATCCAGTTGGCTAGTCCTTGTTATATAGCGCCAGCATGGTCCGCATAAAAAACGGATCTTCCATTATTGAGTGTTCTCTTTTTGCCAGGAAAAGTGTCAACCGAGCTGTTGTACTGTCATCTGTTTACACAGCTGCTACTTGGCAATGGGTCTACATATCACATATCTCCTTCCTTAAGGCTACCCATCACAAGTAGCCTACTGGCTTACCACAATTTCTTCTTTTCCTATCTGTACAAGCAGAACTTTTGAGATTGGCCAGTGTTCCTACATATCTGGCTCTTATACTGCTTGTAGTCTCTTCTTTTGCTTGCGTGGTAGCTGGCTCCTCCACAACATCTTAACACTTATTTTTCGGATTCTGATGGAAGACCTGACTACTTGCTTCATGATCTCCAGCCCTATGGTCTGTCTCAGGGCCCTGCTGACATTTCTCTTGTTGAACATTTTCTTGTTTCCCAGGTATAACTGCATTTCAGGCTTCAATCCCTTATGCCACTGTTACATTTTGGCTGCACCTCACATTTCTTCTGAACCGTCCATCCTTCAGGGCTTCTCACACATCATCATCCTTGTTCCACCTTTTCTGTAGGTTCTGGTACTCCACAGTCACTTGTTGGTCCCTGGATTGGTGCTCCAGTGCTCTGATAGTCTCCACTGCAGCCTCTTCATTAGGGGCTTCCTGATGTTCTGCTATGGCCTCTATTTCTTCTTGATTTGCCTCCAAATCTGTGGCCTTCGCTTCTTCTAGGCCAGTTTCCATCGAAGTCTTAATTTATTCCAGTATGGCCTTCATCTCCTCTGGGTCGGCCTTCACTTTTTCTTGACAGGCCTCTGTTGCTTCTTGGTAGGCCTTCGTCTTTTTTCATTACGTCTTCATTTCTTCTAGCCAGGCATCCATCTTGGACTTTCAAACTTTTCCATGATGGTCAATAGGCATTCAGAATCGACCATATTATCAGTCATTTTGGTGCCAATCCAATCAATCCAATCTTATCTCACTTCTGACACCAGTTGTCACGTGGTGTGATTACAGCTGGGGTTCTGATTGGTAACTGGAGTTACTGGACACTTACACTCATAACTACAAATAACTATTACAGTCTCACCAAGTTACACACTCCAAAGATCACTGTACCAACAGAACACAGAAAGTCTTCTGTCTTTGGTAGTTGTTGCTTGATAGCAGCTTCCAATGGCAGAAGTTTATGCAGCTGTTACTTGGCAATGGGTCTACATGTCACATTATTTATGCTTTTATCATCAGAACTGGCATGGTCCCTTTTTATTTGTGGTGATATTATAGTTATCCCATACAATGAAACTTAAAGAGGTATTTAAATAGAAGTATGAGGACTTCAACCTTACTAACCATGTAATCAAACCTACCATGTAAACTTTACACATAAAAAAAAAAAAACAGTTCACAGAAGCCAGAACGCACAATGCTATGGTAAGGCAAGCAAGTATTACAACTTAATTATAAATTTAGCATTCAATTTCTATGCATAATTCCAACTTCTACAGATTATCAAACTACACTAAATCTGTAGAATATAACTTCAAAGTTTTGTGTCACCATGTCTGTATCCATTAATATAAAAACATGGCTCATACATAATTCACAGTTATGTTTTGATCTATTGCTACACAAAATTTCATATGCCTGTCTCCAATGGCTCATCATGCCATTACACTGAAGGGTAAATATAGATTTTGAATTGTCACCACGCAGTTTTACATTCTACAAATAAATACCTAAAGAAGAGTTGCAATTTTTTTTAAGACTGATTGCCACAAAAAATTTCAGGTTCATAATCCAGTAAACTATTAATGGCACTATTGTGGTTTGCACCTCACAAGATTGCATGGCCAACAATTTAATATACAGTTATCAGTAGCTTAATTCAAGAGAATGTAATAATACAGGGGTTAAAAGCTTTACAAGGCAACAATTTTACTGTATGCATGTAACCACATAACTGACACAAACAAACAAACAAACAAACAAACATAAAATTAATTTATAATACATACACAGGCTTGGACATTAGACAATTTATCACAGCCACAAGCCTGCTGAAGCAACTGGTTCAGAACTTACACCAAGAGCTTCAAGCCGTTTACTAATCCAATTCGGGTTTTCTCTCGATGTGGCAAATTCCTATAAAGAAACCTGAATGATGAGTATTATACACCATTAATTTAACTATCTGAAACTCAATCTTAGTCATAAACTTTCGGGTTAAAAAACAATTATTTTGTATTTGTAAGTTAATGGGGAATGATGTGGCAAATTCCTATAAAAAACTTAATGGTATTATATACCATTAATTTAATTATCTGAAATTCAATTTTAATTATAAAGTGTCAGGTAAAAACAGAAATTGTTACATATTTGAAAGTCAATGAACGATGATGTGGCAAATTCCTATAAAAAACCTGAATGGTAATATATACTATTAATTTAATTATCCAAAATAAAATTTTAATTACAAAGTGTCAGGTAGAAACATAAACTGTTTTGTATTTGTAAGTCAACGAGCAATGGTAAGATTTAGTGAGGTCAAATTTTAGTGAAATGGCCTTTAACAAGAAAGGTTACTATCAATGTATGAAAAGCAACTGATTTTCACACTATGTGCAAATGAAAACTGTTACGATGTAGTATTTTATGATGCCACTCTACAACATTCTGTACAATGGTATACAACAAGCTGCATCATCCAAGCACATGAGAGTATGTATGAGCAAGATTGGATTAACATGCAGCAAGTGGTATGCATGCAGTTTGTGTGTAACATTCATAAAAATGCAAAACTTCTGATTTCAGGTGAAGAAATGTATGATTTAACTGGAGAGTAACTGAAAACTTATGATGACTGATTGCCCAAAAGTATTTGCAATATGCCAGTTGTAAGTTGCTACCAGGGAGACTGTAGGATGAATCCAGACTGAGAACCTAAGCAGAAATTATGAACAGATGTCTGAAGGCAACAATATAGACAATAAAACCTACAGGCAGTGGCTCACAGATCAACTCTGGAAACAACCGTGCAATCTCGCATACTATATCAAGTCTTTTGCCGATAAGTTAAATATCACTCATCATTCTTCTTCTATTATTATTATTATTATTATTATTATTATTATTATTATTATTATTATTATTTGTTTGTTTACTTTTACTTTTATTTATTATTATTTCTTCTAAGTACTTACCTGTAAT